TATGTACCATGGTGTGAGTAAGTGATGTTAGAAGGGAGTATGGGATGGTACGAGTTGGTGTCCATAAAACCTATCTAGTATGTATAGATTATAGCTAGAGTTGTAAAGCAAGGCTTCAATGGGAGTAGGATATTGGCAGGGTGGCAGGTTGGGAGGTTGGGAGTTTGGGAGTTTGGGAGTGAGGGATTTCTTTGATCGTTTCTCTCGAGTCTCAATTGATATGTATACTATGCTTATTACATCGACGTGATAGATTCTACTGTACTCGAGGATATTGATCTACTCGAGTATGTTGATCTACTCATGTTGATCTCGTCGTTTGAGGTTGCGTTGGTGGGGTACAGCATTCGGTAGAGTGGCGAGACGAGTTTAAGACTGATGGCATGATAGATCAACGTGCTTGTACTTGTACTTGTACTTGTATACCTGTACTTATACATGTACAAGTTACATGAGAAGTAAAAGTAGAGAAGGTGTAAATGTACGGGCAGGACAGTACTCGGAGTAACAAGTTTTTCATTCTGTTGCTACCTACAGTTACTTGAGATACAAAGGCATTGGACGTCCATCCCGAAGTTCAAGTATGTAATGCCGCTAATATGCAAAGCCAATACCAGAATTCATGCTCATGAATTGGCGGTGTACCAGGTACTTTCAAGTGACATCTCCAATAGCCATTCTTCATGGTTTGGACATTGAATCTAGTGTTGCCTTGTAGGGTTTAAAGTCTCGGTCCGGATCTGATATTGATATCTCTGCATCCATGCATCTCTGCATATATGCATACATGGATGTTCTCAATTGCGCAACATACTCGTGTGCTACATTGGCTTATGACATATATGTAGGAACGCACTTGTAACTCGGGATGTTTGTTTCGTTCCGTTCAGTATACCTCCGCTCGGCACTTGAGAAAAAAACTCGCCGAGCAATTGGTGCGACGTCCGATGCGTGTGAGGAGGTAGATGGAGGGAAATCTGTACCGAATTTGGATGTTACTCGGCTACATGAGGAGTCGGTTTCACTTGCTTTGTAAGAGTAGTTGCTATCAGATTGAGGTGGTAGATTTGTTATGGGTTTCTGATTGGATTCCCAGAAGCTACGCACTGCCGTACCGTTTTCTGCCACTCGGCGACCAACATTATCCCTATACTTATACCTTGTCATCGGTTCGTTGCATGGTTGGAATCTCGAGGATTTGAGTCTCGCCAGGTAAATGGATAAAATAGTACCGTATATGTAGGCCGGCGGCTCCATGCGTTGTTTGGTTGTACAATTATAGCATTTGGTGCGACGTGGTGTCAACCTCAAGGATCAATCTCAAGGATGAGGATCATCTCTCGAAATATATTCGTGGATCTCGATGATAGGTAAGGTCCGTGATTATCAAAGTTGTGGAACTTTTTGATAATTTGAGATATGCAAAGAAGGAAACTCGAGCTACGAATTTGCAATCTCGACTCTTTTGGTCTTGGCCAATACAATCATGTTGTACCTATTACATGGGGACGGTTTGTTTGTATGGTGTAGTTCATCCCTTTTCATGCTGTATGATTCGGGTCTTTGCACTGGCGGAGTAGGTTCGGATTCGGCAAAGGAAAATATACTCCATACCGCTGTTGTAGAACCGAGCTTGGCATCCGTGGAAGACTTGACGGTCACATTACCACGCCTATTGGGTTAGAGACAACGGAGTAACCTTTGACATAGCAATTGACAGGGTTAGGGTAGACGAGTTCGTGACTTTAACGCGGGGGGCGTTCCTTGTCAATAGTCGGAGGAGCTATGTTGATGCAAGCTTTCATTAGGTAGAGACCAGCGTAGCAGTACCATTTGTCATTTTATGGCATCGGAAGAGACTTCTGTAATCTGACGGGAGTGCTGATGAATTATGGCTGCGGAGATTAATTCCATGGCCAATCTCTTCGAAGTTTGACACTTTGTCCACACTGCATAGGTAGCTAGCTATGAGGCATAAGAAGCTGTATTGTACAAAAAGCGGTCGACTATCTCGAGTCTACTCTGTACACGAACACGAGATGAACTCATGGATAAGGGTAAGGCTGAGGATCTCAACAGGGGTTTGAAATAAGGATCGCTGGCGTGGTTGGTTGATTAGGGGGTACGAAAGGGGTGTAAATGAGGTGCGTGTGTGTTGTGCCGATCAGGAAACACAAGAATCTCTGTTCAGAATAAATGAACTGGAGGGAAGTATCGACATGAACAATATTACTCAAAGTAGAAGTATTTCGACATAAAAGGGTTGATATAAAAGTGTTAAAATGTCGTATTCAACTGGCTGACTATACCACCGGGGTATTTGACGCTGCGGTTATAGCCGCGTAAGGTGACCTTTATTTCATTTCCCATACCGTTTGTTCAAATACTCCGGACTTTGTCATATCGGAATTGTGTTCTTGATATGTAACATAGTCCGGATAGTAGAAACAAGGTGTTACACGAATCGGTTGACAGTGTATGCGCTTGCGCTCATCGCCTGCATTCTGGAACCGATAATGAGGAGCGAAATAAGGAAACCTTGGAGAGAAATATTTTCATCTGTATAGAAGCTCATTGGATAGAAATCGGATCCGGTGTAACGGTATACACAGATCTGCCAGCAGATGACCTAGGTATATCGATATACCTACCTATAAACAGACAGCGGCTGTGTTTTGGAAAAAGGAAAGCGAAAAGTATATTCTGTATTCCTGTTGGTTCGTCCTATCGTATATCCAGGTCTATCGATGGGTCTAGAACTATGTGTTGGGGGGTCAATGAAAGATCCTTCATTGATCAATTAAAATTGTTGATCCCGGCGAACAACCTCAAAGTGCCCGGTAGTTGTGAATACTGGCATACATACTAGTATGATGTTCACTTGGTTGGTGTGTTTCGATGTTTCGATGTATAGAACTACTTAAGTACAGTAAGTGAACTCAGATGATAATTCTTTGATATCATGTCACCAAATGAAATGCTTTCGTCGCCGTTCTCTCTCTCTCTCTCTCTCTCTCTCTCTCTCGTTCTCTATCTAATATAATAAGTAGGTGGTGGTGTGGTGACCGTTATCTTATGTATTGGTCCGTCCTTGTTTCTTATTCCTAGGAAGGTGACTGAAAATCTACCGTTGGTCTTGAAATTATCATATTTGTCCTAAAAATCATAAACGAACCAATCAAAAATATGATAATGAGAATGACCACGCTAAGTTATACTAGCTCAGACTAAGAATAATAGAACCCACTCTTTATGCGTAAGTGACGCTTGCCGATGTTCGATGTTTCTCAAAACCTTACCTAAACCTTCGCCTTCAAAACAAATTGGAATATTCTATAATAAAGGAAAATATTCTTGTGCGACAAAGACCCCGTTCACACCGATCATACCGACCAACACCGTCTCGAAAAAAAACCCCCCCCGGAATCATCTTTTACCCTGGTTAAACGACCTCATACACTTTTCACATCTACCATTACAGTATCATATTCACTATTGCCATCGTAAGGAAGGAGAGATATCCTATATCTCATTTCAACATCAACATCAACATCAACGTAACATCAACATCGACATCATTATCATCATCAACATTATTAACAAACCATCTGACTTTGTATTAATCTCATCGATACACTGATTCTGCGAAGAATCACGGATTACGTACGGATTACGGATCACAAACTACGGATCACGAATTACGGATCACGAATTACGGATCACGAATTACGGATTATGGATGACAAAGGCCACACATTCGGATAAGGAAAGAAGAACGACGGCGAAATCCAAGGACCGAAGAAGAGTCTCTTTTGAAAACACTCGAATCTTGTAAAAAGGGGTAGAGAAGAAGAGAGGAAGAGAGAAAGACTTGCATGGATCACTGGACTTCTTGAAACCATATTCGATTACGATTTTCAGTGGAGTAAGCAAAGAACTTCGTCAGACAAGGAATTGAATCAATCGCAATCGCTCAATCCTTCTTTCTATCAAGTTCATTATTCTTCTTAGCTCGTGCTCGTGCTCGTGCTCGAACTCCGAAATCACGGCGATCATTTTGACCACAAGTGATAATCCAAGCGAATCTAAGGTAGGTCATACAACCACGATATCTAGACACTTGCATTCTTCGTCCTTTGCCCCCTTTTATCTTGTTTCGGATCTATCACTAGAGCAAAAGGGGTTGATCGAGATATCATTGACCCCCATTCACCAACGGCGAAGTTAAAGTTTGCGTGGTGTCATTGTAGGCTCTGCTTCCCGCTCCAATATAAACTTGGTAATTTGGTCTGTGCAACTACAACTACAACCACAACATAGAGGTTTGCATTATTGTTAGCACATGGCTTTCTCACAGTCTATTCGTTTCCTGTCAAGTCTATTTTAAACAGCCCTTACCACGTTGTCGAGCTGACTTTTCCTCTCAACCAGGACAATCCTTGGACAACAGGAGTTCGTTCCTTATCAGAAGTTTCGAACCCGATTTTCCTAGGACGAAACCCCCCAATACCAATATTAGGACCTTGCGGATCACTTAGGAGCACTTCTAATCTTGATATTGCATTTCAATTTTATTGTAGGAGCAATTTCCAGGATTTCCACCGCATTGCCGAATCCAAGCACTAAGCTTGACTGCATCACACCCTAGCAGCTTGTAGTCGGTGCAAGTACGTAGAGATCAAGAGACCAAGCTAAGATTGAGACGTAACTTAACCTTACCTCTTCATACACATATAAACACCGGCCAAAGAGGATAACCTCATCGGCGACCATACCACCTCGCCACCCTAGATAGAATCGTACGAGGAGTTTGGAAACCCATTGATTAACGCCAACTCAATATCAAAGCCTGCCTTTCTGCTCGGAATCATTATCGCTCCCTCTTCTTTGAAAAGGGCATCAAGAACTCGATTCTTAGCTTTGCTTTTATCCACTGTCCTTTCCCCATCATTCATCAGACCCCATATTTCCCCGACTCATCAACTTTGTTAGGAAACCTTATGTGCTGCGCACTGCGAACAGCTCCTTTGACTGGCTTCAAGTCGGAACATCCTTTCAGCAGCGATATGAGTGATATGAGTTCATCGTCTCCGCAGCAATGGAGACAGGAAGTGATTCCAGTTCGCCCGGCCATTGCTCCGAGGAGACAATCGACCAAAGAAGAGTTTGAAATTGACAACCAGTTGATCGGAGCTGCTAAAACGCTAAGATACGACAATCAACACCAACAAGAAAGGGACTATACCCACAGCATCTCATCCAATACTGAGTATCAAAACTCGGATAGACTTATCACTACTGGCCTTCCCGCAAACCATCACAGTCCTAGGGCCACCTCGTTAGAGCGTAGTCAAAGAGAAAGTTCCCAGGTCAGCGCCCCTGCATCATCCCCGGGTGTAGAACAGGTTCAAAGTGGCCAAATATGCAGGTATGTAGATTGACTGCTTTGTACAAAATTACGACTAACATTTTGCAGTAATTGTGGTACAACCAGGACACCACTCTGGCGGAGGTCACCGCAGGGGGCAACTATATGTAATGCTTGTGGCTTATATCAGAAAGCTCGCAATGCTTCTCGGCCCACAAATCTAAAACGTCCTCCAACCACGGCTCCTATCGGATATTCAGGGGACTCACGGGAGTCTGCCTCGACGAGCGGGTCAATGTCACTTCCTACTGCTGGCGCAACTTATGTTTCCGCCGATCAAACCTCCACAGGAACGTGCCCTGGCGGTGGACGTTGTAATGGTACTGGAGGAGCCGAAGGTTGTGGTGGATGCCCAGCTTTCAATAATCGAGTTTCAAAGACCGCCCATTTTACTTCTTGTCAAGATAGACAACCAACACATACTCCACAGCCGCAAAATGACCAGAGCACAGATGCCCCATCTCCAATTGATGTTGCCTCCCTCCAGTTACAAACACAAAACACTACCGTCGTTGTAGCTTGCCAAAACTGTGGAACTACCATCACACCGCTTTGGCGTAGAGATGAAAGTGGTCATACAATTTGTAACGCTTGTGGTAAGTTTAGCCATGAAGTGAGAGCGCATCCGAGCTGACATATACTAGGTTTATATTATAAACTCCATGGTGTGCATCGACCTGTAACTATGAAGAAATCAATCATCAAGCGTCGTAAAAGGGTAGTACCAGCAGTGCAGGGTTCTCAAGCTTCCAGCTTCGATACTGGAAGTGCGATGGATTCACCAGAGTCCGATCGTGCTTCACCTGAAGAGGCAGTTGAGCGAGGAACAATGAATCCTGACGGATCAGTGAACTTGGGTCTTCGTTTACGCAATGATCCAGGAAGGGCTTTACCAGAACCGATTCGGACACAGAATGGACATCAGCAACAGCAGCAACACCCGCCATCCGATCTCGGCGCCTATACGTCTAATCCAAATTATCAAGGTCAAAATCTCGACTCCCTGACTAATGATAACCGACTGCCGCCCATGGCGTCATACCCTTCGCCAAGCCGAAACCGACTTTCTGTATCGCCTAGTAATTACCTTTCCCCTTCTCGAAAACGTTCCTTCTCCGCTACTGACCTGGATCCAAACAATACCCTCACCTCAGAAACCACATCCGCATCCACCTTACCTAAACGTCTCTCATCCATAAAATCCATACTAAATCACGGCTTCATAGATTCCGACGTTAATGCTACCCCCGAAAATGATCTTAGCCTCCGTCGTGGAACCAACAGCTTAAGATTAAGCCCCAGCCGATATTCTGCCGCCGCAAGTCCAAGTCTTAGCACTGTCGGCCCGGCTACTTATTCAACCAGTCCTTCGGGCAGCGGAGCTGGAAGCGCATCAAATAGTGCGAGGGACCCGATGAGTGAAAGCGATCGCGCAAAAACGGAGAGGAGGGAGATGTTACAGAGGGAAGCGGAGAAAATGAGGGAGGCTTTAAAAGCCAAGGAGAGAGAGTTGGCAGAATTAGGACTCGGTTTGGATTAACATTACGGGTCAAAGAAAGCTACGAATTACGAATGTGCGTTTACTCTGTGGATTCCACGCAGGGCCATTGCAGACATAGAATCAATAATAGCTACAAGCACGGAGGCGGGCAAGGGAAGTGAGTAGGAATCGGTTATTAGGAGTCTGTTAGTGAGCGGGTTCGGTTCGTCTTCGAGATCCAGGGCACACACACCTAGCACGATACGATGGGAGTTCACCGGGTACTTTCTTTTTCTTTACGGGGGATTACACATAATCGGAATGGGATGGGTGGGATACGGATACCCCTCTCTGCCAGGAGGTTTCCTTATCGTTAGCGTAACATTGGGATGGCGAGAGTCGTGCGGGCTTTCTCTTGGGTAGCTATCTATCTATCCACAGTACTGGATTGAGTTTTTAGGAGTGGGAGTGGACTGGGAGTGGGAGTGAGAGATGCACAAATTTGCAACTTTAATGTATATGTGGAGACAGATACAGGGATGCACAACTCAGGGGCACATGAGATAGGCAGAAGATGTGGGACGGATCAGAAGACAGTCGCGATAAACGTAGTTGAGTTGAGTGAGCTGAACCGAAATGAATAATACATCAATATGACATACTTTGAGCTCAAATTGTCACAATGTGAATCTTGTTTTTTTCCGGCATCTGTAGATGTATATTGATTTTATTGTAGACGGACTGACGCACATACATACACACGCGAGAAAAAAGGTAAGAAAATTGCCTAAATGAATCGTCTTTTTTCTATAGCTAATCCGAGTCATTGAATCGGTGGGAGAGAAATGATATGATACGTAATACAAGCCTGTTCTGTTGCAAATCCATGGTTTTGTGCGACTAAATGGATGGCATTTGAGGTGGAATTTCAGAGAGGTAAGATAGATGCGATCTTGAGATATAGTAGAGGTCGTGTTTGAGCTGGCAATCGTGGGCGAGGAAATCTGGAACTCCGAGAAAGGTATTGGGGGAGTGTGCGATGCGATTAAACTTGTTCGGCGCCCCATCCTCCATCTGCTTCTCTATTTGTGGGAAGTATCGTTAGTATGATGCATCATGTTAAAGCCAGATGGATAAGGACTGAAAAAGATTTGGGAAGGAAGTGGCTATTTACCTCATGTTCGCAGGTGGCTCGATAGATGGAACGAACTCGAGGGCAATGTAAACGAGACCGATTATGCCAATCAGCGAACCGGCGATGATGCGCAAGACGTGGTCGTGTAAGAGAATGGATCCAACGAATACGTAGACTATTGTGTGGTGTTAGTTCTATTTATTGGACTTGTATTTGGGGTTTCTGGAGGGAGACGTACAGATTCCTCGACCGACGAAGGAGAAGAGGAAGGATGCGTAGCGGGAGACTTGGGGTGGGATTTGGAATTCTATGGTTTTGTATTAGTGATTGTGCGAAGTGTTTGCCAGGTTTATTTGAAGTCGAGACTGAGGTTCAAGAGATAGATCTTTGTGAAACTTGGAGGTTGGGATTGGGTAGGACGAACCAAGAAGAGCAGTGCCTGGAAAATTGGATGTCAGTAAGGCGTATGAAGGAGGTGGTCTGAGGATAACTTACAGATTCCGAAAATAATGACATAACACCCGATGATAATAGATTGGCTGTGTTGATATTAGTACGAGGTAACTTCTTGAGTCTTGTTACCGCATGGATGTTGATACTTACAAGCCTAAGGGGAAGAATTGGGAAATTCCACCAAGGACCATAAAAACACCCACTGCCAAATTGACAAATCGACTAAGAAGGATACACCATTAGCCTCATCACTCAAATGTAATATTTTGTGCTGGCGCATTCAATCGCAGATACTGGGCCGCCGGGATGGATGGATGTGGTTGAAGAGTGGAGGAAGCTCTGGATAAAGCTTGGGAGCTTGATGGAGCTTCAAACTAAATTGACTTTTATCATTTTGGCTATGCATCATCTGCCATAGCCAGGCCCATCAAGTCCACAAGTATAGAGCATATATCCTCAAACTCCGGGTCCAGCTGCATCCCTCATCCCTCTCATACCTCAACCATCACCGACGAGCCCAGCCCTCCAATCTCAATCTCAATCTCAATCTCAACCTCAAAGCCGCGCAACGAGTATGGTGCAAGCAAGTTCTGGGAAACTCACAAAGCATCAGAGAAATCCATCGTTGCTGTTATATGAAAATCAATTCGCCGTATTCTGTATATTAATTTTCGTTCGTAGAGACGTTAAGGGTCTTCCGTGATTAGACGTAGTGATTGTAATGTGTTAAGTAATAAGTAATAATAAAGGCAGGACAGAACAAGATTGAAGATCTTGAAAGCTTGGTGTGTGCACATACGCACCTACCTACCTGTCTCATTACTACTCACTTACCTCATCAGCTTTTTCAATGGAACACAAAGATTTTGCCAAGGATTGAGAAACAAAGGTTAAAATGGTCCGTGAATAGAAAGGAGTTAACGGTAAATATAATTTACTATTAAATATTTCTATTCTTATTAATATGTTTGATTTTAATTTTCTTTAATTCTTTAACTCTAAAAATTCATGAGATTTTCACTACTCTCGTCGCGTGAGCCACGGTATTGGGGTGTGTCTCGATGCCCGCTTGCGTTAATAGATACTCCAAAACATCAACGTGGTTTTCCTTGACGCCTTCTTCAATGAATCGATGCTCGCATTCAGACTCATCTAGCAATTCGAACTTGGGCTCTCTCTTTCAGTGATCTCGATTCGTTAACCGCCGGATGGTGAGCAAGCATCTCTTATTGACAGCCACACAGATAAGCTTAAGCTTACTTGATCATCGTTTGTTGACCACGATGTCTAGAACATCATCAACAAGATTTAAATACTACTTCCCTGCCTTGTCTACATCTATTGCTCGTCAAAACCACTAGACCAGTGTCTCATGATGAGTTTAAAGAAATCGAGGCTCCAAATCTAAGGCCTAATTTCACTCTGGAATATTAGTGTAAGTCACTGAGTTCTGGATAACTTACCTCCCTGAAGAATCTACATGCGCAGCACCCGTAAATGGACTGAAAAGCAATTTTTTGCCGTGGGAGTCCGGATTCTCAAGTATGACCTTTGCCATGGCTTCAGAACCCGTAGAGCGAAGTGATACTGAGAAGCTCATATCGGCTACTGTCAAATTCAGATCTGGGCTTGATTGTGCAGCTTGGACGACAGTTCTGTATGATGCAGTTGTGTGATTTGGGCAAGTATACAGTAGTAGTAAACTCATAATCTATAGCTAGGGACAAGTATGTATATAGTGAGTCTGAGATAATAAAATTGAAAGATTGCGGTTTACATGAGATATGAATGGTATCTGTATTTTTCATACGTACTTCTGCTCCGAATTGTTCCCATTGTCGCTCCTCTCTGATTTTTTTGATGTACTGTGGATCGATCCATCTTACTACTCTAAATGCAACAATTCAATACAGATTAATGCATGTGAGATAATTTTGGAAGGAGGGAAGTCGATATGTGGGAAGAAATACTCGATCAACATCTGAAGACAGGATGGGCAAAAAGGGATTTACCGCTTGGATATTGCTTATGCTCGGAGTAAAACTTAGAGGTAGTCATCGGAAAGTGCACTAGAAGTGATGAAATTTGCAATTAATGCATGGGATGGCTCAAACTTGAGACCATAGTCACAAGTACAAGGAACATTTTACTATGTCTCAATCTCAACCTCAAAAGATGTAAGAAATCATCAGGGTAACTACCCTCAAAGCTTAGACACATCAGTCAGAACCTCATCAACAATTTCAGCTGTTCCCTCCGAACATCCATACGAACCCTGATATCCCCAGCCTCCATGTCCATAATTATGCACCACCCACGTAGAATCAATCTTCTCCTTTTCAATCCTCACCCCGCCCAGCCTCAACGGTCGCAATCCCACTCCATGACGAATAACACTCAGAGCTTCGATACCTTTTCCATTCGTCAAAGCTGGGCATAAGTCAACAGCTCGCTTCATGATTCGCATAGCTTGGTTTGGACATGGTTGGGATTCCCAATTTCCTTTTTGATATGTACCCCCTAGAATCGTTCCGCCGCCTGCTGCGCGCTGCATAATATAACATACTTCGTCGTCTCCATCATCTGTACCGGAGATGGTCAACATAACGCCCGGATCATTGCGTACGAGTACGATTTGACCTCGGCAAGGAATAACATCTGTGTCCATGACACCGCCAAGTTTTGAGGCCAGGAGACCAGTACAGTTGACAATCACGTCGGATTTGTTGCCCGAGTGGTGTAAATCAGCGGCTTCGGAGATATGGCTGATGGCACTACGTTGAAGTACAACGCCGTTTTTTAGACATTGACTAACGAGGTAGGAGAGGTAGATGGGGGTGTTGATGCAAACTGATGTGAACGCGGTGGCGCTGTCCGCACCGGAAGGTATCTCATTCTTTGGTAGAACGCGGAAATCGGGTACAACGTCTTTGAACCAAGGGTCAGTGGAGAGTAACTCGTTAAACCATTTACCTGTAGTTCGCTGAGCATCCTTATTACGATTCAGAATCACAGTGTCTGGTGGGTGTCAGTAAGGAGTCATTCTCAAAAGTGGGAGAATTATAAGGATTTAAGAAATTACTTTGAAAATGAATCCCGGCTTCTGGGACATCCTTCGCTAATCTTGCAAGTTCATACCACGTTCTCTTCTCCCATCTACTGTCCGATGCATTTGATACCCTGCGAATTGAGCATCAATACCATATGTCATATTCAACTATTCCCAGGATGAGATATAGTGAGCTGAGACTCACGGAAGATAATTTGCACCGGCCCATGGAGATGTATATTCAATATCATAGTCACCGGGCATATGTTTCGCAATAATAGTGACCTTGTAGGTAGGATTTTGGGATAAGAGTAAAGCGGTGGTCAAACCAGATACTCCTGCACTACGAAAGATGTCAGTATGGTTGTATGTTATTTTCAGGAGACAGAAGAGAAAGGCTTTAGGGAAACAAACCCCACGACTACAATGTTTGGCATTGTGAATTTAGCTGAGACTTGTTTCTTGAAAAATGGACTCGAAGGTCTGGGAAAGTAGGCAAGGACAAAATATATCAGACTTGGGATAGAGAAGTGGAGTTGGGTGTTGGTGTTGTGATACAAAAGATATCCCGAAGATACTCCGCCGGCAGAGTCCCGTGCTTTTATGTAGTAAGTAAGTTAACCGAGGAACAATCTTTATTGAATTGTTTTGGATATCTGTCTTTTTGATTATTCCGTACTCGTAGATAAATATGACCTTGATATAAATATTTATATGGTGTATTTGTAAATCATACAATTCCCCTTCCTAGAGTCACACACCGACTGACTCTTTCACAGAGCCCTATCATTGTATCTTGTCATTATAAAGTTTGAGCCCCGTATTCCGAGATTCTTCGAGACTACATATTGCGAGTACTCGAGTAGATAGATATACCTATTATATCTACTAAGTGCTTCATACCTATTTCTCGAATCACATACGGACCATGATTTAATAGACTCTATTATGACGTCCTATTCCATGATGGATTTGAATTACGTAGTCCGATAGTTCGGCTTGACATTCTCCGGGACCGCATGCTAGGTATGCATCCTGCCTTCCGGGAGCTCTTCTATTTTGGTACGGGTCCTTATGACTAGTACATAGTAGTACATATCATGATGAGGATGGTGGCGTAGGTAGGCCCTAGGCATTATCGCATATTCAGTTCTGCGCTAAGAACCTCCACATCTTACATATTAGAGGTTCTCGCCCTCCTAGCTAGCTCTTGCTTCTTCATCCCGTTATACTTTTATCAACATATGCACATGCATCGTGCCATATTTAGTTAGAAACAGAAAGCACAGTTTTGCTCTTTCCATTCTAAGACAGAGTATGAATGAAGTATGAAGTATGAAGTGTGCTTAAACTTACACTGCTTCTTTCTTGCATTTAAAAGTAATCTGTGACCACGATTCCGAGGAAAGTCCTCATACACGTACTTGTTCTAGGTTAACTCATCAGTCATGAGTCATTGAACCTTAACTGGTCTCGAGTAATTTTACTAATTTAAGGTCAATAGTGCTACAACTAAAAGCACCAGGACAGTCGGACCATGGAAAATCAATGATAATTACAGTGTAGCTAATACTTGGAACCAGTCGGTAAAATGCCACTTTAATCAGTGCATTAGTTCAACTGGCTCACTATTGGTTACCTTGGAAAGTTTTAAGTCACGAATACCACTGCCTCTACACTAAACTTTTCAAGTGCCGGTCCAAAGCACGCCAGTGCTAACTCTAAGCTCAATTTAGCTAACCACCCCACCTGCAGACCAATCATATTCCTAATAATCTTTTCACAAATAGGCAAATTAGCTAGCTGTCATAGACATTTTTAGTTGGATTCTAATAACTGGTAGTGATTTCGAACTAAACTGGCGTCGAACGTTCTTCTTACATATTTCAAACTGCCCTTCATGAATTTAATCTTTCCTTCGTTAGATACACTTTCTCTTGATTTCTTGTCTTCCTACTTGAACCATAATCAGTCACCGTAAAACAGACAACTGCTCTTGCTTAGGTAAAAATGGCACCAAGAACTTCAAGTAGAGTTGCTATTGAGGAGGACGAATTCCCTCTTCTCACCACAAACGGATTGACCATCCGTAAGACCCTGGGCGATGGTACGAGGTCCTTTGACTCCTTTCAGTTCTATGTGTACTTGTCTCCGTAATGCTGTCCGAGCTGACCAATTCTTTTTATGTTGTAGGAAATTGCCTTTTTCGCGCGTTGTCGGACCAATTGTATGGACATGACGAGAATCATCTGGGGATCCGCAGAGAAGTAGTAGAGTACATGCGGACTCATCCAGATGAGTTCAAGCCATTCTTTTCGGTGGGCCCGCAGCGTCGATACCCAAAGAGAAGGGGTGCGGCAGCTGGCCATGTTGATACACAGGAGGCCTCAGATACAGAGTTGGAGAAGGTCTTCCAGGCACACTTAAAGAAGATGTCGAGGCCGCGTGAGTGGGGTACTCAAAGCGAGGTGACTGCCTTCGTAAAGGCGTTTAAGGTAGATGTCACCGTGTGGTGTCCTACCTGGAAGACGACGCTCCACGCGGTGAATGGAAGATATTCAAGGAACCAATCACACATCGCGTTTAACGTACGCTCTCAATTTCCAATAGAGTAATTTAATAATGCTGACCTTCAGAATAGGGGGATGCCTGCCACTACTCCTCCGTTCGCAATGTTAACGGACCATTTTATGGGCTTCCGGCCATCACATATGTGGACGAGGAATCGAGGATAGACTTGCTGCGGAAAACAAAAACGAGTCAGAGATAGAATGGCGAGAGGTGTCGCTGCCGCTGTTCCTGCTGTTAGCGAAGCAACGAAAGACGCTTGCAGGTTCTCCCGCCGTCGTTTTGTCCGGCACAAAGTCGAAGCTCACTGTGCGATCAAAACAGACACGAAGCAGTGAGGACCGAAGAGAACACCCGAATTGGACAACGAAGCGTGAAGAAAGGTAGCATGAAGGCAGGCTCTCAAAGAGAGCTAGAGGTCTGCTGCAATTTTCTCTGCCTTTCAATAAGCTTCTTGTCCTCTCCTTTAATTTGACATACATTTCTCTCGACAACCTGTCCTCCGTCCTGTCTTCGCTCAATACATCCACCACGTCATAAATTGACTAGCGTTTGCGAGAAAATTTCCTTTTGTATGGTATCCAATAGATTGGGATAGACCGTTGGCTTTACGGGTTTTGGCGAAGGAAGAATATGCATCATGGTAATGAATGAACATCTGGAAGGACTGGAATTGATACCCGGTAGCCTGGCTACATCATGTTTATGATGCCATATACCCGTTTGTATTTTCAAACATTTGCAATAAAGTACTTGTAATTTATAATATCTTCGGAGTAACGGAGTTGAATAAATGACTCCATGAAGAGCTTTACAGTTTAGTATTGAAGTACATAATGTGCTAGTGAAAATTGAAATGGTATATATACTTGACCCATCTACCAAAATGAGCATTGCTCTCACTATAAATCAGCTGTTGAAGCCTAAAGTATCCGGCTATTGAGATATACTACACTTAAGCTTCAATCATCGAACACAACTGCCGAGTCTCAAGCATAGAGGACTCATTTAAGCAGTGTCTGCGTTGGCATACGGTAGTATTACAGTGGGATATATTACCAGTGGAGATTTGATACAGTAGATCGTATGTATTGAGGATAATCAAATTGATATCTCTTATGTATTTTTTAATACAAAAACTTGAGGTAATATACGGAGATACTAGAAAAATCCTTAACTAAGGATTATACTAGTATCGAAGTTCAATTGTGTGATTATGATTAATAATGTAGGAGTAGCTTCAATTTCGACAAAATATAGAGGAATTTATTACATTCCTTTATTTCTGTATTATAGGAATATTCAATACTTTCAATGATGTTAGATTTCATACTACGTATAGATATATTTTCGAATTAATCGATATGTACCACTGAAAGGGTCCGCACACAGAATACGGGAAATACTAACGCAAACACTGCATTTGAACCCTGTTTATCCAATGCTCTTGAAAGATTTCATGAGTATTATTGAATCTTTGGATGTCAAATCACAACGAATACATCGAGTCCAATTCTATCAGCAACTCTTGGCTGTCCAATGTACTACGGGCTGGCTCGCTGTCACGTCGTCAGTGCAGGGAGGTAGAGGCTTTCACGTGATATTATTATTGTAACCACCTTACTTGATCCTGCATGCACGGACCGTATAAGGTTATCGCTTCACTTCGTTCACCTCACCTCACTTCATCTCACTTCACCTTCACACACAATCTGTCGCTCTGCAAAGAAAGGAGAGGTCATGGTGACTCTGGTATATTAACCTGAAATTCAGGTTTGAGAACACCAATCACTATTTTCATCCTATATTACACGAAAGGATACTGTCACGCAAGTGATGTAGGTGATTGGTTCAGTTGGCAGATCATTGACGAATGGGTGGTGATTATACAGCTATAACTTGAGGAATAAATTGGTTGTACTAATTGCTACATTGAGATAGATTCCGGTCCTAGAAATGAGGTATGATTCGCTGTATGCTCAGACTATGATTTATCTCCTCGAACCAAAGCTATTGCTGTATTTCTTTTTCAAACACCCAGGTCCATGTACAACTGCACAATAGACAGGAAGGTCCAGTTGATATATAGGAATCTGCAAGCGTATCCATGCTCAGACTCAGAGTGTTTCGGGCGTCAATGCTCTGTTTTTCAACACCTTCCAATTTCCAGATATTCTCATCGGCAAACACAAAACCAACTTCATGGCCCGCCAACGCTGTGACCTCTGGTATCAAGATCCGCTTGAATCCCCACCCAAGACCTTGCCAGCTCGGTTGCCAGCTCGGTTGCCAGCCTCGCACGCTTTCTCGCTGGTCAACTTCTCTGTTGCCCGAAGACTCAATTGTGGCAGTTTGTAACTTGAAATGATGGGAATCTTTGTGGTCATCCAGGAAGATCTTTACGCGCCTGAACATAACCGAAACTGCTCCGGCGTTGGTTCCTCCAAGACTCTTGAATTCGAGCTGTACAGAACGAACATTGGGAAAATCGTTCAAGGAGGCATTTAATGCCGTTGGCGATGGGATTATGAAATGTCGGGTGGCTCGCGCAATCACCAATTGTTCTGTACGTACGAATTTGACGACGATATTTCGGACGAGTTGAAGCTCTTCGCTGTCCATGTTCAACAGCTTCCAGTTATTGCCAAAATGAAGCGAATAGATGAAGTCTTTATTGCAAGTACTAAGAGCAACGATATAATGTCTACGCCATGGGGAGTGGACACCACATCTTAAGCTGGTAATTAAGGCCGGCAGATTACGCGTCCTGTTACGCATCTTTGTGTCCATCTCTGCGTACATCCCCTCATTCTTCATAACCTCCTCGACAATTTGATCTACAAGCTCGACAGGTAAAAATAGCATATTTTTGAGCTTTTGGGGATCAACTTGCGAGCTGGGATTTGAAATGGAGGAGTCCTCCGATTGAACTTTGACGGGTCGTTGGGGAGACATATTTTCCTCTTTTCTTTTGGTTGGTAGGCTCTCGAAATAGGTGGTAGATTGTGAATGGGGATGAGACTTTTCTCGATGGTGATATGGTAAAATAGTTGAAGATGATATGGGGATGGAGAGTATAGTATGGTTCCAGATTCTCCCGTAAGTGATGATTTGTTTGTTACGAGTCTTTGTGTGAATTGGTTGAAGAAGAAGGATTGCAGCGGGATGAGCGAGGTTCTTGTACAGAAGATCAAGGTTGCATATTCCGCTAGCTCTTGGTTGCTGTACGTCATTATTGCAGTCATAAACTTCATGACAATAACAGGGAAAGTAAGTTCTGCACTACTGTTGGAGTTAGTGGTACGCTTAACCTGTCTAGGGGTACAATCGCCTGCAGGGGGCAATCGCTTTCCCGACTGGGAACCGGACGGCCGATCCATGGAGAGCCGACTATTAGTTTATTGACCATGAATATTCAAGCACCAAAAATATGAAAAGTCTAGATCGCCAGTTCGTTAGTCACGTAATTGGGTGAGGGTTGAACTACTGAAATGGAAATATGGAGTTGACATAACGGCCGGCAGTGAACTTTGGGGTTGGGCTGGCGTTTTCTTTTTTGGATTGTTCAACTGGAGACCGTGCTCCCAGAAAATCAGAAAATGAGAATACTGATAAGGTTGAATTGAATGTATCTCCAATAGGCTTGTTCGGATGGAAGAAAGGGTGGGATAACTTGAAAATTTGGGGTAGAGACGGGCTGGAAGCTTCGACGCCAATGTATTTATTAAGTAACTATACTTGGATTGCTTCTTCACTATGGTTTAAAATGCCCATTTAGTGTACCTGTACATATTTTCATACCTTATGGATTAGGTATGTGTTTGAGTTTGAGTAAGGTTCGAGTGAATAGCGTCGATGCTTACACGTAGATATTAAAAGGGCCAGGACTACTACGTATTACGCCAGCCAAAAGTCTCGAAGGCAGTGAATAAAATCTTGTATCTTCCTCGGCATTAATATCCAAAGCTATCCCAAAATCAGCCATGTTTGTCGCATTTGCAGAAACTGGCCCGAATTTCCCACAGGCGAAATATCTATAAAGTCTCCTCTCCACAACCTCCAAATCCTCTTTCTTTCCCTCATCAATACATCTTATCAATACATCTTCCCATCATTTGCCCTTAACACTTCTATCATACATTACCTGAAAAGCATTACCAATCGCATGGCTACCTTGAGTGTCTGGCGTGCAAATCTACCAAGTCCATAGTTACTCTGAGTGTTTTCTCTGAATTCTACCGAGTCCGGGTTACTTTGAGTGGTTTGCACTATTTCTACCGGGTCTATGCATTGAGTGTTTGGAATGGTCTTCGTCATTTTTGGATACCTCTTCCGTATAGAGATCCTCCTAAGGGAGAAATTGGGAGAAGTGGGAGCAAATCCCATAAAGCCCAAAAGACCACTTTGTGTATTTTTGTGTGTTTGATATGTATGCATGTGCTTGTGACTATTGTGCTTGTGACTATTGATGATAACTTGACTATCTTGGTTGTGATTTGGTTGCTAGGGAAACATGCTGTATGTAATATATACTGTTGGTGTTTGTTTTTCTTTGAAGTGTATGTAGTGTTCTTGGAGCTGGAAAAACTTGGCAATTTAGTTAAGTGTATTATATCTTGATTTTGATAATACAACTATGCAAATGATATTACATGTTGAGGTTGGCTGTAGAAACTCGTGAGTAATCCATCGATCCGATAGTTGTTTACTTGAAGTGCTTGAGCACTCGTTCCATGGTCTGGGATCAAAATGTAAGCGCAAGCGCGAACACCACAACAACAGGTACATACTAGCTAACCTTCGACCCCATCGTCTTTTCGATGATGATAGTTTGACCATCATCACATATTTGCTGCTTCGAGATATCAGTACGCTGTAATGAGATCTTATTACTATTTACATATATGTGTGATGCGCTGAATTCTCGAAGATACAGTAAAGTGAATACCTCGATATTCAATTATCTCTTATGCCGTCAATTGAGATGTATTGAAACAACAAGGCATAGTAATCATACGTGAAATGACCCAAAGGACGTTTGCGGTGCTGGGCTGTGTTAGACTGGGGATGGGATTGTATAGTGAACTGTTTTAGGAAGGATTGTTTTGAGAAGTAAATAAATGGTGTTGATCCGGCGATATACTCCTCAGATTTTCAGGCTTAAGGGTTTGATGATTGTTCTTTCTTCTTTTGTTGAGAATCTTATGTAAGAATGATGTATAAGCAACAAATAGATAATATATTAGAATAGATTTTGATCTGTGAGGTGTAATATTTGAGCTTTGGAGTTTGCTATTGCAGATGGGAAATGGTGCTTGTGAATGGGTTGGCGGTATACATATTTAGATTCTGGGGATTTCAGTCAGTCAAATCGAAGATGTATATGGAGGTTGAGAAGGAATAGGTGGAATGAAGCGAAGTGTAGATCATATTCAGGTAGAGATCCTGGTACTTGATCTAATCGCCATCGTTGTTGTATGGTATCGCTGTGGACAGAGTCAAGTTCTCTTGGTGTGTTTCATTGATTGCTTCCAGAGATGGACGAAAATCGCTGTTAAGCCGAGTATCGCCTTCTTTCATGTAAACGCTATTTACTGAATGAATAGAATCTTAATGAAAGTCTCGATTTCGATCTCGGAATAAACCTTTTACTCCCCCACGTCCACCACCTCCTCTCTCATCACCTTGTAAGTATAGCGTCAAGCGTTCATAGACCAATGTTTGACCACCCCGGTCATGAGTTGGTGAGAGATTATTTGCCACAGAGTTTGATGAAGAATTTCGCAATTGCATCCAGCCCTGCGACACCATCCCCTACTTTCATAAACCGATTGTCTATCTTTAGCCATTTTATTTCTTTGGTTACGTAGCCAATTGATGGGTTTAAAGCTTTAGAGGGCCAAGAGCATCATAGACTGACATGATAGTAAGATTTATACCATGCCGATATTTCAATAATGTGAGTGGACATCCGGATGAGAGCTCCTGGTCACGCCTCCCGGGCCTTCGCCCATATCATTCTTTCATGAACACTTTTGTCTTTATCGAAGCAGTAAAATGGATTGGCAAGAGTATGTATGGTTGGATGGAGCGATTCAACATCTCAAATTCAGTCAAATAATAAGAATTGGGTGCTCGAGGTATCGGATAATAGAGTAGTTTAGATGATTATGATTAGATTAGATGTTGATGGCTCCAAGGAACCGCGACAGCATGCGCCAAAAAGCGCCAATTGTAAAGTTGTCTAGCCGACGACCCGGCATTTAACCGCGGCTCTATAACCACTCCGACATTCAATAAAGTTGATTCACAGAATTACATCTCACTTTCACAACGACAACATAAGGTTCGGCCGAAACACGACGTGCAGTCAATTAAAGCGATTCATAGATATAATGTCGAAAATATATAAGTTCAAAATCAGAACCCTCTTCTACGGCACTCGAATAACCTTGCGTTGACCTCTCCCCAAAATTCCTCTCGCCATCAATACCGCCTTCAACCTCTCTGGAAACTATACACATGTGTAGGACCAATTGTAATATAGTGTGTACCATTCACCTCATCCAACTTTATGTCCTCGGTAAAATCCTTCCATCTTCCCAAATGATTCGTCTTCCAATCTTCCATATTTTTGGCTACAGCCGCCAGAGGAATCGCACAAAGGACATCGATAGACTTCGCCATTCCCAAAGGCTCACAGTTGATGGTAGAACTCTGCAACGAGTAAGCTAGGTCGGCCCAATTAGCTAGTTTGCTTGGGTCAAGTCCTAGTTCCGCCATGAGATCTTTGAGGGCGACAGTCATAAGGTGGTCGAGTACTTTCTCACGGGAAAGCTCTTGGAGACTCAGATTGCTGTGCATGTGCATATTCCGTGCCGAAAGAAGCCGAGAAAACAAAAGAGATGGAATGGAGTTAGTCCAATTCAATTGATGCATGCGAGTTTTATGTTTCCGAGCGCATATCCGGAAATAATGATCGAAAGTACAGATCCGCTTTGTGTCGCACATGCGATTTTCTCAACATACCTTTTGGACGAAAAGTGAAGTTCAGCTGGGTTCACAAACTCCGTCTCGTATGGAAGACCAAGCTCCTCGAGGATGATAGAGACTTTCCACGGGTTGGGACCCCTCGTGTGGGAATAAAGGTGGATTGGTTGAGTGGCCATGTTGAATTACGCTCTTGAACGAATCTTGGTATGGGTTGGTAGTAGATTGCCTATTTTGTTTAGGAATCTTTGAAGCTGCAAATGCAAATGAGGTTTTAGATGGTAGAGCTTTCGAAATGCTATTAAATGTAAGCAATGATTCACCCTTGCCAAAGCTCATATTCAGACCAGCAAATATGAATATGAGTACCTTATTTTGATTGAAGACGACTGACAGGTTCGTTTTGATCGGGAACGATGACTGAATAGGTCGAATTATTGTATCGAGCATAATATTACTCGAGTATATGTACTTATATCAGTGGTTTGTAAGCACGCTCATAAAGCTATTTGTAATCTGTGTCTAACACCTGCGTTTGCTTGGTCGCTCACTGCAGTCATCTTACGGAAGGCTTGTTTTGATATCAAATGAGATCTTGATTATCTAATCCCCCATCTATTGCTTTGATTGGCAAAGATGATGAAAAGTGATAAGGGCGTTTGGGGAGGAAGGTGGGAGTAAGAGAAGGTGAGAGAGTTTAGTGGAAGGTAGGTGGGTCAAAAACGAGTGCCAGTGGAAGAGGAGGGAAGAGTTGAAATCTTTAGGCAGCAAGGAAGTGTCCCAAAAGGCTTTTAGTCAACCAACACATCGTTTATTTTTTCGACTTTCTTCTTGCTTTCCCATTCAGGTATGTCGCGAAGCACCTTCTTATACGGAAAAACTGGCGAATGACTTGATGTACCTGTGCCACATTACCTGGGTAAAAATCACCCTAAGATCACGCGTTCCTTACCACCATTACACTCCTACAATGAAGCCCACAGAATCCGACCAAAAACATCTAACTTGCGGGGTATCAATAGATCACTATCCTTCATTTCTGTGCTACTTTGACGTTTTGATTTTCCAATCTGGGATATATCGATCTCTTATATGCCTACAGATAAAAGCTAGCCCTATCTTTCGCGCCTTTCCTCGACCGACTTCCAGATCTCGTCCAGTCGCTCAGCTATATATGACGACAGTGTCAGATATCATCTGACCAAATTCAGAAGACGTTCATGGGTATATTGCCAGTGATCGTCCGTCGATTATTCTGTCTCGGTAAGGTAGTTTTGTACTCCTGACGCCTTAGATTGATCGGTTGCCCGACTTTGAGCTTGCTGAATTGCGTGGTTCCTCTGGTCATACCAAATTCCGACTCAATACCATACACTAATAAGTTCCTCACTAACAGCACTTGGAGTCAAAACCCCCGATTCGGTAATGAGGGCTGATATCAATGCTGGAGGCTACAAAACAATTAGCATCTTATCAAAATATGCATTGGAATGACTTGCCGTAAAGTCCACTGCATCAACAGCATCCGGTTTTGATATCTCAATTTTAGTTCCGTCAAAATATTCCATCCTCTCCTCAATTTTCGGGGTCATATCCCCTGATTTCTCCTCTTCATCATCTTCAGTACGGAAATCAATGACCTCTTGATCAATGCCAAGATCATATTGCCCCAAAGGATATAAACGCACAAACTTATGACTTTCCGCAGCGACATAGAATGGTTTCCCTGCCGCTTTCGCCAATAAGGCAATTTGATATGTTCCCAACCTCGAAATGACTCCTCCATTTTCTACTACGCCTTCCGCACCAACAATAACCAAATCGACTTTTCCCATCGCATATCCAACAGCACCTTCTGATATAGTAGCGACCGGTACACCTTTAGCCCTTAATGATGCAACAACTGCTTTACTCTCCACAGTCCTAGCATCATTCATAACATAAATGACCTTAAACCTCGTATTTCCACCACTAGCTCTCGACTCTGCTGCTTTATCTAATAAAGCTCCCACAACTCTACTTCCCCCATGAGTCAAAACTACACTTCCATCTCTTACAAAATCTCTTCCGTACATAGCAATATTATATCTAGCCGCCTTTGCCCTACTAACAAACAATCTTCCATTACTCAAAAGATGTTGTCGTACAGTTTCGAAATTACCCGTACTTGAAGGTTTTAATGATTGTATCATATATCTTTGAAATAAATCTGTTCCGGCAGATAATGATATCGAATTGGGGATTCGGGATTTCAAATAATCGGATTGGGTTTTAACTAAATCGAGAGTTTCGTAAACGGTGACCGAGCTAGAGGATGCAAGGAGTTCGATGAGTGCTTCGATTGCAGCGACTGGCATAGTAATATCTGAATCATCGTTGAGAAGTCTTTGGTAAGTTTCTACTATACTGATAGAGGGGTTATGAGTCAGTGAGGGGTTCTTCTGGCATAAAGTTGATGAGTGAGATTGTACTCGAAATCTTTTGAATCTTTCCTTTGAGGAATATTTCCGGTAGAAGCCATTTTATTCAAAGCGGGAGGATGTCCGAAAAGTGGTGGTGGTGTAGTACTTCCTTCAAAGAAGGGCGTTGCTGAGTAGGGGGAATTTTGTTAGCAAGCAAGCAAGGCTATGTATGATGCACCAAAAAATGTATTTTCAACGGCGCAAGAGCTAGAGGAGTAGTGTAGTGATCGCATGGACATTTTATAAAGGTGCATACCAGGTTCTAGATCCATTTTTCTTGTAAGAGTACTCGAGTATATAGATTTCAGGAATCTATTAAAATAAAATCTGCAAGTAAATATTTCTCAAAATTAGATGGAATATCTAAAGAGTCACCAATTTGTTTTGTTCGCAATCGATTTGATGACTTCAAGCATAGTTCGAACAACGGAAGTTATGACCAGGGCTCTATCGACCAATCATAAATGACATCACGTGTAGCCTTATGATACATTGTCATTGATAGGCTGTGGGGAAGGGGGGAGGTAGAACACCTCGCAACTCTTCGTGATGTGTATGATTTTTGAAATCTCTCGATCCGGAAAACATTACAAACTTGAGGAAAGGAGTTCGTTAATTCTTCTTATGATGATATAAGAACCTGCCAGTCTAAAAATATATTCGGTTTCCTTTTAAAAACATGGAAACTATCGACCCCTCCACCGGTAGACCTCTGCCTCCCGATGCCCTTCAACGAATCCTCTTCATCGCACCATTAGTCCACGTCTATAACATCCCACCTCTCACTTCTAATAAAGGCTACGTAGCCTCTACCTGGACTGCCGACAATAACAAACGACAAATCTTCACTGCACGAATCCGAATTCTCGAAACAGCTATCCCAGACATAAATGGCGAAGAGAAGGTGAAAGCAGATATATTACTAGAGGATCCAAGTAATGGACAGTTATTTGCCGCAGCTCCATACACAATAACGGAAGTGGTAGAACAAGTATTGGATAGTTCACGATTTTTCGCAGTCAGGGTACAAGGAGAAGGGGGAAGGAAAGCTGTTTTGGGAATTGGATTTGAGGAGAGATCAGAGGCGTTCGATTTTAGTGTGGCATTACAAGAAGTGAGGAAGACATTAGGGATTGAGGAACAAGGAGGTGGAAAATCTGCATCTGCGGGAGCGATGAAGAAGGAGCAGGAAAAATCGGAGGTTAAGAGGGATTTTAGTTTGAAGGAGGGAGAGACTATTACGGTTAATATTGGAGGGAGAGGTGCGGGCAGGAGAACATCAAAGAAGAGTGGGGAGTTTGAGGATGTGTTTGGTGGGTTTTCTTTACCACCTCCACCGGTTGGAGGAGGGATGGGGGCATTTTTACCACCACCACCTAGTGCACAGGCGATCAAGGCTCAAAAGAGATTAAGTCAGAATACTATGGAAGCCCCTTCATTACCAGAACCATCAGCTGAGGAGCTAGGGTTTGACGATGGGGAGTTTGGGGAGTTTCAATAGAAAAGTTGTTCACTAAGGACTGTCAAGGTAGACCGATGGATGTGAATATCTGAGAAAGATGGGAACACTGAAGAGGAAAGGTGTAGGGGCTTTTGGCCACAGGAATCCTGAGAGCTAGCTCACTCCCTAGTCGAGACACATGAGTCATTCAAGGACCGGCTATGCTGTCACCTCTGGGCTAGAACCCTTACCCGGAAGTCGGCGTCCATAGAGTGGTGAAAAAATGGAGTAGCATTGCTGCAACTGAGCCTCCAGTCATTCATTACACAAAGGTTTCAAGAAGACTCAATCAAAGGACATCGTAGGAGTTCCCAACCATCATGACGGTATGATAATCAAATCAAGGCGCTTAAAGATATGGAACGGAGTCAAGATCAACACGCAAACACAGGTCGGTGTTACTTTATCTACTCGAGTATATCAATATCAATATCAATATCAATATCAATAAACCAATACCTTAAATCTCAAATCTTAAGAGATCCTTTAATACAATCTACGTGCAATCTACATACACTATCTATCTTAAGTACAAAGGCTTCAAATATGAATATGAATATCAAACAACGCGTATACCCTATATATACCTCATACCCACCCATTCCATATAAATGTAATGTTACACACAAGCAAAAACTTTTCATATCTCATACCTCCCTCATACCTCATACCCCATCTCATAACATAACATCACATAACATCATCCATATAGTACATTCCAACTCCGAATCCACCACATCACCAAACCTGATCCACCTCATTCAATTCCTTTAATTTCTCTCCTCTCTTCCCCTTCTCCTTTCCTTTCCCCTTTCCTTTTCCCCCACAATCACCCACCCATCTCGTACTACCCAATACAGGTAGACTTCTACTTTTACCCTTACTTTTACATCTACTCTTACACTTCCTCTCTCCCACCACACAACAACCCAAAACAATAGAATCCTTCAAAACCGAACGTTTCTTCTCGTTTCCCCTTTCCTTTTCACTATCACTTTCACTTTCCTCTCCCTCTCCCTCTCCCTCTCCCTCTCCCTCCGAATCCCCTTTAGAGTCCCCACCCCTCCATTTCGTATCCAAAAAGCAAAGTTCAACATCATTACAACTTTTAGCACCGCCATTAGGCGTCATACGTGCACTTTGTTGGGGGTGGGGGTTGTAATTGCCGTTTCGGTTGAATTGCCACTGGCCTCCCCGCTAGCGTCCGCGGAATCTCTTTCTGTCTCTCCTTTTCCTCCTCCCTCTCCCTCTCTTTCTCCTTTCCCAACACCTTCAAAACACTCAAAATCCCCCTCCTCCGCCAACGGCGATAACTCACACTCATCCCTCGCCCTCCCCTGCCCATCGCCAGACCCACGTCCATTCTCCGCCTCACCCTTCACCGAAGCTCCCTTCGAAGAAGATCCCCAGAAAATGACCGGTGAGAAAACAGGCGCTTCGGTATTCCAAAAATCATTCGAACATTTCCTCGTAGTAGTGACTGAAGATCGCTGCGATTTCGATCCTGCCTTTTCATTTTCACCTGCACCTTTTTCTCCATCTTTCCTTTCCCCTTCCCCTTTAACCCCCACATCCGCCATCGCAGACATCGGTTGAAAAGCAGGAATATTCGCATTTAACCCATTACACTGCCCATTCCACTGTGGATTTCCATTCCAATCTCCCGCACATCCATATCCATATCCATATCCATATCCATATCCATATCCATACCCATACGCACCCACACCCCCCAACCACCCCAACATCTCCTCATTAATCCTCCTCTGCCGCTCAATCTGCATCCACTGCCACCTCCTCTCCTCCTCATACCCAATCTGCTGCAATCTCTCCACTAAAATATGTTCTTGACGCGTACACTCCTTAATGCGACATTTAAGCCACGAGACTTGTTTTTTGAGTTTGCGGCGTGTAGGAAGGGATTGGGAGAGAGATGCGGAGGAGGTGGTTGAGAGGGGGGTGGATGTGCATGGGGTAGAAATACTGTCTCGCGTAGCCAAATCTCCATCTCGTTCCAGAGAAGACAAATTCGCTTCGGCCGCGGCGATTTTCTGGCGCAGAGAAATCGCCTTGAGGTTTTCGCGCGAGAGGGAGAGGAGCAGGTAATGATGTTCGGGGTTGAATAGTTGGGTTTGAAAAGGTTGGGTCAGGGGGGGAGCCGAGAGGGGATTGATTTGGGTGTGAGGTGCGAGAGGGGGGGCCGAGACGGGGTTGAGTTGGTGTGAAGGAGGATATTGGGGTGGGATGGGTGGTTGGGAGGGTCCTGCGAGATCGGTCACTACACTTAGGGATCTGCCACGGAATGGTGGCGTGGTTTCATGATGTTCTGCCATGGTTTATATTGGGCAAAAGACTTTGCTTGGTCGTTTGATCGGAAGAGAAAGTACTCGTTGCAAGTGAGGTCATAGGAGTGAGCGACTATACATAAATTCAATTCTTAAACAAAATAATGATGCTGCCGAAGGAGAGAGAGAGTCAACCTCCCCTGTCTAAATATTCGACCCAGAAGTATATGTGAATTCTCAATAAAGGAAAAGACTAGTAATCCCACCAAAAGTCGTAGCGAATTGAACTTACCAAAAGAAAACGAAATACCCCATACTAAGATCATACTTACAAGAAAAATAGGGCACTTTCAAAAGACCTTAATGATGAAGGGCGTTGTCTCGAGTTTAAATTTAGATTTTCCTATTTTCTAGAAAGATCATGGACAAAGAATTGGAGATTACCATGAGGTCAATGCCAATTAAATCCGAGATGTAGCATCGTCCCTTTGTCAGAAATGAACCCTCTTAATATTAATCATATTATTCTTCTTTCATGGACTCCAATATCCTCGGGCCGGAAATGAAAGGAGTGGGAATAAACCGACTTTGGTGTGCCTGGGCAGCTTAGAGGAGATGTTCTTTGTGGTTGGCGTTTCGGACAGGCTTTCATATTCACAAGAGCCAATAACAATCCAAATATGCATATGAAAGGCTTTCATGAATGCCGATCACCGTAGAGAAGTAAAAGACTTCTCGATCAATTGGTTCTCGCTTGAAATCGTGAGTATTCGGTTTGTACATATCGGGACATCTCCAATAAGTACACGTCATGAACCAGGCTCTAACTTACACTAGGTAGACAACTTCTCTACAGTATTAACCACACCATCCATTTTCGTAGATGCCTTAATAGACTCCAAGACGGGAGTTGCCTTTGCTGATACGGGCGCGGGAGGCTCCAAGGACTCTATAGGCTCATGCCCCGAACAAAACAGGTCCCCTGCCAGCATGTGGACTCTTTCTTTCTCTGCTACGCCAATGGCACACCCTCCAATCTCATGTCGGAAAACCCGAGCATATTCATTCGCTTGTAATTGTAGCTCTTCGTTGTTGATATTCTCACCATCCCAGCCAATCATTTGCATTTCAGCAAGTTCGACTGGCAAATCCGACAGGAGAGTTTGTAAAGATGCTATTATCAATGGCTCTTCTTTGTGTTTCAACGATAGATGCTCTGCTGGATTTGCTGTAAAATCCGTTACTTCATCTGGTTCGTCCATGTATTCTTCTGGGGATTTGTAGAGGTCTGTATGGATTGTAGATAAAGCATCCCAACTTTCAAAGTGAGGATAAAGAGTCCAATAACCACGTGCCCTTGCTAATTTAAGAATATACTCTAGCCATGATGGGTACGTTTTGCTGACGTAGTTCTTACCCAAGGTAGCTGGTGGAAGCAAGGTGTGTTGAGAGAACATAGCTCTAGCTACGAAGTCATGAAGTTCAACCCATTTATCTCCAAAATAGAGAGCAGCATTACTGTTTGGAGCTTGCCATAAAAATGGACTAGGGCTTACACTTGGGGGTATCGGTGGAGTGAATTCCGTCGAGTCATTGAGATAAGTAGTTGGTAGGTCAAGACTTATCCCAAGCATATTCTTCTGAGCCACTGCTCTATTGTAAGAGTATCTGTACTCTAACAGTGCGAATTTGAGGTAATGGAAATAAAGCGGCGAAAGCTCGGCCTGAGGAGAAAGTACAAGGACATGAGCAAACATAGGGTTTGCAGGCCAGAATGATTCCATGAATTTAATCGAATTCTCTTCTGGGGTAAGTCCATGTTGTGGAATGCGATGATGAAGTGTGAGACTACTCTGATCTTGACCACGCTTTGGTGGCCACTTGAAATTGGCAAGAAATCTTTTAGTAGGTTCATCTACATCGTGCGGCAATTCTATCGTTAATCTTGGTATATTGCTGGAAAAATAATCGGCTTTCTTGAGAGATGTGAGTAACCTAATTAATGATCCAGATTGTTGTGGTTGAGCATGAACAATTATATCAATACTAATTTTGGTCCAAGCTATGATCATCAGCCAAACGCATATGATTTTTATTCAAGGATGTACTTACCACTCAATGCGGCACTATCCAATTGAACAATCCACATTAGATTTTGTTCAATTTTTGCGGGCAGTTCAATTAGTGTTCTGTCTAATGCGTTGGCTCTAGTCCTAAAAGCCGAGATCAAAAAATCATCTTCATCCCCAGATGTGTCGATAATCACGGCTTGGGGATGGACAAAGGTATTGATATGGTTGAGACCGGCAGAACAACTGACTTCCATTCGAAAATCTGAGCTATGTAGAGAAAAATCGGGTCGTGCATCTAATTATGTTAGATATATCCAACAAATATTTAGGAAGGTGTTCATACCATGAAAGAAAATCTGACAATCCTTATTGATCCCATTAACAGACTTCAAGATATCCATTGGTATATCATCCCTTCCCATAAACGCAAAATGTACATAATTTCTTTCTCGTAATGCCATCTCACAAGCAATAGGTAATAAACTCGAGGCACTTTTCAAACTCGAAGCTGCAAATAACTAATAATCATCAGTAATGAAGAATCACATTGGGTCCCGGACCAAGGACATACCACATTATTATTGAGAAGGTCGGATCCTTTGACCTTAGACATCGCATGCAATGTTGTAGCTAATTGATAGAATCTGATGGGGCCATTATAGGTGTGACCAGATAACTCGGTCGATTCATCATCAGTTGATTTCGAGACTTGTTTTGGATTGAGTTGTGGAGATGGAGCTTTCGAACCGCCGGTCCCTTTCAAACCAGCTTGCGCAGGAACTCCTCCAAACTGAGTATAATGAGGTCTTTGTCGCGGATTCTGTAGATCTGTCGGCATATACTTATAAAAGTAGTAAAGCCCAATTCCGACCAGCAGACCAAATATAATCTTCTTGATTGATCGACGTTGAACATGTGGCCTTCGATGTTTCCAAGCCAATCCTAGTGGCGTTTTTGAGCCAGGCTTATGATCATCATCTCGTTTCCCCAATTCCACATCACCATTGAAAAGCCTTGGTGGGAGAGGCATTGTCGTTTGCACTTCCCACCCTTATCAAGGGAGTACAGCCATGCGGATAGTGTAGGTGGTGAAGTCGTAGGTTCAAGTCGTGAGTGAGGTATGAGTGAAGAATGTAGGACTTTTAGTTGAGTCTTCACAAGAGGATATACAGGCGATTATAGAAGTGAGCTTCCGCGGTACAAAAAATTGAAGGTAATACCTAGGTAGATGATGAATGAAGTTCGCATTTCATTTAACATTATAGGTACATATTGAATTCTAAGGCAGGGTAGTTTAAGGTTACTACTACTAGTTGCACGGATGTTTCGATTGGACTTGGCATTATTGATGGCTGGGATAGAGCTATCGGTAAAGTCGGCCGCAAACATCAACCCCACTATTAAAAAAGAAGTTAAATAAAGACACCTCGACAACTACTTTGATTGATGTCAAAACAAATAACAAAAGAAGCAAAGAAGCTCCCAAAACTGCAAAAGTTATGTGACCAAACTGGGGCACGATCCCAGGACCTTGTCCGTTTCATTAACAGATATTAATTGTTAAGGACACGTGATAACCAACTACACCATCCGGCCAATTCAATTGATGCTAGGGATAGGTGCGTTTAGATATATATACGAATTTGATACAGAAGAGACCTCGTTAGGTGGGGCGACCTCAAGAATTCCTCGGCATTGCAATAAGTAGGCAACTTTCCTTTATTATAGAGGTCCATATAAAGTGTTTCAGGTGTACCTAACATTTTAAATGTTCGAATGGGATCAATGTATTAAACGATTTCGAGTACTTGAGCAAAACCGATAATACAACTGTTCATGAATTGATAACTGACTTCAAGTGAGTCAAGAGGATGTACCTCGCGAAGCTATGCGTTGGTAAACAATACTCGAGTAGAACACTGGTACTGCAATAGTCAATGGATGGTAATTCCCTCACTACAAAGCGATCTCAATAGCCAAGGTATGGGGAGTCACCAGCTTTTTTAAATTATTGTTACTTAAAGGCGACGATGTGCCGTCTGACGAAAAAGCCGAGATCGAGAATACGCTCGAGTTACTGGGTATTAACAGAAGGATGGATGGCGAGGCCAGGACTAGGTCTTGTGGAAAGAAAACATATAACTACACTGTCTGTGGGGCGAATTTTATCGATCAGCGACTTTCCGCCGGATGGATCAATGCTGCATATCTTCTGGTCATGGCAATAAGCACAGAAGAACGCAACGCGGGGTTGAGAAGACTGCTTGAAGATGACCATGAGATACTGCAGAACGAGGCAGACTGAAGGTACATACATTCTTGCCATGGCCGACATTGCTTTGTGCTAGAAATGGGGGGGAGCTGGGTCAGGTCCGACACTTGGTTGAAGACGAATGGAGCGATCACCACGACGATTATAACCTCTCCACCTCCTCCGAAGAGGGCTATGGTCATGATGAAACGGATAGTGAGGCTATGATCAAGCAGAACTGGAGAGCTATGAAGTTGACTGAGTCTACTGACACATTACTTCAACATGACCCGAATAATGTCGATCATACCGTTATTATCAGTAAGAATACTAGCAACGTAAGGGAAAGAAGAGAGACTGAGACTTCTTACAGATGATATCGTATCCGTCGACTCATGCAAAACATGCTTTAGTAAGACAATGAGATATCAAAATGACAGACCATGCGCCTGAGCAGCAAATCATACTCATTCATCGGCAAAGTTGCTGTTGGATCAGCTTCTCTACGATATTGTGACTGGTACTTGGAGTCTTATCGCATCGGTCGCGTCCATGAGAATGCGTGTGGTGGTGTGCGAGCCTAATATTAATTAGTATAATTTTATAACTAGTTACAAAACTTAGTATAACTTTATAATTATAACTTTATAATTAGTATAAAGATTAATATAAAATCAGTATAATATTATAATTAAATCTATGAATAGCTTCCAAATTAAGCGAACAATCCATGATTTAAGCGTTGGAAGGGAAAGGGTGTCGCGGAAGAATATAAGGGGTGAGGAAATTGAGGAAGTTGAAGATGAAGTGGTAGGATATTCCACACAAATTGACGAGAGTCCTTATGAAATGGTAAAGAACCCCGATGAACATCCTCTGCTAGTGAAAGTACGAAAGGAGCAGAATGATATCCAACGCCAATATGATGAGGAAATGGATGTGGCAGTTAGGGGAATTGTGGTGGTGGATTCTCCTTCAGGGCAAGGGAATTGCACAAGCCAGGGAACGAAGACTTGGTAGGAACATATTGTCAAGCAAGTTAGTACACAAGCTAATGAAACTCTGATAGGAACGTTCACGTTAATATAAGGAAAACTTTCGCATTCCAATCACAGCAAAGGTTACAAAAGATACTTCTGTCGATGTGGCCAACTCAAAAGCATATCGGAATGATGCACTTGCGATGGCGATGGATAAGAGCCCGACACCAGGCCGCGCACCTCGCGAAGATACATCGTGTTGGTAGATCGAAGCCCAATGACAGGCCCATCAAATTTATCTAGCAAAGATACAGTGTCGACATCTCTATTGCCATTAGTGGTTTCCCAGGGCTTATTTTACAAGCAATTGAAAATTGGAGACAAACGTGTTGTGAAACGCCAACACGACGACTAGATTAATATTACCTACTCAAGCCCTGTTCCTTCATAAGCCTCAAACGACCATGACGATAACGTGGTGAGTGCTAAAAATATAAAAATACTAGAATGATCGCTCCCTTAATGGCGGCAACATCCGGCTGAGTAGTATCACGAAGAAGGATTTGCAGTTGATTGATATGCTACTAGGCAATCTTTGTGCGAACCTATCTCCAAGTATATATTAACGGGTCAAGTTAAATATGCTCAATGTCTCGCCGGTTGGATAATGGTAGTCGAAACTTCTGAAATGCTGTAGATTGTTAGAAATGGGTTTTATGTATTTAAATTTGATAAACTCAATCTTTCTGAAGGATTCGATGTTTCAACTAAGGGGGTATATGGGATAATTGGTTGTTCCTAGAACATGAAGATATTCAGAAGCTGGATGAGGAACTCACTAGACTGTTATTTCGATTGTTCTTAAAAACTTGAGATATTTAAAAAGTCAAATAAGGAACTCATTAAATCGATACTTCGGTTGTCTCTAAAAACTTGAGATATTCAAAAGTCGGATGAGGAACTCACTAGACCAGTGCTTCGATTGTCCCTAAGAACTTGACATATTCAAGAGTTGGATTAGACTCATCCCCAATCAGGGTATCCAATTGTCCGGACTGCAGCCCAACAATAAGATATTCTTCTTAATTTCTGAATACATCTCAAGAACATTGAAACTATTTCAATCATTAACTTTATTTGAAATAATGCATTACTTGAGATAATTCAAATGTTTTCAGAGATTCAAAATGTTTCGAATATTAAAATCTCTCTAACTGGACTACATACAGTCCGGACTATTGGTCCATACCCTGGAGCCTAAGAGACCAGGCGATACACAGTATAAGTAGATTGGAAATTTCAAGACCTCAAACATATTCGTAGCCCCAAACAAACTCTTCTCGAAATACTCGAGATATATATATATACAGGGCCATGCTCCACTTGATATATATGAAGAATAATCGTCCTATTTATTGAAGTCTGGTGCCAGACCTGACTAGTGAATATTGACGAGAGTGGCTAAGCCAGGGTTCCAATTTTAGCGCATGGAGCGCTTAGCTCTCTCTAGGCGTCATGTGATTGGCCCCGATGTAGGAGAAGCAAAACTAGGGAATGACTCCACCCCACCCTATCACACCCCAGTGACCCCACCCATACATGCGGGTCCAATATATATGAACTTCGATTCGTTGAAAACAGGCGCGTTTATTGAGCAATTCTCATAGTAAATTGATCAAAAATAATGAAAATAGATTCAAAAAAATTTATATTCCAATGCCCACTCGCGGAATCGAACCGCGGATCTTATCGTTGCCGTATTTCTATTTATAGATACGAGCGATACGCAGTACCCCTGTGCCAAGCGGGCTATTGTTGTTATATATTAATAACCTGATGTAATACAATATATTGAGGATTGCAAGGATTTGAGATATGTCATGAAGAATTTTGTGGTTGGGTCGGGGGAACCTCGGAAGCTGTCTGTCATATGTCGGCGTGTCGGCTTTCCGCTGAATATTCTTTAGCAGCTAGGATCCACCCAATAACTTGGAGTTGTTGTGTTCTTGATTTGGAAGGAACTCTGTACCTTAATTTTACAACATCTCAATATCTCAACGTCACATCTTGATACATCTATCGAGCATATTCAAAGTGCAACTTTTCACAATACGTTCATTGCAGCCCATCACAATGTTTTAGTGACACTACTATTCATAACATATGTGCTATGTGTAACGCCACTCGGGGGAATCGTATCATTCTTATTTCAATTGTCAAGAAGTCCCTAAGTCCCTAAGTGCTAAAAAAAAACAACAAGAGCCGCGCTTGGCACAGTGGAAATACGTCCCACTCGTATCTATAAATAGGAATACGGAAATGGGAAGAGCCACGGTGAAAATTTCTTGTCTTGATTGGTTCCCGATCAAGACTCGATCAAGACTTCAAAGTCCCTAGGTGCCTAGGTGCCAGACCGACTTCCTTCAATATCCCCCATACACCGAGTTATTTCTACTCCGTCCTGCAACAGCATAATCAGAAAAGTCACGCTATCAAAGTTGAGCTACTTACTGGTTCTCCTGTGGGTTCAAAACTGTTAATCAATTGGCTCTCATATATGATGCTGGGATTGCCTTTGAGTTCGGTATTCAAGGCTTCTACATCCCCATACTGAGTCGCAGATCGTTTCGCGAAATTATCAGTGTCCAACTTTCCTTCCAGCTTCAGCTTCTGCAATTTCTCCTCGACACTACTTCGAACATACTCTAAGTAAGGAGGATTTCCTGGGCTGATAACATTATCGGCAGCGAGAACGGTTCCTTTGTTGATGAGACCCAATTGTTCACACAACTTTAGATCGGTCGTGTATGCTGGTTTATAATGATCTAGGAACATCATATCAATGGACTTCAACCCTTTCGAGTGTAAAATTTGGATTCCCTCATTACTAGGTCCGACGATAACTTCAACAAATCCATCAAGACCAGCAAATTCCACGAGCGTAGTAATAACTTTCGCGAATTTTGGACTCCTTTCTAACGAATAATACTTCTTTCCTCCGGCAGCTCGTACTGCAGACCCGAAAAGTATCGTGGAATATCCACAATACCCTCCAAGCTCGACCATTACTTGAGGGTTGTTCTCTTTGATTATATTGGTAACAATTGCTCCTTTATCCTCACCAACGTTCATGAGATATCTCTTCGTTCGTCCATATTCATCGATGGCTTGAAGCACCTTCGCCGGCGAGCCTTGAATCCTGGATCGATCGGGGTGGTTTCGTACAAACTCAACAAGTTCTTCTTCACGTCCATCATCGAACTACAGAGGAGTTAGGAGTGAATTAAACTCGATATTAACCAGAAAACTTACAAATGTTTCCTCCTGTGAAGCATAAGACTTTGCCTGATCGAATTGAGCCATGTTGTTGTGTATGGAAAAGCTACAGAGAGGCCGAGAGAGCAATGTCGATGCTGCAATGTCGATGCTTGCGGTTGGGCTCATTTGCCAAGCAGCGATTAACCCTTACCGCAAATACAAGATGTTCCACTACATACAAAATTCCGATAATTTGTGGCCTTGTTTTCCAGGCACTATAAGTTACTGTCGTGTTCGGATCTCGATTTTCGCATGTTTTCAAAAGATGTTGGTGTCATCGATTTTTTCGACATGTCGTATTCGGCGTTGACTACCAACTTTTAAAGTGTATTATCCACATGCGTATATCAAGATTACAGTATCAATGTACCTCGATGCACTAAGGCTTATACTACCGCTTTAGCTTGAAAGGCGATGTGGGGGAGCTTTGTTAGCTTTGTTTACCAAGTCTCTGAACAACACGGTACCGGTACTGGTACTGGCACTTTGATGAAAGCGTACAGAATATGACAAAATTACGGAAACGTCACCTTGTAGTAGTCTACAAGATAGCAAGTTAGTTCCCAATGAGAATGATAAGCAAACGCACGCCTCCAACCTGAGGTAGTACCAACGGGTAGATGCGGACGTTGTGCTACGATACCAAGTGTCAAGATTTCCAGCCAGCAAAGTTATGAAGATAGCGTAAGGCGGACCGTGGACTAAATCTACCCGAGATCTGGAACCAGCTGATCCTGGGGTTATGGCACTTGCTCATGCTAGAGCATTTGCGCATTTGCATACCAGGGGGCTGGGCCGTTTCCTTGGTCTTTGCATTCTCTTCGCGCTTGCTTGATGCATTCTCGTTAGTGTACAGCGATAGTTTCGCCCTGTAAATTCAAATCCTTTGTATTTGCTTGTCCCTGGTTTCGGAATTGTCCTCCAAAGGTAGTCTGGAACGTTGCTATGGCTGATCGCAATTCTGATTAGTGTGGGGTGATAATGTCATAGACTTATTTTATGGACTGGCCATTGTCACCTTGCATGTTTGACGGCACAATCTCCGTACGTCGATTGCTTGCATTTGACCAATATCGATATGTTACATCAAAGACATTGGTGAATGTTTGATATTTGTGGTGTACTAATGAGACATGGCTTGGTCTTGGTGTATGATGGTGCAATATTAGTCATTCTAACATTAGATTCTTAGTGACGTTGGTACCGTTCTTCACCTGCCGTGTGTTGTTTAAAAACTCCCCTCTCCCGAGATTTGTTTGAGATTATCTACAGCAACACTTCCCCACAGCACACCTCCTTTTCATAATTAAATATGTCTGACCTTAAAGCGTCCGTCTCAGAGACCACCTCAAGTACCGGCCATGTCGGATTCCATGTGGAAGGCTATGAGAAGATTGAATATGACTTCACTTTCATTGATGGTGTATTCAACATCGACAATCCAAATCTTGCCGACTGCTACAGCCATTGGAAGAGATGTTTAGCCGTCACCGACTTGAACATTTACAATGTCTATGGAAAGCAGATGGAAAGTTACTTTGAGCACTATGGCATCGAACTAGTATTCCATAAGACAAAGATCGGAGAAAAGGCCAAAACCATTCCCACCTTTTTGAGTATCGTGGATTCCATGACCGAATTCGGAATCTATCGCAAAGTTTGTACTCTGACCGACTTTTGACAAGTTTACCACGTACCATTCTAATATAATTCTAGGAGCCAGTTCTTGTTGTAGGAGGAGGTCTTGTCACCGATGTTGCTGGGTAAGTCACATGTTGTTGAAATGCAACCCTCTCAAGATCACGAGAATAAAGTCTGATAATTTATTGTTTCACAGATTTGCCTGCGCAGCATATAGACGAAACACCAACTTTATTCGTGTTCCAACCACTGTCATTGGACTGATTGATGCATCAGTATCAATCAAGGTTGCCGTGAACTACGGTAATTACAAGAACCGACTAGGCGCCTATCATGCTCCCATTCATACATTCCTTGATTTCACATTCCTACGAACACTTCCTACTGCGCAGATTCGCAATGGCTTTGCCGAATTGATCAAAATTTCATCATGCTCTCACCTCCCCACTTACGATTTACTTGACAAATACTGCGAGCAGCTCATCGAGAAATCTTTCGGTCGAGCCGATGGCTCTTCCAAGGAATTGATTGATGCCGCGGACAAAATCAACAGAGAAGGTATTCATGAAATGTTGAAGTTGGAAACACCAAATCTTCATGAGATTGGTTTGGATCGTGTCATCGCCTATGGGCATACGTAAGTGATTTACTGATATGCATCTCATACCTTGCCAATTCTAACACCACCAACAGATGGTCCCCTCTTCACGAACTTGTTCCAGATACACCACTCCGACATGGCCATGCAATCTCCATTGATATGGCTTATTCGGCAACTCTGGCCAATCAACGAAAGCTATTGAGTGACGAAGAGCACCACCGGATCTTGAATTTGTTCTCCCGTGCCGGCCTTTCAATGGATCATCATCAATTTGATGAGGAGATTCTTGCCAAGGCTACTGCCGCCATTCTCAAGACGCGAGATGGTAAACTGAGAGCCGCGGTACCAAATCCTCTTGGATCTTGCACCTTCCTAAACGATGTTACAGCCGAGGAGATGAACGAGGCTTTACGCCGTCACAAACAGTTGATGAAGGAGTATCCAAGAAACGGAGAAGGAATCGAGGCATACGTCGACGCTTCTGATACTGGTTACACGGAAAATGCGAAAATGGAAGAAGAAAGAATAATTGCAATGGCCGCGAAGAAGGCCGGCCAGCTTAATGGCACTAATGGACACGTGGAGACAAAGATGAATGGACATGTGGAGGCAAAGACGAATTGCCATGCTGCTTCCACAAACGGAAAGGTAAATGGTCTCGTCAATGGACACGGTATTGGGGCCTTGAGCAATGGTACCACGGGCAATTACTCTTGATGGATGTTTGGATTTCAAAGGGAAGGAAGGTTAATGTTTGAATTTTTGATATTGTCGGACGATGGTTATGACTTGTACGATTTCTTTAGAACGATTTATTTTTTTATGGATTGGATGATAGGTATAATACTTGCAAACCCATTGTGTCTTTCTTTGAGTGATGAGTGAAATAATATATAAATGTACATTCTTCTCGTGTACTCTCACGGATCTCTCATCCTCAACTCGAATGCGAGTGTCAATCGTTGCAAGTCCTCGAATCCTTTTTAAGTAGCCCACTGGCATTGAAAGGTATGTGAAAGTTCAAGTACATTGCAACCACCCGGCACGACTAGTGTAGATATACATATACAGTGAGCTAAAGAGGCGTGGGCAACTCATCATCTTCCACAACTTGAATCTCAACTGGCTTCGAGGTTAAAGGGGATCGTATCAAATCCACCCTCTGCAGAAGCTCGAGAATCTGTTCTGCTGGCCGATGCCTCGTGTTTATTGATTGTACGGTGCGAAAGTCAATAAATTGTTTATGAGGAGTATCTTTCAGTACCCTTCCAAGCCTTCAGATTCAGAGACTAAGCGCATAAAAGAGGGGGAATGACCGGGAATGTTCAGACGGCATCCAGAGAGATGCGATCATGGCTAGGTAGGTCATTGCGAACACGTGATTTTGAGTATCCCGATTCTTCTTCGACTCCTCCATTCTGAATATCTTTGTGAGGCTTCGAAGGTCCAAAGTCAAATCGATATGAAAACGGAACACATGGCTGATTGGAGCTATCTCCGACAATCATGCTTTGTTTGAAGTCTACCCATATTCCAGGCATACGAATCAAGAATCAGTTTCAACCCGAATTACTCCCCCTATCTTAGAAGCTCTACCTGAGCATCTGGAATGTCCAGCAACAGGGCTTGTATTCTGGACACTTCAAGAATGGTGGAATAATTTCAAGAGTAATTCTCGATATATTTAAGAGCTGATGATTGGATGCATGAGGAAAAAGAAATTGACTCATATGAATATATATAACACTTGCTACTTCCGCTAACCTTCGGTCAGAACGTGGTATGTGATTTGGGAATGCATTCTCAATCTCCTCGCCGAGTTGACCTGCTACGCCGATCGAGGATTTCATTTACTTACACATCCATAAGAAAGTCATGTCATTTTTCGAGATTGCCCTAAGCTAGACCAATATGCACAGGAAGTAGAGTTATGCCAGCAATTCGGTTGCGCTTCATCTATTGTGTATGAGGGGAATATCGCTTTTCATGAGAGACAAGTGATGGACGAGAGGAAGGTGTATTAGAACTGGGAAGAGCATACTTCTCTGAAATGCTTCATAAAGCAGTGAAAGGATGGTATAGGTATGTATCGGAATACAAAGTAACGGTAGTAATCATCTTAGTCGAGTAGTAATGGAAGGAAAATAGTAGGAAATTGAGGGAGTGTACATACAAGCAAACGGCTAGGATTTCTCTATAATGATATAAGTGATGGGGGCATAAATGCACTGATTATGTCATCAGTAGAAGCTTGGAAATATGGGGCGGCTCACCGCCCGCTCGTTACTTAAAAAGCTCGGAGAGTAAAATTTCTATCTCCTTCTCTCCTTCAATCACAAAATTCTCAATTCAATAAACACTGCCTTCCATGCAGATCCGCCAACACATGAGATAAAACCAAAGATGCACTGATGCAATGCAATGTACTTGATGAAAAGGCTGGTATCTTCATCTACAATTTTGCAGGTTTCAACTACGATCAATTCGCACCACTTCTTGACACTTGAACTGCTAACACCCGCGACGCTCACAATCATCCATAAAAGGTCAGTCACAAATTCTCTTACTTATTTCCTCATATCCTACAAGCTTTGTGATGAACAAATATAGCTTTTTAACCCCGAGTGCTACGCACCCTGAAGACTAAAAACAACAACTCTAATTTTTTCCTGAATGCTTTCAATCATCATCATGTTATACAATCAATCTTGGTTATGATCATATGCTGACTATCTATATAGGAACTGCCATTACTCGCAGACTTTAGACGCTTTACTCATCTCCAACATCTGTACCCAGTTTCGAGACGAATTTCGCACTTACCATTCGACACTGCTCCGAAGCGTCCACCTACTTGGCGCGGCTTGCGGACCTCAGTTGAGGACTTGCAGAACATAAAACAAGCATTATAATGGATCTCCACATTTTTGATAGATTGAATTGAGAATTGCACACTATTAATGGGTCAAGTCTCGAACTTGAAAATATCTCTAGACCCATCACGCTACAAATAATTGGTTGGCGGGTTGCGTCGACAGACTTTTTCCAACTTTGAGCAACATTCGAACAGCCCAACCAAGCATTCCATCTTTCTGTAAGTCGTGATTGTAAGAATGCAAATGATATGCGATGAACAAGATATACACCTGTGCGAAAAACACCGTTTGGTAAACTGTTAGGACAATATCGATATTATTTAATGGGCACGATGCGGCAATTAAGGTGACTGAATATCAATGGAAGCCATATTTTCCTGTGAAGACATATCTTTGTGAAAGCCCGCGCTGTTCAGGAAACAACAATTGCTTGATGCTCGGTCCGTTGATGAACACCACACGTCTAGCAGACTTCTTTTTCATGAGAGCTTCCTGCAATGCCTCGATCTCCAAACCGACCTTGAACACTCGAGTCTCAACGTTCGGATTTCTCACCGGATCTACAATTCCATGGTGTCATCAAAATCGCTTGGTTGAAAATGGTTCTTTTTCTTTTGCTTCTCATTTTACCGTCGTCTCTGATGCGCATTGTCCTTCCCGGCAACCGAAATTTGTTTCTTTCCGTGGCCGCCATTGACATCATAACTCCCTGCTCGCTAATGTTCTCTCCGAGCGAGCCCCCTAGCCGGATGCGAGGTAGCGAGAGTTAGTGCACCCTTATTTCCACATTCTAACCAAGTTAAGCTCACGTCCAATGTGCATTGGGACGAGGTTTGCCATATTAAAGGTTGATTCCTTGTTGATCTTCTGCCACAATCGTGCCGTTACTTGTAAGTGCAACGACATATCAAATACCCCATAAACTATTTGGAAATAGAAATGTCGATCTCACATGTTGGAGCAGTGTCGGATTTCCCATATATACTAAAGAACATGGGGCGGTACGATCAAAGTCGAATTGATACATTCTTCTACATATCATAGTGTTCTTGTCTCCATCTTTTTATCGATCTTTCTATTCATATGTTTTATGCATATTTTCACTGTCACATTTGATAATTTAATTTTCCAATCAAGTACTTGAAGATCTCCAAGTGCGTACTACCAACACACGATGCGTCTACATTCATTGCTCGCAGCTGTAGCTGGACCTATAGTTCTTGCAGCCCCGGCCCCAGTTCCAGCTCCTTTTCCTAAGCCGCAGACTTTGAGGAATCCCATAAATGGATTGGTGTCCAGTGGCGTAAATGGAGTCCTTGACATTGGTAGTTTGACTTCGGCCATTCCCGCAGTATTAACCGATTTGGCGGATGTATTGACTGCTGCAGATACAGTAGAACGTAAGAGCATTTTGCTTCAGCATAAACCAGAATTACTATTAACTTGTCCTAGAGGCGATTGCAAATGGCACGGTCTTTGGCACTGACGTGCCGGTGCTTGTAAAGAAGTTATTTTCGGCTGTTAAACCTACGGCTACACCAACCAGTATTCCCCAAGCACAGAAATGGGCTGCTGGTGTATGGGGTGTATCTGATCCTTCTGCTTCTCCAACACCACCGGCAAATATCATTGCAAATGCTTTAGAGCTTGTCCTTGATGGCTTCACTTCCAGTGATCTACAAGCTGTAGCCTCAGGAGCTGTAAGTAATGCGATTACTCGCTAGCTTTATAACGCTGACCTTCATCAGAGTCCATTTGCCAACTCGGTCAATAACGTGAATGCTCCAGTTTCATCGTCCAAGAGGTTCTACAATAACGTTCATGAAAATGCACCATTCTCCGTTGATGAAAAAACTCTCCGAGCTGCAATTTATATTCCACCTGGATTCACTTGGGGCAAGAAGCAGCCGGTCGTCATGTCACCTGGCACTGGTGTGTATGGCTATGTCAACTTTGCGTCTAATATAGGCAAACTTCTTGCTACAACGGACTATGCCGATCCTGTATATTTGAACATACCTAATGCACTACTCTACGACGCACAGATTAGTGCAGAATATGTAGCTTATGCGCTTCAATACTTCTATGCCATGACTTCACAGAAACCCGCTATCGTCACATGGTCTCAAGGATCTCTCGATGCCCAATGGGCATTTAGTTCGTATTCCCCCATACCTCTTTTCCAAACATCTAGCTAATACCCCCAGAATACTGGCCATCAATCCCCCAAATCGTCACAGACCACATCGCCATCTCACCCGACTACCACGGCACCGCCCTAGCCTACCTCCTCTGCCCCGGTTTCGCCACCGGAAACGACATTGTCTGCACCCCCTCCATCCTCCAACAAACATACGAATCCAACTTCGTCACCAAACTCCGCTCCAACAACGGCGATTCCGCATACGTCCCCACCACCACCGTCTATTCCCTCACCGACGAAATCGTCCAACCGCAAAGCGGAACCGCGGCATCGGGTTTCCTCAACGATGCGCGTGGCGTCGGCGTCTCGAATACTTTTCTTCAGGCCGCGTGTGCGGGGCTGCCGGCAGGAGGTTTGTATACGCATGAGGGTGTGTTGTATAATCCTGTCGCGTACGCCTTGGTGACGGATGCGTTGAGGAATGAGGGGCCTGGGTCGTTTGATAGGGTGGGTGATCAGTGTGGGAATGTGGTTGCGCCGGGGCTCAGTTTGAATGATGTTATTGAGACGGAGGCGTTGGTACCGTTGTTTTTGCTTAATGTTTTAAGTTATGAGGATAAGGTTACTAGTGAGCCGGCTTTGATGGGTTATGCTACTTATTAAAGGGGTGGAAAGGGGGGGGGGGGGGGGGGAGGGAGAGATAGAGAGAGGGGCTTGTGGTTGTTAATGGTTGGTTTTGGAGGGGATTCGTTTCTTGTATATTGTATACCGTTGTATGATTGTTTGGATGGGTGGTTACATGTACTGTGCTGTTATTTTGTATATTATTGAAATGTCTAGGAAATATATCGGAAGGGAAATGGAGAAGACAATGGGAATAAGAGCCTGAGGGTATGACATACAGTATCAACTTGTGATAATGTCTCATACATATATTTTCTGCATTTAAAGTACTCCAGTAGAACAAGTAATGTTGCCCATAACCATAAAGGAATTTAATCACCAAAAGTATAATCTACTATTACTCACAAGCGGATACTGGGCAGAGAACTTTGGTTTACCGAAAAGGAGAAATGTATTGCGTTCTTACTGCTACTAGATAACTTGTCCAGACCACTCATGCCATTGATACATCAATCAATACCCGTGAACTTCCAGTAGACTGACTTACTAATTAACCCAAAACTTGACTATTCTCCGACAAGAAGAAACTGCCTCTGACATGTGCTTGTTCAGCGTGTCCAGCTTGTTCAGACAATACGCTATCAAACCTAAGCCACAAGATGCAAAGTCAACCGCGAAAGTCAATTAGAAAACGCACACATGCTTGTAAAGCAAAACGGTGCCAAAAAAAACATCAAAAAGAAGCGATGTCAACAATTCCTTCGAGAATCAACCCGATAGCTCATGGTCAAAGATGAAAGCTCGAGCCTGCATAGTTCTGATGCGTCCACCTCCTTCAATCCTTGCATAACCGATTCCATCATCCGTCATAGTACCGCCTTTACTCAAATCAAATCCGCAATCTCGGTTCTATTATCCTACAGAGACGCAGTCCTATTTCCGCTGGCCCATCCCCATAATCCAGCACCGAGGCCAATCGCAGCGGTGGTACATTGTGTAGCCGTATTTACAACAGCGACTCCGTAACCGCCCATGCCCGCACTTTGGAGGTATGCGAATCCACCTTTTGCCGCGGCCACACCGATCTTGCTATGCAGGAATGTTGCGAACGATGCTATCAAAAAAGTAAGTTATATGCTTTGCTTCCCCGTCCTTTTTACTTACCAGCTCTAGGTCCCACCGAAGTATACCCCAATATCCAGAGTATCGGACCACTTGCTGCAGCTGGTGCGAAGAACACGACCCCATTCACAACGAAGAAAGCTGTTTGCCAAGGATTTGCCTTAATCCAACCCTTGATAACGTTTGGTGTGTCATCCCAGTTGATTTTGTAGAATTTAGCGTGTTCTTCCTCTGCCTGTTCCCGTAACTTTACCGGAATCAAAGCGTGTTCGGTGTCTGTCGTTTCTTGGATAGTGATGCCTTGTTTCTTGAATGATTTCACGACACCAGCTGTCCATTTTGAGCTGGCGCTTTGGAGCTCCTTGGCGTCGGAAATTGAGAGATCTTGTGTGGAATGGTCGACGCCATTGGTAGTTTGGCTTGAGATAGCTGCACTTGCTATTAGGAGCCCGCCGACGACTTTTAGGAGCACCATAACCACGGCGGTTGTAGGTTGATATAGAGCTTAAGATAATTCGGAGATGATCGAATGAATATTCGTTCTGATCTACTTAGCAGAGGCGTTCATATGAATGAAAGAAAGTGAACAGAAGAAAGTGAAGAATGAAGCAAACGGCAAGTTGAAAAGTAATGTTTTCTCAACTGTTGGGTCATCAATCTAAAGTGTACCTTGCCACTTCTATGCCTGTGGTCTGCCGTAAAAATATGAGACAGGACAGCGCGTAATGTTACATGCAGTTTTAATCCAATAGAGATGTGCCTTTGGAAGTCCTCAGTATTCGCGGGGCTTTTGTGAATTCTCAGATCTTGTCTCCATATCTCATTTGAAGGCATAGAAGAACGTCGCTGGAAACTCTTACCATTGCCATTCACTAGAGTATCTGCTAAAGAGCATCATGGCATACTATAACAGCTTTCAAGTATATGTAGACAACATTGAAAATCAGATGGGAATGATCGGCTGGGGGAATAAATGTTCGAGGTACTCTGAGAATTGCTTGGATAAGGTCGGAATGTCCAGGTCGAGAGTGACAAATCATCCCAAACAATTCCGCATTCGAGAGTGTAGCCTTATACATACTCTAGGTATCTATATGTGAATGCTTCATTTTATTGTGATTGATCAATTGAGTGAAGGATTGATTCACTCTAAAGATTCGCTTTAAGCTTCCTTCGCGTCCCCACAACACGCCAGTAACGCGACCAATTTCGGAATTCACCACCTCGATCGTCCTCAGCTCAGTTGCTACACAATTCCTGTTTGGCTGAAGCGCCCTAGAGGATGAATATGTTGTGATTTCAAATGTGCCGTTTTGAATTGCTGGGTACTATCATATTGTTATACCACGACCTGGCAGATTGGTTCATGGGCAAGAAGGAAAACCAGTACAGCTTCCACTGTACTCCACATCAACTTCTGAGTTTACTGATCATGAAAAGATCCAGTCCTCGGCCAAAATGCTCCACGAAATACTCCTCTCCCTCTCGGGACATCCTTCTCCGCTCCTCACTGCCGATCATACATCCTCATTCTCTATCCTCTCCCCCTCCGAAAAATCCCTCCTCTCCTCTGTCGCCAATTTAAGTGATCTCCACTGCAAACTCCTCGCGCATACAAACGCTATATCTTCGAAACACTCTTCGAGCATCTGCCAAGCGGTTGCTACATCTATAAGTTCCGTACATCTTGCAAGTTTTCAGAGAAAAGTGCTAGAGGTCGAAAATGGCATCTTGCGCAAAGATGCTGGGAGTGTGGGCGCTTATAACATTGTGCCCCTGACATTTATCGTGGAGAAGTTCTCGGGCTGGACAAGGCGGATGGAGTGGTTCCTAGAAATTGTGAACTTCATGATGCAGGATGCAGGCGGAAAGAAGTGCAGCGGGGCAATGGTCATTGACAAGTTGTGCAATGCTATACAAACAGGATATGTGGATATAGAAGAGGCAGCATTGAGTCTGGTGAAGGTTGCGCAGACTGCTTGGCTGAAGCAGGTATCGGCCTGGATCTTATATGGAAGGCTACCGAGCTTTGGACGTGGGGATTTCTTCGTTCAAGAGGACGAATCAAATGTACAATTTTATGGCTCCTGGAAGATAAAAGTTGCTGACTGGTCGAATTACAGGATTACAAGAATAATAAGGACTTGTTACCAGCGTTTGTGTCTGATGCTACGGCCTCATCGCTTCTCTTCATTGGGCGATCCTTGAATCATATTCGAGTTAAAGGCATCTCCTCCGCGTCCTCTCCAGAACTCGACCTACTATCCTCCCATTTACGACAATTATCAACCCTCAAGTTCCCAATCAATGGTGCCAATTTTGCACGGGTGATAGCATCTATACGTCTATCGCTATCACAAACTACTTTACAAAAGCTCTTGCCCTTAACCAAAGTAATTGAGGCATTGACATTACTACGGGAATTCTTTTTGCTCGGTCGAGGAGAATTTGCCATAGCGCTGATCACCGAGGCTGACGAGAAGATCCGCTCACGATGGAGAAGATCCGATACCTTGGGATATGAGAAGAAAGATGGCCTCGGGAACATTCTTGTGAAGGAAGGGGAAGTTTCTGCTGTTCTTGCCAGGACCTGGGCTGTAATGGGCGCACAACAGGGTCAGAATGATGATGAGGATGATGACGATCTCCTTGAACTTGCAAGAGATCTTGTCCAGTTAAGCATCACAAAAGAAAACCCGAATGCACCGGGAAATGCCAACCTAAGAGCTTCGCAATCGTCTTTGCTTGTCTCCACCCCCTTCCGAAACCTCCTTCTTTCCGTTTCTGTGGCTCTTACACTACATATCCCTTCGCCACTAGATCTGTTCCTTACTCCTTCTGATACCCAGATGTATTCTAGTATCAATGCTTATCTCCTAGCAGTCCACAGAGCACACCTGCGTCTCACTAATCTTTGGAAGATAACATCATTACGTCGTGATCATCCTGCACCTCCCGGTCCACCTGTGGGAAGTTCTACATTTGGTCGAAAGAAGGTCCTCACACTTCGAACTAGAGCGAAAGAACGTTCTCATGCCATGCGTAGCGTGTGGGCAACCAGCAGCGCTGCAGTCTTCTTTCTAGGTGAGACAGAAGCATATCTTCAAGGCGAAGTTGTCCAAGGAACATGGTTGGGTTTTACAAGCTGGCTCACAGGAGAGACGCAGGCATCAAGGTCCCAAGACGAGGATGAAGATATCTGGCTGCAGGTTGCCAAACAATCGACCTCAAGGAATACCAACCATAATCATGATCCACAAACACTTGCAGATGCACATATTAGATACCTCGCTGCTCTAGCATCCAATCTTCTCCTAACCACATCAACATTCACAGATCCATTATACTATCTGCTCCAACAGATCGATCATCTCGTCGCTCTTGTCCACCGTATTCACTCTATTTGGCAATCTCTTGATCTCGAAACCGATGAAGGAGTCGTAGACGCATTCTCTGACTTTCACAAAAAAGAACAGGATGTTAAAGAACAGCTCGTAACAATTGCAACACGGGTAAAAAATGCAATCGAAGAACTGGTCAGGATTTTACGGGAGATAGATCAAGATAAGAATGGCTGGGATAGTGGATACGAAGAATTGGTCTTAGGGGAAGAAGGTGCTTATGTTCCGGCTAAGGTTGGCAGAGTAGACAGGCTGCTGATGAAGCTGGATTTTGGAGGTTGGTTCGATAAGAGGGGTAATGGAGAAACAGGAGATGTCTTTGATGAGTTGGGTGATGATGAATAATGAGTTATTGGTGTATCTTAACCAAGGGGAAAGGGAGAAGGAAAATATACAGGCGTTTTTGGCAGGGCTGAATCATTCTCATGCCATATTACAGCTTATCGGCCATTTTTACTTTACCAGCTATTTGAAAAGAACCATTGTCCTTTCAAAGCAAAGTTGATTAGTGGGGCATCGAAACACTCCACAAACAAAATTACGGTGTCAAACAGGGGAACTCATGCATATTTTGGGAAGTAGCAAGTTGGGTAGGCCGGAGCTTATTTGGTATGTCGATTCGTTTGCGCTGCCCTTCTGTTCTTGTTCTTTTCTTGGTTTCCTTGGCGTCACTCGATAGAAAGTAGGTAAAATCTGTTAATTGGCTCGTCTCCCGTGAGTCTGTGACTTCTTCAACCCTCACCTTCATTTCACGATTCCGAGATGGGATATAGAGAACAAACAGCTTGTTCCATTCGAAGTTCAAAATCTAAATTTCGTTGTGGTATTACCATTACTGAATCGTGGGAGTAAATCGCTGCATTTGATATATACATATAGTGATATAGTGTCGAATTTCCGGGGGAGCACGCAAGCAAGCAAACAAAACTCTATTTATTTGGGGATTGCTAGCGATTTCGTGGACTATTCATGACGTAGCACGTGCACATCGTGAATCTATCTAATGTGGTGTATCTCATGATGTCGAGCAAAACGAAGCGAAGCTGTAGCTCGTTCTATTGGTAGAGGGTATGTGCTGATGGTTTGGTTGGTTGTTGGCTGTTGGCTGCTGGCTGTTGGCTGGTGATTCGAATAGAGGATTGAATACTCTATGCTTGATGCTTGATGCTTATCTCGGACGATTCGTTCTTTGGTCGGTATATGGAAGCAAGCAGTAAGTAGGTGGAAGGTGGATGGTGGAAGATTCACGAGAATCCGAGTTCCTTGGTAGTTCTTTTCCCTTGGCTCGAAACTCTCAAGAGGAACCAATTGAATCATTCTTATGTATGTGCTGCGAAGTCGTGGGTACAGAAAACAAATCTTGGGAGACTAGTCGTATCGGACGTATGGAGACAGATTAGAGATTCATTGCTTGCCTCGTTGAAAGTTTTGCTGGAGGGTAAATGCTTTAGCTTTAGCTCTTGTCCAGGAGCTAGCCAGTGCGTTGAAGAGACTGATGTTTCGATCCCGCATTGCTATTGCTCTTGTAGGGGAAATGAAAATTATATGTGGATTATATGTCAGTATGTTGGCTATTCACGCATAGCGTTTTAGTACGCACTTTGTAGTACACTTTAAAGCCTGCTTTTACAGCCAGCTTACAGTACCATGGTGGCATATCTGATATCATTGCAAACCATACTCGAGTATAGGTATAGCAAATAGTCGGAAACTCCCCGGATCCAGAACCAAGTTCTCCTGTTAGCCACCACACAATACCATTTACAGCATTCGCAAGCGCGGAGTACACGGACTAGGTGATTTTTCAATAGTCTTCATCGTACGTGATGGTACTGTAACAACTGGCGTGACTATCCATCGTGCATGAGGTTGAGTTCTGGCTATAATATGGACTACCCCCGTGGATCCGCATATTATTCATTCACTTCGTACCCACCAAGCACAGCTCCCTGATATAAAGCTGCGGTCCTGTCCATGAAATTGCATTCCATATTGGATTTGTAGAGTTGGAATCGAACAATACCTTATTTGCAAATGCTGGCTCAAATACTCAAATTCTCATATGCTCTATGGATAATGATGGAGATGGAAAGATTTAAACATGGGTTTGATGCTTCGCCTTCGCTTAACCGTCTGGTTGATATTTATTCATCGATGGTATGGTACGAGTATTGAATTGCTGCCTGTCACTTCTCTAGTGTCACTGTTGAATTACTATAATTCAATCTAGAGAGACCCCTATTATGATAGTATGTAAGTCTTACATGACAACGATAGAGTATTCAGTGTACATGAGATATGTATGACCTTCGTGATAATATGCACAGAATACATATCCTATATTTTACTAACTATTATATATACTGTGGATGGAATAATGTATCAACAGAATATCTGAATTGTATGGAAATTATAGGATTATTCTTCCTTCCTTCTTTCTTGATTCACTGGTTCACTTGTTCAAACCCCCATTTCCGATTTCAGACCAAGAAAAGTAGGGAAGTCACCGGACTCTGAAGGAGATAGTAAGTATAGTGACTCAGGGACCGGAACTAGCACCGAGTCAGATGATACATCAAATCAACTTTATTATTTAAGATCTTGCCGAGTCGAATGATACATCTAGTTAATCAACACTGGATAAAAAGATGAGAGAAACAGAAAAGATTCCCAGAGTCGTGGAGAAATGGGGTTTGCACTGGCAGACAAGTAGCACTGCTAAGCTATATCAATTAGTATATTTGGGTGTCTCCTGTGACACCAGATCATACCACACCATCGTTCTACATCTAGATCTGCCGAGTTCGGATAAATTATATGAGGTGACAGCGAGTACGAGTATTTTAATGTACTACTAGAGTATATACCAACTATTGAGTAGCAACATATCTAATCTTTCGACGACAATGAGTATCGCGGTAATTGTGATATTATATTATACATATTCCCGAGCCAATTTTATCCGAGGCTCCCAAAGGTATAGAACTTGAAATCACCTCATTCCTAGAATAAGACTCTGATTCTTCCTGTTTTCTCTACTAAAAGAAAATAAGACCATCAATCATCATTTATTTTTATACACTGAGAATTTGACTAGTAATCTAATAGCCCTATTCTAATAATATGTATAGAAGGCCGTTCTCCTCCCGCCCACTTTCTGTGATTCGCTCATGTGTACAAGAGGCGGCTTCACCAAACTCTACAGAAGGCTATAGGCAAAATAATGAATATATTTGGTTATAAAAGGTGAATGAATGTAATGACCAGATAGCTTGCATATTTGATATTCTAGGCGAAGAAAGAAAGACGTCCCATGAAGTGCAAGTCTGGAGTGGAGATTATTGTAATACTGGTTCAAAGAATTTCGGGATGTGGAAGGTAAGATCTTACCAAGGAAGTTTCAGCTTCGGATCCTGCTATACCGATGCGTTTGGAGGATACTGTATTTGTTGTCGGCAGACTGGCTGATGTTGTTGGTAGTAGTACTCTGGTTGTAATATATTAGGCATTAACGACAATGAATGTCCCAGCTAAGGTGCTTGACATCAAGCATTTCCCTCAGAGATATCAAAGATATCAAAAATCTCAACTCTAGCTCTGTTATGCGATTGAAGAGATGCAGGTCTTGGGATCCATTGTTGTTCGATGGTAAACTATATGATGGAAAGTGAGATCGTTAATCGTCACCTTTTATATATCTTCAAAGACTATCGAGATTCGAGAGCCATTCACCAAAGATCGATTGAGAGTGTATGCGTATATACTCGAGTAATGATAGTGGGGATACTCAGACGTCAGAAATGAGGCTGTCCTTTACCTCTCCACATAGCTCTAAGAATTGAAGTACCTGTATATAAGAGTCATCCACCTTCTAATTATGTATAATCCCATTAACAACAGCACAATCATTGACATGACCAAGTTAGGGGTGCTCCGCGACAAGTATGTCTTGCAAATGTACTGGATTGGATCATTTCTCGTAGATAGCAATATTGGTAGATATACTAAATGTATCTTGTGCAAATTCTTCCAAAGCCACTTCACTTCATATTAGACGAAATTGAGGACAGAAAAAAGGAGGTGATGATTTAATAATTTAATAACAGTGATGCTACACATCTAGAATTGACAACAAAAGGAACATTGAGAAATTGGTGGGAAGTTGGTGGGAAGTGAATCTACTGTGAACAGAAACGCGCACTCATCTCTCTTTTCGGGCCTACAATCCCGCATATTCAAAGCATCCGCGCTTCTTGCGATCGATGAAGATTGTTGTTTCCCTCTTTCCCTCTTCCCATCAGGTCGGAGCTCGATCTGGCCGCTAGGTCCATGTAGCGAAGCTTATAAAAATCGAATCCTCTTTATACAAAGGAAAGGGCATCAATCTACAGTACTCACTCGATACAATCACAAGCCTCCCATTAATCATCAACTCAAATCTGAGTCTGTTCCTAGCAAGTGCGTGAGTGTACTAACGGAGTGGAACGAGACAATCTGCGCACATAAAAGTATACTCACTCTTTCGTCGCTTATACTCGAGTAAAACATAGGAGCGTAGTAATTAACTCTAGTAAACTATAATTAGTAGCGATTTATGTGAGGGCAATGTATATAAATATAAGGATACATAATGAATTAGAATAGAGTAATAAAAGATCCTGAGACTATCCAAGATTGTTCTCAGTAGTTAGATGTGATTATAGTTTTGAAAATCTTGAAAAAAGTTAGGGCTGTACCCGGCACTACCTTATCACTACGAGTACTTAGTACTTATTGTAAATGAATCTAGAAGATTTGAAGCATATATACACATACGTATCCGAGATTTCTGTCCTTCGTATCTCAGGCCTACTACGGTACTACCTACCTACCCACCCACCTACCTACCTCCTATTGATAAAATCCTCAAGAGTCGATATCTATCAAAGACGTATGCATCTACATGCATCACCACAAACCCACAAACCCACTAAAAGTTTCGCTTCCTTCTCTCTCCAGTCCAGTCTCTCCAGTATCTCCACCAATCTAATCGCAATCAGATCAAGGGGTTCGTTCCTACTATATATAATAGAAAACCTCACATTTCATCCCACTAGATACATAATATAATTCCTCTTCTCCTTCTTCTCTTCCCATTTTCCCTCCAACTTACCGGGTAGGTACATCATCCATACTCTTCTATCTCTCGTACCTCCTTTCCTTTTCCTCTAATCTCAACCTAAATCTCAATCTCATCTAAAACCCACCCCTCCCACTCCTCTCACTCCTCCCACCCCAAAAAGAAAAAAAGTATCAAACAACCTCCCCTCCCATTATAAAAGCGCTCAACCCTGGCCTCTAATATCCCAATCCCAATCGCAAACCTAAACCTAAACCCTCATCCTCCTCCTCATCCTCATCCTAACCCTCCCCCTCATCCTCCTCCTCATCTCCCACCCCCTACCTCCCACCCCCAAACTCCTAACTTCCAAACCAAACCAATAACCCCTGTATCCATTCCATCCCCCAACCAATATAAAAGAAAGCCCAGCCTCCCTATCCACCCTAGTCCCTAGTCCCTAGACATCAATCAGCATATCTCACACCATCACAACCCCATCACAACCCTCTTATATCTTTTTCCATCTATTTCAATCATAATAACATCCTGTATATAAACTCCCTCACAACCCCCCTCTCATAAACCCGCCCCCCCTCTCCTTCCTATTGTCTCCTTCTCTCCCTCACAACCCCCCTCTTCTATAAAAGATCTGTTCAAGTACTAAGCTAATAGCTAATATGAAGTTCTCCTATCTCTGTATTAAATACACACACACACGGACACACACAGAGAGAAAGAAAGAGATCGAGGAAAGTAAATGAGCTGGAAGCTAATACATTACTCGAGTATAACGATAATTTAGAGCATTCATCCATTCATTGATGGGAGACTTCCCTGAGTGATCATATAAGATCTTACAATAGTATATAATGGGGAGCATACGAGACGGTAAAAGCAGCTACAGAACAGTCACGAATCATCAACAGCATATTCATAGATGAATAGGACGAAAAACGGTTGTATACTCATAGACCATCCATTCATTGTATTGTTCATTCCTAAACTAAATCTCCATGAATCAAACCCCCACCCCCAGTCCTGTCCATCTAGACGCTATTTTCCATTCCCTACACCCACCCATCCAGATACCATCTATCCATCAATCCATCAATGATTCAATTCATCCACCCCAATCCAATCCGATCTAGAATCCGATCCGATATGCCAAACCACCCAACATGCTCTTCCACATCCACAACCACACCATTTAACCCCCCCCCCCCCCCTCTAAAAATCAGCCTTAGGCAGCCTCAATCCCCTCAACCGCCTTTTTAATAGCCTCCTCCAACGCACGCGGATTAGCACCCACCACCTCAGCGATCTTCTCCTCTCCCTTGAAGATCAAAAAGGTAGGCATGGCTCTAATACCCAACTCTTGTGCTACATCTGGCATTTCATCCACGTCGATTTTGACGAAATGAGCGGCGGGGTATTCTTCTGAGAACCTGTTTGGTGTTTGTGTTAGTATATATTGATATTATGTTTGATCATCCATTCAGGAGATAAGATGAGGAAACACGTAATTTGATGAGTATACAGAGCGAAGGAAAGGAAAGGAAAGGAATGATAAGAAGAAGAAGATAAACATACTTAACAACTTGAGGAGCGATAGCCTTACAAGGACCACACCAAACAGCAAAGGCATCGAGAACGACGATTTTGTTATTGTTAAGAACAGACTTGAATTCCTCCGTACTATTATCATTTGTTAGCATTTGTATCTGTATGGTATGTATTATCTTTTTCTCGTCCCCATCACATCACATCCATCACATCTCTGCTTTCGAGATAGATATTTCGCAAAGCTCTTCAAGCTCTTCAAACTCCCCACATCTCATCATATCCTATCCTCATCGCATGATCCCATTATTGCATCTCATCCATCGCATCCATCGACAGGATAGGATAGAATAGGGTAGGATACGATTTGATTTGACACAATAGAGTAGAGCATGAATGAATAGCCACAAGGACATCCATCCATCTTTCCCCAAACAACCATCCACCAACCAAGAAACCCTCCAGAGACCCGCAAGCAGAGCAGCAGAAGCAGCAGCACCCCAACCGAAAAGAATCAATCAATAATAAAACAAAAAACTCAAACTCACGTTGACAAATTATGAACACCCATCTTTGCGAAAGATTGACTAAAAGTCCTTTGATGAAGAATTGCTTGAAAAGAAGTTGTGATGTTGCTATTGCTATTCGTCGCAGTAAAGTTAGATAATCGATTTAATGTGCGTATTGGTGTTGATGTGCGTATCGATCGTGCGAAGAATGACATATGAATTCTCTTCAGATATTGTTGTTTGAAAAGAGAAAAGAGAAGAGAGAGAGAAAGAATACAGGTATTTGTATGTTGTGAAGTTGTGGTGTGGTATGAGTGAGATGAGATGAGATGAGGCTGTATTGATTTCTAAGAGGGGTAAAAAAGTAAAAACCTAAATATGCAGGCTGAAAATTGAAAAATGACGAAATCGAGGAGGTGAGGTGTGTAAGCAAGAGGGGGCTAGAACCTATAGGGTAGGTAAGGAGGGGTTATCCTTGTTATGTGTGATGGATGGATGATATGATTGGTTAAGAGGTTCTAGGGGTGTTTTGGGGTTTTTTAGGATAGACATGGATAGAGGATGGATGGAGGGGTTGTTATTGATTATATGATTATATCAAAAGATTTATATTATTGTCATAACTATTAATTTTGCTATTGCTAATAATATTAGAGTATATATATATCTATTTATTAGTACTACTCATATATCATTCATTCACTTATGGCATCAGTATCCATTAGTCAGCAACAAACCGAAAGTTATCCGAACCACAATCACAACTACAAGTATCTCTTTCTTCCTTTTCATTCTCTTCTATTCGATATCTGTTTCTATTGTATCAGCACCAAACATCTATTCAATAACTACTGTACCTGTCCATCCATCCACAGCTTTATCAACAACCGCAAACAAACCCAAAACCAAATACAAACCACTCCTCCTTGACTCCCATATCGAAAAGTGCATCATATCATAGTAATTTACACTGGAACAATACTAACTAATATCTATCTATCGGTAAGCTGTATCTCACTCACATATTATATTGTTATATATTGCATCCCAATCCAATCCATCCTATTCCATACAACAACCATCATCTTCTTCTCCATACTCCATACTCCATACTCCACTCCGTACTCCTTTCAGAAAACACACATACAATCATACAACAAAAAGAAAATTACTTTTTAATACTGTACAAGGTATTTCACACACAAAGCATCTCTTCTCATACACATTCATATAAACTTAAACTCATATATTCGAGTAGAGTAATAATAACACAATCCCAATACAATCTCAATCTCATCCATAAATCTCAACCACAATTTCAACCACAATCCCATCCATAAATCTCAATCTCATTCACATTCATTCATCATCTCAATCTCATTCATCATCAACCTAGATACCTACTACCGAATACCTACTACCGAATACTGATTCAATACTATCTTTTGTATCTATTATTTAAACCAAGATATCCATTCATCCATCCATTCATCTTTGATTTGATCTCTTTTCACTTTTCTCTTCTTTTTCTCTTTCTCATCTCATCTCATCTCATCTCAATCACCAACCTACTCCGTCTCCCATCCCCTCCCCTCTCCTCCCTCTCCCTCACCCAATCTCACCCCATCTCACCCAATCTTAATTAACCCCCTCCCAACTCTCTTCCTTTAAAACATCACAAAATATCAAGGCTCAAATTCTCAAATCTCAATATTTTAAATTCTCACTCATCTCATCTCATCTCATCTCCACTTCCCCGAAATAAAGTTTGGCAAAAAACGAAGAAGCCAAATAGCAAGCCATTACTTAATACTATATTTTGATCCCTAACCGCCTAATCCCCAAGAGCTCTGCTCTCTCTCTTTTCCAAACCTCCCCCCCCATCCCCCATCCCGTCCAATCCCCTGCCTTAAAAAGTAACATTACATATTTTTCTCCCCTTTTCCCTCCCTTCCCTCTCCCTTCCCTTCCCTTCCCTTCCCTTCCCTTCACCCAAAACCCGACCCCCAAAGGGTCCCTGTGAGAAAAAATTGGAGTGACGCCGTCATAATTTTTTAAAAAGATCCGATCCATTTCACTCCCCCAACAATAACCGATTTCTTTCTTCGAACCCCTATTTCAAATACATGTTGGGGAATCGATTCGGAAAACATCAAAAAGCAAAAAAAAAAGCAGAAAATTCTATGTGCTAGTGGGATATCAATTCATTATGAAACGGAAAAAAAAAAAAAAAAAAAAGAAAAAATGGAAAAGAAAAGTTTTTTATCGTAAGCCCGTGAAATATCGAATGTGGAGTGATGGAGAGGTGAGTAATGATCATGAGGAATCGATAGTTGATATATAGAATAAGAACATCTTGGACAATGACGATGTTCGAGACGAAGCTTTTTTTGAGTTGTTTTTTGAATCGAGTTGAACCATTTCAAAAGGGAATGGTGGTTGAATGAGCGAATGTTGTTGACAAAAGAAAAGCGGCAATGAGCGTGGGTGTCGATATTGACAAAGAGTGTTTTAAAGAAATGATTAAAAGAATGTGGTGCTCGTTTTGTCTCGTCATATTGTCCTTGATTATCCTCAGACTATCCATTCGCCATTCGATCCCTACGAGCCATTGTGACTCACACTCGTCCTTCTCCTCTCCCCTGAAGCTCTTGACTTCATGTCAAGCAGTCTCGCGCTACCAGCACTAACTCTTCTGACATGTCCGAAGTCGACACTTGTAGCTCTGCTCATACCAGGGCTATCCTCGTCGACAAATTCAGCCTGGTAGCTAATACTTCTACGGTCGCTCGCAAAACCTCCAGCGGCCTCGCCCAAAAGTCCTTCACGAGATTTTGCTCGTTCACGATGAACCACTGTAGGATGTCTTGCCACAGCTCCCCATTTTGTTTTTTCTTCCCGGATTGGGCTTTGTTTTATGCTGCCTCCATCTTCTTCGTCGCTAGAAGCCATGGGAAGACCGATGGATTGAGGCTTCATCATGTTCTCCTCATCAGGACCTGGTGTAATGCGACTAAAGTATTCGTCTTCGGCGATTCCAAGTTCTTCAGAAGATTCTGACAATTCCTTGTAGCGCTGTTGTAAAGAGCTGGCGGAATCTCGTAAAGGTGCCAATGTCAATTGAGTAGATCCTCGTTTTGAAGTGGTCTTTTTTCCAGAAAGCCATGATCCTTCGGAATCGATTGATGCAAGAGACTGTGAAAGAAGAGTAGTTGGTTCTGGTGAAGGTACAATTGTTGATCTGTGACCACTAGTAGGAGTACTATCTCGTAAACGCATAGCACTGATTGGAGTATCATGCCTTCGTTGCTCTTCAAGTGACCTTCGTATGCTAACCCTCTTGTCCGGATAATCCGTCCGGATTGGGGGCACGACATCAGCCTCGGGGGATTGAACGCGAGAATCTGGTGGTGAAATCGGAAGTTCTGGTAGGTCTTCTCTAAATCTTGACATGGTTCGTTTGGGAAGATTCGATGTTTGCCTCATCATTGGTGTATATCCCAGATGCGATGGTGGCCCATTTTGGACTGTCTCTCGCGAAGTGTTGGAAAAGGATGGTGTGTGAGCTCTGCTCAGTCTCTTGTTTCGTCTGAAGAATGATGTCCACGACTGAGAGGTTTTGGCTTCCACGGGCTGTTTGACAGGTTCTGGCTCTACCCGTTGCTTCTTAGATGGAGAAGGAGTCCTGGATTTATCCAAGTTTACTACCTGTGAGATACTCGATGGTCCTCGAACATGGCCTGGTGGTGAAGCCGGTGGGGATACGTTGGCTTTGCCAATAGTGTCAACCAGAGCCGTTCCCAAGAATGGCTCGGAACGGTCGGAAGAAGGGATTAAGTTCTCATCGGCGAATGGAGTTTCATGCGCGGCAGAGTCTTTATGGAAGGCATCTGCAGGTCGCTTTCCTCTGCCCGAGTCCCAAGTATCTGATCCTCTTCTCTTACTTGATGTTGTTACCACAGAAGTTCCGATACCTAGGCCTACTACCTCTCTTCCTAGTACCCCCCTCTCCATGTTATCTGGCGGTGGAGTGCCATATCTAGCTGCAGCCGCTTCTTCAGCCTTTTGTTTCTCTTGCTTCCTTGCTAACCTTCTCTCCGCCGTCAGGATTTCGGCTACCTTCTTTCTTTCTTGCCTCTTTTGATCTCTTTCCATAAGCTCTCGAAGCTCTCGCGCATCTAGATCATCGGCGAGTTCATCAATTCTCTTGTTTGCTCTTAGTACTTCTTCGGGAATATGTATGCGATCTGAAATACGCCGTCTCTGCGACTCTGATCTATCCGAACCAAAACCCGTTGCACCAGGCGCATATCGAGGGTTTTCGGAATGTCGAATCGTAGGCCGTGGTGCCAATGAATCCAAAGCAGATATCCTCCACGATGTTTGATGTTCGGAATTCGAAGATACTGAAGATCGCATCGACTCCGCCGTCGGTAATGAAATATCGGAATGGGGATTCTGTAAATTTCCCCTCAAGCCAGTTCGCATCCTCTTACTATCCCTCTTCATGGGACGACCAGAAGATGCGGCATCTACGGCCGGTCTATTAGGCATAAAAGAAACCATTGCTTTAATTTCCTCCTCCCTATTATAATCCTCCTTACGCTTCTTACTCGACTTTCGTCTTGAAAGTTCCGCAGCGCCTCTCTTGTGTAATGTTGGCACCCTCTGCCAATCCTGTAAACTCTCAGCTTGTTGACCTGTAACTCCAGTTGTTGCTTCTTCTCCGTCTCGGGCGTCTGCGAGTAAGGGGGGAACAGAAGGTCTATGCGCGTCTCGTGGCACGCGTATGCTATCGTTTCGACCGGGAGAAAAACTGTATGTCCTTTGCCTGTCAGGCTTCTGTAGTTTTTTCGAATCCCTCGAGGGTTTTCTTCTCCTTTGAGTGTCCCTCCGGCTCCTCCTTCGCTCAAGGACCGATGAAGGGTTTAAATCGGATCCATCATGCTTTCCAGGGTCCCGCTGTGTGCCAGCATTGTGCATGGTTGAGTCTTCCGAGCGAGACTTGGTTGCCCCACTGCGCGACGCTCTGCGAGTACTTTTCCAATGGAATGGCCACATACCCATCTTTCCATCGATATGTATAAGACAGATGTTATGCCCCCTCTCAATATTTACGAGGTTGGCACTGGGAGGTAATATAATCTGTGTCAAAAACCGCACAAACCTTTAAGGAACGCCAGAGTTTCGATCTAGTATCTGCACACGTTGATCATGGCCATTAATTGTTAATCTCGACCGAGTTATATGTGTGAGGCTGTGAGCAAGCGAAGAAACGTTTAAATCCACGAGGTCCTTCCTTGTCGCAAGTTTTAATAAATAGGAAATTGTTTTGTGAAAGTGGATCGCATTTGCGCTCGCATGGCGTTCATTCAAATATAATTGCGCTGCTTGGTTGATTTGATGGATTGTTGTAGGTACCGGTAGGTATGGTATGTGTATAATTTGAACAAGAAGGATGATAAATATTAAACGTTAAGCCAGACAGGCAGGACGAAAGATTGAAAAGTTCTTCGAAATGGATGAAATATTCTTGATAAATTCGGGGAATTCGAGATCTTGATTCTTTGAGGGAATGTAATCTGTAATTCGAATGGTATTTGAAATTGGAATTCTTTTAATTACGAGAGTAAGGGAGAAAAGAGAAGATATTTTTTTTAGATGAAAAGATATGGTTGGTTCATTCGTTGGTATGTGTGGGTGGGTGTGGTTGAGTATGGGTTGTGGGTGTGGGTGTGGGTGTACCGAGTGGAGATGTACAAGATGTGATGAGACTTCATGAGAGAGATTGAGTTTTGAATTTTCCCAATGTTTTTGCCAGGTAATAATGGATGATGTGATGGATGTGATGGGATGAGGGGGGAAAAGAGGGATGGGATTGATTGATTGATTGATTTGACGAAGAACTGATCGATTGGATTTGGTTGTAAAGGGAGGAGGGTTAGTTGATAAAAATATAAAAATATCAAGTCTTGAACTCCTTCCCAGTGAAAATAAGATATGTAAGGTTAGGTATTAATTAATCTGACCTCACTACCGGTAACTCAGCTAGCTAGATTTCGTTTCTCTTTCTTGTGCCGTATAAGTCAAAGTCAAAGTCATGATTGCCACCCATACCGGTACTACTCGCATTAAACATTAAATCCGTTCTACAATAATACCTACAAGCGCTCGGTGCTGTACGTACAAGAGAAAGCATCAACTTTTCCCTTCAACTCCACTTCCCTTAGACTCCTCCTCCCTTAGCTCCACTACTACCTAGTCAGTTGAGTCCCCGAGTCCTCAAACCCAAGTTACGAGATGAACCAATCCTTCTGATCTTGATACTCTTCAATTCCACAATTTTGAGCCCACAAAACCTCAAATCCACAAATCAGGCACAAGATCAATCGAACTGATTCGAATCCATCGTTAAAGACCCTTATTTAGGAAAAGAGTCAGAGTGTACGCTATTTAACGCTTTTGTGTTTTCCTTTCTCAATCTAGAACCTTTAGAATCAGGGATCTATTGAATCAACTTGGATGATCATATATAGAGTGGAGTAAGATGAATAATTATGCATTCGATTTTTGTTTTATGCGTTGTTTGATATTTATATACAGTAGTTATTAGATATTAGGCCATTAAAACACATTCCTTTCCTTTGTATCTGTACCGATATCTTCATTAGTCCTATTCTGATATAACTCTAGATAATGCATATTGAAACAATTTCTAGGATGAACAGGAAGGAGAGAGAATACCTAGGTACGGAACCGTAGGATCAAGGTATTGTATTATGGGCTGACATCCATGTATTCGGTATAGTATGATGGATATATTTGGAATAATGTACCGGTACGTACCTGTACTCAGGTAGTCTGCCTTTAGAATAAGCGAATAAGCCCCCGATGATACCTTTCAAAGTCATTAACCCTAATTCCCGAAAAGGCTTCCCTTTTCATCTGGGACACAACAGATTGGTTTCTTGTTTTCACTGTAACTTTACGAGTACTTTGCTTGGTGTTTGATATCCCTATCTATATTAAGCCGATTGATTATACCATCACTGGTATAGGTATGGATATAGATAGATAGGTAGGTAGGTATTACAGTAACTTATAATAATCCAAGCCATGATTACTCCCTTACTCCTTTATTCATTGATTTTATTAATTGTTGACTTCAAGGGATAGATAGGTATAATCTATAATCACGATACCATCAAATCCTTCTCTTCTCGAACAAACAACTCATTCATATCAATCATCAACTGCATATGCATATATATGTAGGTACAGTACTCAAGTCACACTCCCCAATCCGAATTATAGCCTGACACGTAATTAATTATGCAGCCAAAAACGTAGAGTAGGGTAGTAGGGTAAAGGTGTATCCATCCATCCCGTATTACAGAACCATAGATAGATAGGTCCTAGAGGCTAGGGGTGATAATCAGATCCTCGTGGCAGTTGTATTATGGCGGAGTTTGATACCACCCTGACAATGATTATCATTTTTCCCTTTCCTCATTCACACAGACTTGTCGATAGTTATTCAAATCATAATACCAGTAAAGTAAAAGCCTAGTAGGTATGATATGATCTTCCATAAATACAACATCACGCTCCCATAATACTCGAGTACATGATATTAGCTTTCTCCATGATCGCCCGTTTGTTCTCAAGACTCACAGAGTCACAGGTGATCAATATCTTCGGTAGCTACAAGCACGGATGGATGGATAGATGGGCGTTGACGATCCCACATCTGAACGGCCAGCCAGCCAGCAAGCCACCCACACGGGCTGGAAACTTTGACCTGGAGAAGTTCAGGGTGCTTGTTGGCGCTGTTATTAGTTCTTGGATCTACTACCAGCTGCGGTTCATCCGTTTCAACGAACGAGTCGTGAAGAAAGTGGTTCAGAAAGTAAAAGAAAGTTTGAACGGTTTAATAGTTCCCCGTGTGTCACGGTTATAGTTCGTGTTTGTGGCGGATATAGCGAGCGAGTAAGCTTGAGTGATCACTGTTGTAATGGGATAAAATGATCCTTCTCTTTTGTAATGGAAATACAAATAAGATCCCTATTACAAGTACATTATACAAATACTCATATTACTAATACAGTACCGTATCGACTCTCGACTCTCAACTCTCAACCTTCCAATAGCCATAGGTAAAACAAAACATCTTCTCCCAATCGCGATCACTTTCCTTACAGTAAATAAAGGGTAAAAACTTCCTCTTCCTCTTTCTGTCTTCTTCACCAAACCAAAAAACTAATGATTGGCAATTTTGGCAATTATACTCGATTGGGAATAGATATGCAAGGAATTATACATTCCTTCTCATTTCTTAGACATATCCAAATACAATATTGTAATAATCCCAGTTGTAAATCATTGGGAGAAGCCCAACCCTCTAATTCGGGATCTTTTTAAGTTCTAGTTCCTACTGTACTCTTTTGCCAAATCCGTACATTTCGGTAATTATCATAATCGGTTGGTTACTCACAGACATTTACATACCTAATTGGAGCACGGCACGCACGCCGTTGGATTGGAAAGTTTAAATTCAATAATTAATCTATTTTCCTTTTAAAGCGTGGGATATTTGAGTCTTTGGTTTCGTCATTACAGATGTACCAAATATACTCTATCAAACTTCAAACCTCGAAACTTAGACCGTATCGTATCATAGCATATCATATCATATCATATCTACACTCTCAGATAACCCCAAGTTCAAGCATCTCTATTTTGTTTTTCTCACCTTTTTGTTATTTATTTTTCACGGGACGACAGTTCACAGTAACAGTCACGGTCACGGTACAGGTAAATGTACATGTACCGTCGGCATCTATCTAAATTCTGTATATGTAGGTGATAGTCAGTCAAGCAAGTCATAGCTTTGTAAATTCTAATTCTTGGGGGTAACGGGCGGCAACGCACGCACGAGTAGACAAGACAAGACACGGCACGGCATGGCATCTACACCGAACTCTATAAGTGCTTCAAGTGCAAATTTAGCATTACTGTACATGCTCAGAAGTTTAAAAGTTAAATCTCGAATCTCGAATCTCGGATCTCGGATCTTGATATCGAAGTCGGCACCCAGCAATCGGCACTCAGTACTTGACACTGCTGTTGTTCTTGAATCACTGGACTGGTTTTTGTGATATGTTGTATGATTTAATTAAGTTGTATATTCTACATATCATTTAGGACACAGCTCTGTTATTGGGATTTTGGTATTGCTGTTCCATAAGGCCATAAGGTTTAGACTAATAATATTATCAGACACGTGACTCATTTTAAACGAATGACTTTTTTTCTGTCTAAAGTCTAACACTGGCATACGACTTCTTATCTGGTTTCAACATCAACCTCAACCATATCAACTAATAGGTGATCAGTAAGTAAGTAAGTACCACATGTATACAATTCAGTTCTTCTTTTTGAGATGATAGTGTTAAAACGATTACAAAGTTGTATGTTTGTTAACCTCACGATTGAAGATCGATATTAACAACAGCAAAGAGGTTGTGTTGTGAGCACGATGATTGATATAGTTTCAAGTGAAACTACAATTATAATGAAGTCAATTTGCAAGTTATTAGTTTACACCGACCCTTCTCAAACTGGTTCTAGTTATCCAGAGTCAGACTGGCCGAAATAAACCTGTTCAAAAAATCATGCTGTTTTTGTATATTTTCAATGATTTGGGGCATATTATCAGGAAAGCGATTCGAGTTTCGCGAGAAAGACAGCTGTCTGAATCTCTTCTCTGTGATATCCTCATTATTGTACGATATCTATTGTAGTATGATTATACAGAACATTGTACTGCCGTGTATTTGATATAATAACACGATTAGCTGAATCTCTTTTCTGTGATATACTTATCATTGTACAAGATCTATTGTAACATGATTAGATGGAATATTGTGCTACTGTGTAGCTGATAAGATAACACAGTTGACTGAATCTCTTTTCTATGGTTTGCTCATTATCGTATGACAGAAATTATGGCATGAATATATAGAACATTGGACTGCTGTGTATCTTGATCTTAGGAGAGGAAAGCGGGGTCAGAGCTTTGGAGGAATATAATTCACAGCTGAATACAATTTGTATGATTACTGCTTCTTACACAAGTAATTAAATCTCTTTTCTGTGATATACTTATTATTGTACAATGTACATTGTGGCATGATTGTATTGGATATTGTGCTGCTGTGTATCTGATCTTAGGAGGGAAAGCGGGGTCAGAAATTTGAAAGAACAGTAAAGTTTATATCGGCACTTCGAGTGTGGTCCCCCAGTTGTGAACAATTTGCACGATCACTGCTTCTTCAAAGATTACTGTATCATCTCTTTTTGGTGAGTGGTTTACGGGTTCATTTCACTACTTTGGCCCCGTGAAACAGCACAATGAAGGTGTTAGACAATGATGAACGGAGAAGATATAAGATTGATACTGATTCTCTCAACTTTCATACTGAAGAGACAAAATTCTCATTTCATGAACTCAATTTCTTATAATCAACCATCATTCAATCGAGTTTCCTGGAGCTGTTGATCTATTCCAGCCTAACAACCCTGTAGCAATGGGTAAGCCTTCGTCCTTTGCCCGGCAATTATACAATGCTAATCCACTTTCCACGTAGCTGGACTCACAGCCGAAGGCATCGCAGCACTAGGCGATGAAGCCTCTCATTCCATGCGATGGCTCGATATGAGTCTCTCAGACTCTTCTTCTAATCCAACCGATCCCAGGCCGGCTCGTCAAGCATATGCCTTGAAGGTCATTGAGGATCCTACCAACAACTTTGTACGATTAGTCAAAGACCCCTTGAACCTGATTAGCGTTATGGGCCCTGCGCGTTCCGGAAAGTCCACTCTAATGAACGTTCTTGCTGGCTGCACTACGACAGAACTATTTGCAACCTATCCCGGCATGGAGACTTTTACTAAAGGAATTCAAATTCCAACCAGAGTATTGGTAAGATTGATCACAAACCTTATAGTCACGTAGCTAATGTTACCCAAGACACTTCCTCAGTTCTCTTCACTAGAAGGGGAAACAACTGTGGATTCAAGTACCGAGAACGTCAAGGTGACCTTTGTCGATACGGAGGGGCAAGGTGCCATAGGAGACAATTATGAGTACGTTATATTCCTTAAATTGAACTACTTTGAAGGACCGTATCATGAATCTAGTCACATTCTAATATGAAGAGGGTATGGCTGCATGCATCACGTGTGAGATTTTTGGGGACGGATATATGAAGATGCTCACATGAAGTCCTCTTTTTCTTACCTGACTTCTTCTAGCATGGACCTCTTCAGTCCCGCATTAGTCACGTCTCGAGTCGTCATCTACAATCGAACTGGAGGTCTCCTCACTGAAGAAATCCTTTCACAGCTTGGTATGATGACTCAAGCAGCACAAAGGGTTCGTGCAGGTGGAAACGCTAGATCCGACGACTCGGCAAGTCCTGGAACATCTGGAACAGCTGCGACAGGTCCACTCTTTGGGCATCTTTTTATCATCTTTAATCAATTTCGAACGAATAAGGTCGATACGGTTACCACTCTCAAAAATGCTCTCATGAACCAGGAGCCAGAAACCGATTCAAATTCGACCAACAGGAACAACATCCGTAAACTTCTAACATCCGTCTTCGAATCTATCCAAGTTTTTATCCTGCCCGATAGCCTCAAAAGCGAGGCTCGTGATGATCTTGCTGATGGCATCAAGGATTTTATCTTACTTTCAGACTTCACCCCAAAGTATCTAGAATACTTCAAACTACTTCGGGATGGGCTCTCTAAAGCTTTAGTCTCCCCTCGAGAGCTTACTACTGGAGTGCCACTGACAGGGGGTACAATTGCTGATTTTATGCCCTCATTTGCGGATGCTATCAATCGTTCACAGCCCTTGAACTTGCCATCAATCTTTGAATTGTCTCAGAACAATGCGTTGAACAAAATACAGATTACCTTCACAAATGCCTTGAGTATTGTCTCGGACAGCATACTCAGCGATCCTGCTCTATCGACTCAACTTCTTTCCACTAAATTTGATAGCAATGTGACGCTACTCCTCAGCCAACTTGCTAATTCCATCTCATACATGCCAATCGACACTGTGAAGAGTGCGCAGGATGAAGCCTCAAACTCCGCTGCCGCCGTCAAAGTCAATCTAATTGCAACAAATTTGAGTAGGATCAAGACCTTGATGTCCACTTCCTTGACCAATTTGATTAGCTCAATTGAAACCGAGTTATTGAAGGTCTTCCCAGCCAACAACATCCTGCAATCACCAACAGACATTGACAATGCTTTTATCACTTTGTTCAACAGTCTTTCAAGCACCTTGAAAACCAAAGGTGATATGTACGATCCTCAGGCTTTGCCCAGTGGCTATGAAGCGGCTATACAATCAGCTCTCGATATGCACAAGTCTAGCATACAATCGAAGGCTGCTAGCTCTTGGGGTGTCTGGGCTACTGATTTGACTCAGGCCAGCATCAAAGCTTTGACAGATACCTTGGCCACACTTGGGAGAAACACGCAAGTTGGTAACGACAGCCAATATACTACTAGTGCTACCTCTGTTTGTAACACAGAAAAATCAGCCTTCGGTCAAAAACTCGATAACGAATATCTATGGTCTAATAAGCAAGACAAAAAAGACTTCTTCGCGACTTCGGCAGATAATGCAATGAACACCCAAAAAGCGCTTTGGTTGAAAAATGAAGAAGATGTCAAGGCCAGTCTCAATATAATTTTCGAGGCTCTCAAGCAAACATATGTCATGCAACTTCAAAATTCTATTGTGCCACAGAGCGAGCCTCAATCATTTACTACGATCACCAACCCCACCCTGATCAAAGTTAGTAAAGATCTCTCCATTCCTCATTTAATGGTACTAAGAATGGTTTCATAGGATGCATTGCTTCTATTTTGTTCACAAAATAGTCTTTCGACAACAATGACTATCAAGATTGGAACGGATTTCGATGTATTCGTAGCCGAAAAAAAGTCAAATTTTGTCACAACTTATAACTTAGGTACGTCAAACTAGCCTGCAAAGATAAATGAGAAGAACTACTGACTTCTGATCGTTATAGCGTGTGATACTTACAAGGGCTATATTAGCGGAGAGCTCGCTGCCCAAGTGCCTCTTATTCTTCAAGCTTGTCGAAATCAACTAGATCTTATTGATCTTAACTTGGATTCGCCAACCACCACAAGAGACCAGATTGTATGATCACCACTCCTAAATCTCTCAAAACTTGACTGATAATAAGCAATAGACGGTGACATCCAATGCGGCTGTTACAGATGCGAAAAACAAATTCACCTTGGCCAAAGGCAAACTCAACACCCTACCAAATGGGACGATTTCAAGTACAGTAATACAGACTTACCAGTTACAGCTTGATATGGGACTCGAGCTTGATAGAAAGGCCAAAGTTGACAAGTACGATGAGGTGGTGTCTGTGTACAACAAGGCACTTCTCACCGAGTTGGTTATACCTATTGTTGATCAAGTGAGTTAATCAGGATTATATTGTTCTTTCCAAAAGGCTAACTATGCCAGACTCTGGCAAACAATTTCACTAGTACAGGGGCTTTAGATACCAGCATAACACGACAATTGATGTTCTTCATAGCTAGGAAGAAAGGCGAACAAGCGTTGGCTCAGGCGGTATTATATTCAATTCTTTTCTTTGTGGACAAATGGGAAGCTGACTACAATAGAAATGGGACGAATGGAAGACAAGAACCTATCCTGCTCTCGTTGAAGTAGTACAGCGCAATAACTCATACAGGGTGGATGGTCTAGACGGTAATCTAGCTGCCACAAAAGCTATTCAAGAACATGTATTTAAACTTTCTCGCATTTCTACCTTTAGCAACCTGATCTTATTTAAGAAGGATGCTTACTATTTTCTCTTAGGTCATCGGTAATATCAACGAGGATTGCTGTTCAATGGGTGGAGATTTAGGCATGTCTTACCTATATTCTAGCAGGTTAGATGGTGTAAAACCTCAAGATATGGGTATGTCTGTTACAGACCCTACCAAACCAAGTCAGCAAAACTCTCGAACCATGCGCTTGAACAATTCACCTGGTGGTGGTTATGATGTAAGTTTTGCTTTCCAAGTTATACAAACTTTACTAAATTGGATAAAGGCAAACCATAGTACAAATCTTGAGTTCTTCGATTGGGTTGTTGAGGTAAGTCAAGCACTACCCATAATGAATGTGGAGCTGAATGTGTATTGATGTGTTTAGGTCTCGGAAATTATATGGGGTAAACCAATCATTACTGATCTTAAACCCTTGAAGGTACAAACAATTTTCTGCCTTACCACTTGAATGCCTACTCACTTGAATGATATAGCTTGACACGACCGAATATCCGGCTCAAGCCACTCCGTAAGTCTTACCTCGAAGCTTTAGTAAACTAGCTAACACCTTTTAGCATGACTGTCATAATAGGCTCAATCAGTGCTGTGACAACTACTGTCACAGATAGTCAAAGTTGGGGTGTGAACGCTGGAGTTGAAGGTATGTTCATTTCCTGTAGCCTTGCACAAGATGCCACTCATGCAGCTGGATTGTTTGAAAAATGGTGTGACAAGCACTACTCTTATGATGATAGATCGCTATAAGTGAAATTGTAGCGATCTTTCCACCATATATCAGACTTCCTGGTAGTGAGAACAGTGATTGTTCCGTAACGTTTCAGATTTTCTAGCCGCATTAGTCTAGGATGAGAATTGAGCAAGATGATAGCGCTTTTAATTCTCATAGTAAGTAGTTACTAACATTATGCAATAGTCGGTTACAAATTCGGAGTAAAAGATGAATGGGAAACCAACATGAAGGCAACATTCAATGGAAACTTTTCCAACATTTCGACCCACTCAGAATCATCTACCTACACCACCTCGACATCTGCACAGATTACACTCCCTGCCAACCGTGTTAATTGTGTCAATCAGATGGTGTTCGATCAAAGAACTTCGTTGCCATATACAGCCCGTGTAAGGGTTGTTCCGAAATTGAGATTTCAAAATGGATACACAATATATGGTTAGTGATTCCTAGAAGTCATTTTGTTTATGTATGCTAACTCTCATCTACAATCAAGGTGGCGGGGGAAGTTACGCCTCAAACCCCGGTACAGCTGCTCGGAAGCCTGCCTTCAAGAGATCGGACAGAGTTTGTGAGTATATCAAGTTCTTTCGCTGCATCCTTTCCAATCTCGGTATCCAATGTCCATCCCCATGTTAAAGTATCCACACACTTTCCAACTTGGAGAAAGTATCATTTGCAAACTCATTTGTTATAACCAGATACTGACCTTTCGATCTTGAAGATTGCTCAAATGCGAAAAGTACCTTTGAGTTCAGAAGAACCGATGAGATCCGGGATGATGCTCTAAGTAACGCGGATCCTTGGGAGGTATGTAATTCTATGTTCTTTGCAATCCTATCACTAATTTATATGATCCACAGTGGGCACTCTGTATGCAGCGCAACCCGTACCTAAGGTCTTCCCTTGACAACCTCACCCAAGCATCAAACTATGAAGTTTTTGTCAAAGGCAAATGGGAAGGGATTACTGGGAAGTATGCAGTTACGACGGTGACTCCTAAAAATACTTTGACCACTTTACTACCCCCTTCTTAAACGTTTAACGAGGGTCGATTGAACCAACGAAGGTTACTGTTGGTCCAGGGCGAGTTGGCAGAGTGGTGAGAAATGAGAAAAGTTGATGGGCTCAGATTGAGGGAACAACGGGGAAAATTTACGAGGGGCAGAGGAAACTAGCCCACGACACCCAGTCCGCAAATTTATTGTTTTTTGCTTTTTGCTTTTTGCTTTTTGCATTTATGATTTCAAGTTCCATGATCTCTATTTGTCCAATGACCATAGAAATTCTCTTCAGCAATCTTTTGGTTTTATTTTCCATTTTCTTTCTTAATCTCTACTTTCTTTCATGGGTCAGAATTTAGTTAGCGACTTTCAACAAGTTTAGCAGTACTGTAATAACCTAATAACCAGATCTAATCAAGTGCAAGTGCAAGTAAATTGAGCTCTAGCCTCTAAGTGACTATTAGATGATGATTCTAGAGTAGTAACCTTTCCATCCACCTCGCAGTCACCGTCACCATCCCATCTCGTCAGTCTTCTTGCTATTATATCTATATATCGTGTTGCCTGTTTATTTATGTATTTATTTATTTATTTATTTATTTATTTATTTATTTATTTACACGAATCCAAACAAACACTCGTACAACCTCCTATAATCTCATCTCTTTTTAATGATAAATGCAGCGTTTCACCACTCACATCCTATCCTATCCTCATTTTGGGTTCCTTTACTCGAGTAATTTGAATGATAGGATAGGATAGGATAAATGGAAATTAAGGAGGATAAGGAGAGGATAGGATGGGATAGGGAGGATAGAATGGATAGGCTAAAGCCCTGATTTTAACTGAGTCCTAGAACTATTCGCATTACGAAATTAACCTTACCGTTGTCTTTTGGACACACATTATGAAACTGGGTGGTGCCAGATACTCGAAATCAAATGTATACCGCGCATATCACAATTGTAAACGAACCATGTATTCATTGAATGATAATACTTTCATTTCGAAAAGAGAAAAGTAATCTACTCAGTATACAAAAATAATAATGACTCCAAACAAAAATCGAAAAACCAGTCCAACAACAATCCCGAGAATGATTCCAACAAAATCGAGAATGACTCGAACAAAACCACAAAACGCCAGTCATCCCAATGTTCCATGTTCCATGCTCCATACCATGCATAATCCCATTTTGATATCCATACCCTGCTATGCATTACCGCCAACGCCATGTCATGAATGCAGCCATCAACCTCCACACCACCGCCAACCCTCCCTAATTTCACCCTTCCTGTAGATATACAATATCTAGACACACCTGCTTTGATTATGAAAGAAACATGCCTTGATGAATCCGGATCAAGTCCTAGGTAAAAACCAGAAACCCATCAAGGTCAGTTCTCCATAACCAAAGCAGGTGCGTTTTCGATATCGTATATCTACTGGAAGACTGAGTTCGAGCTGGATTGGTTGCGGCGTAGAAAGATCCGGACTGCGGTCCTGCCAAAGCCAACGATATTCTATTTACAACAGAAAAAAACCCAAACACAACAAAACGAACTTCATCACATCTAATTGTCGGGGATGCCGGCCAAGAATGTGAACTGACCACCGCCAGTTGCCGAGACCAACTTCTTTCCGTTGATATGCTTGTTTTCAAGCTCCTCTGCAACGTAAACATCCGCCTCGCCTTCTAGACCAGTCTGTCTGAATGTGTTAAATCCCCAAGCATGGTGACCACCTGTACCTTCTGGACCAAGGACGATGTTGTGATCACTGCCAATAGCAATGAATGATCCCTTGAATGGTAAGGTGATTGGTGTTTTGATGATTGATCTTTGATCACGCTCGTTCCTAATGATGACTTCCTCTGGAAGTGCCTGCACGTCCACACCAGCGAGACCATCCAAAGCTTTGCCAAACATCAAGACCTCGCCATCGTGGGTAAGCGCCAAGGAGGAAGCATTTCCTGCGGCCATCATCTTGATATTCTTGCCCTTGAGAATATCGACTTTGGTGCCGGTTGGAGTAACTTCTTCGGTCAATGTACCATCTTTGTTGAATTGGCCACACTGACCCATGTTGTTGGCTCCCCAAGAGTAAACAGTGCCATTTTTGTGGACAGCGAAACTATGTTCGGATCCACAGAAGATGTCGACCATGGCCTTTGGTAGACCAAATTCCCGAGGAACAAGAGAATTCAATCTTGTACGTTCAACAATTCTTCGACCAAGTTGATTATGCTCACCAGCACCCCATGCGAAAACAGAGCCTTTGTTATTGAGAGCCAGGTAGTGATTGTTTCCAGCGGCGACCTTGACAACATTCTTTAAGCCAGGAATAAGCATTGGGATCAAGGCCTCTTTGACATCTTTGGTGAAACCCATTGGACCATCAGCACCCTGCAGATCGTTAGTATGATATCAAAAAGTGATGTGGTGATTCAGCTTACTCTAACAGAGCCCCAACCATAGACCAAGCCATCGCTAGTGACAGCATATGTCGCGTTGTCGCCTGCTGCAATCTGGGTGAAGATGGTACCTTCTGGTACGTCGGCCATATCAACTTCGCCGGGGGTGCTCTCCAATGGGTTTTGTGCATCTGTGCTTGATTCATCATCTGATTCTCCATCGGCATCCATGTCTTTCACCGGTGCTACCCAGTCGTCGGTGTATCTACCCAGTGGTTTACCATCGTTAACACCCCATGTAAGAATCTTATTGTCCTTGGTGAGAGCAGCTCCGTGCATACCTCCGGCAACTATCTGGACAACACCACGAGCAGTGAGGTCAGGGTTTTTGACTGGACGAGAAATGGTGGTCTTCTTGGTCTGAATACCAAGACCAAGCTCGCCAGCTTCGTTACAACCGAAGACATAGATGTCTAAGATCTGAGTAGGAGCAATGTTGATAACCACCTTTGGCTTCACAACCTTTGGTTTGACAACTTTTGTTTGTACGACCCTTGGAGCTTTAGGTTTTGGGGCGGCCTTTGGCTTTTTAGCGGGAGAGGGTTTCGCAGCTGCTTTGGTAGCAGGCTTTTTGGCGACAGTAGTAGCTTTGGTAACTTTTGTTTTCTTCGAGGATTTTGCGACAGGCTCATCGATATCTTCGGTGGCCTTGCGCTTGTTGGATTTCGGGGCAACAGCCTTGGCTGGAGCGGATTTAGTTGCAGCAACTTTCTTTGCTATGGCAGCTTTCGTGATAGTCGTCTTCTTGACGGTGCTAGTTTTGGCGGTGGTGGTAGTCTTCTTGGCTGCATCTGCTTGTGCTTTCGCTGCCTTCTTTGCGACAGTAGGAGTTACTTTCTTTTGAGTCGCGACCTGTTTTGTGACACCAGCCTTTTTGGGCGCGAGAGTTTTCTTCACGACTTTTGAAGTATTTGCTTCGACTTGACTTTGCTTCGGAGGAGAGACTTTACGAGTTGAAACTCGAGTAGAAGGAGTGGGAATCTTCTTTGGAGGCATCTTGTCGAGTGAAGTTGTACTGGTAGGTAGAGCTTTAATAACGACGAAAGACGCGATTATGTGTGTTATCGAGACGAATCTTCGAGTACTAAGTGGATTGAAAAAGAGCTTTTGAAAAGTTTTATGTACGAGAAAAGTATTTACAATTCGAGACAACTGAAAGTTGAAGTAATTGATCAAATTCAATTAAATTTGAAGTAATTATTGGAGTATTGAAGTTGTTATCTGGTACGAAGTTGTGTGCGAATATTCGAATATTCGGTTCTGTCGCGTTTCCTTGCAATACCATAAATAACTTGGCAAGGGTGAGCTATTATTGTGGAACCGATATACCATAAAGAGCTTAGTCTCATGGCAGATAACTAACCATCTCTAGCCGTTCCGAGCGACGACTTAAGGTCTCTAGCGCCCACTTGTCTATCTGGTCATGTGATATTCAGCCCGTTCAAAAAATTGATAGGTACTGTCTACGAACAGTAACGCAAGAGTCCAACTAGGTATAAGCTAAAGTAGATGATACTCGACGAAAGCGTATATATACAGTGCCGGTATATTGTCATTACTGTATCAACAATAAGTACGACGACCACCAGCACCAACGGAAGCATCGGTTTCCATATATTCATGGATTTGGGGGTACATTAGCCCAGTTTTGATTCATCGATCCACAACACCCAAACTTTTACTGTAGTTACAACCGTGGCCCCATTGCAGTACAATCACTACTCAAAGCATCTTCGCACCTTTAGTTTTATGCTCCTGACGACAGTTGGCGTCATGGGATCGATAGAAGCCACTACCGGTACTCAAGTTAGCCTTTTGGGAATAGCACATCGCCTTTAACACTACCGAGTCTTTTGGCCCATGTTCATGACCAAGCTTTGCCGTCAAAATAAGTCGAACTTACTTTTTAGCTCTTCTTCATTCACATCGGCAGATAATGCTTTATGGTACCTAGACTACCTGGTGTACCGTCCCATTGGCTATCAGTACTTGCGTTCTCGTCGAGGTCTTCATGACGTCTTTCATTATGCTTCCATTGCCTGTAATTGCTGGTTCACTCATTTTGTCCTTATCTCATTGGTACAATGAGAACCAGAATGGTCTGTGTAGCCCCGAACTGATTCAAGATTCCAATCTCGAGGAGCTCAGAAGTGTCTGAGCTTGGTGGTATGTCTATGGTGTACAGCCCTCTGGTTTTTCATGGGCCAGTATTTGGTTGCTTTGCCCTAATTGTTAGTGTTGTGGTTCTTGTGCTCGATTTTGTCTTTGATGTTACTTCGTACCCCTATTTCTGACCTTAAAAGATGACTATCGCTTCTAGCGTAGATGGAGCGACATAGAAAGTGGTTTGGATGGTGCGTATCATTTGAGGCTCTTAAAGTGCACTTGCACTTAGAATTCACATTACTCAAACAAGCTTAGAGTATTAATGATATCTCCTCGACATATTATTGCGGTTCATCGGAATATCATGTATCATCATCAATGACGGCCACGTCATGGGAGAGGTTCTTGGTAACGGCGTCAACGGGGACGGAAAGCATATGAACGATGAGTCTACAGCAAATCGTGCAAGCACTCGGCTGGAGGGAATACGGAGAGGGTTTGAATGATCGATTACATACAGCACAAATTTTTTTCTATTTGTTTTATTGTGCTATTCTAGTCTTTGATGCAACTAAAATGCCCTTGTACTGGCGAAGAGAGAGGGAAAAAAATATCAACACTTCTTTAGGTCCGCGAGGGCTTTACTTATCGTGAAATATTGAATGATATATATAACACATTCGTTATCAACCAAATATGCAGGCAAACTTTCTGTGCAGTAACAGCCTAACAGCTTGTCAATCGGGTTGAAGAAAACAGCGCCACAATGTATGCACCTCAGATTCTAGCTAATCAGATCAATTCAAGATCATATCTCGTGACTTCGTGCAGATACCAGCCTCTGTTTTATATCATTTTCTTATCGTTGTTCACACTGGCCCAAACAAACAGGAAGTTCGTGTTTTGAAATGACGCTCAGGTATCAGCCAGATGCTCAATCCAATGATCTATCATGGTTATGCTCCGAGGGGCCATATCTAGAACTCATCAAGAAATTGACATCACGAAATCCTTCCCTTTGTAAACCTGACCCCAAAAACCATAGAATTGGATCCCGAGTGGGGACATCACGATCGGTCATTCTGGACATTTTCGCTGACCATAGGGTAACATCTCAGCACTTCAGCAATGTTACTGAACTCAAAACTCATTTCAAGCAACGAGCAGAGGATGACGGGAGTGGAAAACCAAATACAAGTCGAAGAGTATATGTTTTAGAAGGATTAGATCCACAATTTGTAGAGGCATATGGGTCGTACTTCTTCATGGATCCGATGTTTTTCGTCAGGCAAGAAAGAAACACTGTATGGGATATGGGTGATATACAGGAAGGAGTCAGCGATACTCCGTCTTTACCTTCGCTGGATAGTCCAGACAAGTGTTTCCGTCTCAAATATCGCGAAATGAGGAAATTCGGTCCAGACTTCGATCACTGGAGGATGAATTGTGCGACGAGTGGATCACATATTGCTGGAATTGGCTTCGAGTGGAAACTAAACAGTGTGGCTGCGGTGGAGAGAAAGTGTTCCTTTTGGTTCAGAGATGCCGTGAATGGGCAAGAAGGATGGGACGGTTCGTGCCAGGTTCATTGTTCGAAGTTTTTTGTGCATGATATCTACGGGTCGCTGACATATAACATCTGACTTCCAGCTGTCATACTTTGTGAACCCTCGATTCATAAAGTACATCGCGCACATAGTCTATTCTCGCAAGAGATCAAAAGTGAACTATTCCAAGGTGGCTATTTGGACTTTATCGATTTCGATGTCTTGACCCGAGACGGCGTGAATGAGGCTTTTGACGGCCCTCCAAGAACCTGTATGTTCGATGATCTTTGCTTCTATTTTGAGCGTCATAGTCCACTTCTGTTTGAAATGGCAGGTGCGACACCTCCATTGATTGCGTCGGCCTTCCTCAAGAAGATAGTGGCTTCTCATTACATGAAATTGATCGATTGGTTTGAAATAAACGTTCAAAGATTACAGAGAGTAAGTATATTTTCTCAACCAATTAATGTACTGATTCCATGATATTAACACTACTCATCCCACAGGCAGGGTGGCGACTTTCCCATCAAACCGACTTGCAAGACTACGACTCCTGGCCCGAAAAACGCGAACAATGGTCCAGCCTCCAACTTACTCACCGTCGTCTCTCAGAATACTGCACCGACATCCAGTCTATCATCCAAACCCTGCATATACCCTCCTCTCCACCGCACCCCTCACACTACCTTGCCTCCTCCCTCGATTTTCCCTTCATTCACCACTCCCTATCTACCCTCTACACCCACATAAACACCATCATAACCTCGACACAGGGTCTCTCATCCATAGTCGCCAATCGTGAAGCCCTCCACGAAGCTCGTCTATCCGTGCGTGAAGCTAGAAATTCGAAAACATTGACGATTGTTGGGCTGATTTTTATACCGCTGGCATATACAAGCGCACTTTTTAGTATGAGTGATGAGTATAGACCTGGAGGAAAGGAGTTTTGGATCTATTGGGTTACGGCACTGCCGATGATGATACTGGTTTTTGGGGTGACGTGGGGGATGCAGAGGGGGTGGGATGAACTGGGGCGGTGGGGATGGGGGAGTTTGAGGGGGACTGAGGCTAGCGCGGATGGAAAGAGAGGGGAGAAGGTGCTTGGGGGTAAGAAAATATGACGAGGAGCTTTGATTTGTGCTTTATTTTGATCGCGGAAGACTTTCTTCACTACTGAATGATTATATATTCTCATTATCATTCTCGTAAGTTTTCATCATCACTGACATCTGATTTTCATTAGTACCCATCCTGTGAAGCATTGAAAGTATCAATGACAGTGAGATGAGATAGCATCTCATCTTATTATCCCTCTCAATCTGACCAAGAACCCACTCTTCAAAGCATCGCGCAACCATGAAACTTGGCAGGAGAACGAAATCTCCATTCCTTAACCAACGCCTCTACATTGTAGTTCCATATTGCTCCCACGATTATTCATCCATATCACCATTGGGAAGACTTCTTGTCTCACAGGCGACCCAGTTTATATACCTCCATACCTACAAACGTAACAGGGGATTCATCAAAAACGTTGTTCGAAAAGTATAATATGACATGACATGACATGGAGGATCTATAAAAGGCACGAGCTGTTTGTTTTAACCTTTCATATAAATACCTCGTTTCATCTTGTGGATCTTTGTTCTGTATAATGTAGTCAAGCATTTGTTGGCGAAAGCGATATGCTCTAATATGGCAGGATAAGTCACTTTCGAATCTATGGTCAAGTATACTCGAGTAGAGGGTTTATGAGGACACGTTTGCGATATTGCTTGAAGTTGAGATATTAGGCTGTGATGTTCGTTGTTGGTGGTTGTTTATATTGTGGTATATTGACCTTATCATCATCATCATCATCATCATCATCATCATCAACAGTTTCGGAAAATACAATAACGACAATACATCTTCTGATCTCACCAGAACTGTCCGATCCAAGCTCAACCCTACTTGTATCTGTCGACCACTAGTGAGAACTCTATTTGCCGACTAATATCAAGACCCGTGACAATCTCGTCAGAATGGGAAGCACTTCCTGCAAACTCCACGCCAGGGTTAGGAATTTCTTTGTATTCGACGTAATTGAGCAATGGCTTCTTCTTAAATACTTATGGATGGATTGTAATGTTGACCTCCTTCATATGTAAAGCAGGGGAGATATTCGATTGTTTAGCTTATGATTTTTTTCAGTGGAATATAGTGGGATACGTGGAACACTTTGTTCTTTGGAGTCTGAATCTAACGAGTCAAGAATCCTTCGATCTATAAAGCTAGGGGAACTTATTGATTACTCGAAGTTACTCGAAGTTTTGAAAGCAGAAAAGGTAAGGTCAAGGTCAAATAGATCTATCCTCCAATACTCGAGTATTTACGCAAGAGAATGGCCAAATTGAACCTCTTTCGACATGGATATCACTAGGACTAATATCTATAGAAGGTATATACATCTTAGCTCCAAAAAGACATACCGCGAGATATTGTCATCGAATGATTAGACACATTGTCACTAAACCTGCATAGTACTTGCTGTCACTCTCATTTCGTCAACAGGAAATACAGAAATAATAATTATAGCCTAATCCAGCTATACAAACTCATCAATCCACCCTAGAAGCTTCTTTTCCGGAGCAACAAACAATTTTAGATTAGATTGAAACCTCCCAAGTCCTTCCTCTCGTCCACCATATCTGCGATCCTCGTTGATATGAAAGTGTTGGTCAGTCGTAGTTTCACTATCTGAGTCCCTATTTATCGTAGTATATCGAATTTTTCTCGTTTTAATGAACTTGACTCGCAGAGTCGGAATCTTGGTGAATGAATTAGGAAGAGGGCGTAATTTAGTAACTCCGCGAGTTCATGGTTTTGCATCAGGTCAAGGAGCATTTACCTAAATCATGTTAATGAATCTTTACTGTTTACGGGTTATATATAACGGTGTTTGTATATTTAGCATGCCATCAAGTTTGGTAAATATGGATGGGCAATATAGTTCCGATGGGTGCTGTCAAGTTTGGCCTCCCCAGCGTATCTAAGATACGGGATCGCTATTTGCGGTGTTAGTATGTCTACTGTACAGGAACTTGGAAAGAATGTTTAAGAGAAAATGTGAGGTAGCTATAGTTTACACGGTCGATAGTGATTTAAATGCTGTTATTGTGAAACTTACATCATCGCTAGTCCTCGGTCAACTAAGGATTAGATGGGTATGAGAGAGGAGAGTCGATGGAGATTAGGAATCGTACCTGGGATTATACTTGCAACTCTTTGTTGTCAACGTCACTACTCATCACAGAAGCTGAAGCTCTATCCGAGTTTTGTTGTCATGTGTGGATACTTTTGAAAAACAGATAGCATCAAGCTTCACGTTTCTCTTCTGGGAAAACTCTCTTCTATCTGTATTGCGAAAACTGAGTGAGTAACTAAAACTCGCACAGAATTCCACAACCCAACCGTCCTATGTGGTCTTGATAATTACCAGCGTGTGATCTGGCCATCTGTTTTTTTGAAGAGCATTAAAACACTTTATAGCATTATCTGTGCAAGAAGCCCTGGCCCTTCTCATTCACTTGTATATAACCAGTCGTATCAACCTCAATAAAGTAGAGAGCCCGCTTTTCCGATATCGATATGGGAGATAGAACATATTTACTTTTAGCTGTTAGTATGAAAATCACAAGATCCAACAATTGCAATACAAGTTACACTTAAATAATATATTCTTCAGAGAACATTCTCAGTAGTCTTGATTCAAGCAACAGATGAAGTTATTGTCCGAATTTGAGTCAGAGCCGAGCTTGGAATGATGTAAGATATACAGGAAGTTTTATTAGACAAGCTTCATCTAGGGCTGGCTGATGGTACATCGATACTCGTCCCGATTTTCAAGAGAGTGAAGGTTGGTTCGGCAATACTCGTAATTGATCGATATATCTTGATACTATTCTGTATCAGACTATTAGATATCCGCCGTCGTGTAATAATCCTGCGTAAGATCAAAAAGTCCAAGACTTCATACGTCATCATACCGACAGCCGTACACATTTCTTCGTCATTGATGCAAGTCCCTTTCAGCTTCGAAGTCCATGCTGCCACCAAGGGATACAAGCAGTGACTTCACTGATGACCGCCGAGATCCACTATCCCGATATGATCGCAATCGCGATATAGAGGGTAATGCGAGACCAATGTTTCACTCCGAAAATTCGAATGTAGAAGAATGAAATAGAGGGTTGAGTTGCAGCAATAGCACTGATCCAATACACATAATTGGAGACAAGGTCCTAGATGAATACCACATCAGCTCTCCGAAGAAACCCGTACAGATGAGGAGTGCTAATTGACCTTAAACCAAATAATCAATTGTGGATGTTTGAGAGAAAATTCATACAGTAATCTAACATCAACAAGCTGAAGTAGAAACATCACAAACCTGCGCCACTCCGCCTCGCTACCTTCCTTCCCCATGCTCTTCATCAAATCATTGTCATACTGTAAGTAAGTACAGTATTATATCCCCTGATATAGCCGAGCCGAGCCCCCCTTTTTCGTTATATGTACGTACGTACTTTTATATCAAACAGTACAGTAAGCGTAGGAAGCTGAACACAACACAGCCTTGATATTTACATAAAAATTGATATCAGATGTTAGTACTGAGTACTGGAGTAGTTTTGAAACCGAGACCTTGAAAATTTCATACTAGGTGATTATCTAATCTAATGTATGTTTGATAGGGTAGGGTAAGGCTACATTAGGTTAGGTTACTGAGAATAATCTATAGGTAGGTATAGGTATGGGGATGGGTCTTTATGTAAAAGTCAACGTAAAAGTAAAAGTACTCGTTGAGGTTTTTGTATGTGTGTTAGTGTGAATAGTGAAACAGTGAAGTGGAATGTGGATGTGGATGTGGAATGGAAGTCTATCGAGGTAGGTAGTAGGTGGTTTTTGGGGAGGCGCAAGGGTGAGTGAGCATACGTGAAGGAGGATGGGACGGGGAGGGATAATGTAATCGCCTACTTTTGGGGCTGTTTTCTAAGTTTTTGATTTTCTCATTTATTAGATCAGAAGAGGTTGAAATTTTAGAATTTCAGAATTTTGTGTAGAATTTGAGGTTATCGCAGCTGTAGATTTTGTCATTATTGTTATCACAAGCGGATTAGACGAGTCCACCTCATCGACCTTCTCGATACAATTACTCCATCCTCACTTCGAAATGTCCACTCTCAGCAGCATCCTCCCCATCCTCCTCCTCATGCTTCCAATAACCATGGCAACCGTCGAGAGCGATTTTCCCAAATCACCGCGTTCCAACTTCGATCAAGAACAACAAGACTTTGAATCCAATGCTAATAGTGCTCTCACCATTCACATAATTATAAGCGTCGTCGTCCTCGTCGTCTTCATCCTTGTTATCATAATCTTAGCGACCGCTGCACGGAGACGTCGACAGAGTCGTAAGCCGTTAGCAGGGAATATGTATGATAGGCCGGGAGTGAGAATAACGACGGCGGCACCACCTTATAGGGTTGGAGATGATGTTGATTTGCCGGCATATTCGTATGAGCCGGTGCGGGGGGAAACGGTCGTGGCTCAATCATCATCAACGGTCGCACAACCAGCACCGGCGCATGTGTCGAAGGATGTGGTTTGAGGGAAAATCGGTATGCGCTTTGATTGGAGTCGAAAGTTTATGGTAGAGGATCATGTATAATATGTCTGGAGCTTGGAGTTCGCAGTGGTTGTGATGCCTATATGACGATAGTTTGGAAGACAGGGCACACGATGGCGGCGTTGGTGGAGTTGGCACGGTTCTTGGCTCTTGGTTCTTGGTCAATTGGATGTTCAATAATACGCTGGCGGTTTTAGATGATATCGAATACCTGCTCTAGACTTTTGTAAATTGTGTGAAGCGATTTATGAGGCCTGACGCGAAATTGCGTGCGAGAACGAATAATCGCAAACTGCCTCATCCAGAAACTCATATGCTAAGTATCCGCCGAGTTGATCTCTCATACATGAGGCAAGAAATGTGGTTTGAATTTCTTATTAGCCCGATCTGCTGCTCTATGCATAAATTGTTCACCATGCAACTCAAATACCAATTCTTTGACGGAAGAAATCCCATCTTTCTCCAAATGGGTATCTTGCTTTGTCGCTAGGATCGGTATCGTAAATTTAAAAATGGTATTCTCCTTTGGCAGAACCTTCAAATCATTGTTCTTCGTGATAACCTCAAAAACTCCCTTTGAATCCTTGATCACAATTCCCTTCACACCAACTCTACTCACACATCTACTTCTCACCACCTCAAGTTCCGCTCCATGATAATCGGCACTGCATAATTTAGCAGCCGCAGATCCAGTGACTGGCATACAGTTTCCCCCTCCTAACACTTCCGAGATATATCCTATCCACATTTTATGTAAAGGTTCGTAAATGCTGTATTTCTGTGCCGATTTGGGTACATCGTAAAGACACAGAGCACGTTTCTCTCGAGCAGATAGAGGGGCAGGCTTCAATTTCTTCTTCCGTAGCGCAAGTTTTCGCTGTCGTTCGACACGACGATGCTGTTGTTCATTGTTTGGTTCGGTAGGTTTGAGGTGTAATGGTCGCTGTTTGACCTTTTCGGTGAATATTCGATTCGTAGTATCAGGTGAATGTGCTCGCGACAATAATTGTGTCGCTATGTTATTATCATTGGACGACATTGTTTCCTCCTTCTCTGTTCGTACTTGATCGCAAATATTGAGCTTGAGAAGAAAGCCGTTCAAGATTCACATTCACATGTTAATAGAAAAGTTCTAGCCAATAGACGCTAAACTAAATTAGGTGACCCCAGATTTCCGCCGGGACCTTCAAGGCGGTGGCGCGCGCCGGCATACCTCGTGGAGGGTTTGAATGTTTGAATGTTTACTTATTACTTATTACTGTATTAACAATGCTTTGATATGTATCCCTCGACAACAATGCATGTACTGGTTCCGGCATTCGATGATATTGTGCGACAATGATAACATTATAACATTATTCTTGAACACCAACAAAAATGACAGACAATAGAAGCTCATCCCCTCCAAGGACCTCGGCCCCTGATCTCGAAATCTTAGGCGACCAAGTAACATTACATCCCAGTGGTTATATTGAACCCCCGGAAAGACCCCATGATGGAGAGAAGGAAAGGAATTTGGTAGAGCATATGGCCAGGTTTCGATCAAGTCCTTTGGAGTTTCTCAGAGAGGTTTCTTTGCATGTTTCAGGAGTAAGTACCTACTTTCACTGACGGAAAAGTACCATTCACTGCTGACTTTCTTTTAGACAGGATGGCGTGCCTACGACCATTTCATCGGACAGCCTATATTTTATCCTGGATTCTCGGAGAATATGACCGCTGCGGTCATGTCTACGCCAATTCTACAAAAACGAATATCCGAGTTGGCAGAGAAGAGGATAGGGATTGAGGAGCAGGAAGGGTTATTGGATAAAGATGATCCATTATACCATTCGAAAAAAATCACAGAGGAAGTCTGCCATTGCAAAAAGTTTACAAGAGCTTTCAGAAAAGCTGACGGGTGATATGATATGCAAGATGGAGAGTAGGCCTTTCATTAGAGGGGCTTATTACTTGTGCACTCAACTCTTGACTAGAGCATATCATCAAGGTAAGAAACTTGGGTCTGACTGATCATATTCCCTTCTAATGGGTTTGCAGGTATTCATGTGTCTAGTGAGGAAGTTCTCAGGTTACGAAACGTTGCTGAAAAGGCACAGAAAGACAAAACCTCAATTATTTTCCTTCCATGTCATAGATCTCATGTAGACTATGTCTCTTTACAACTAATTTGCTATCGCCTTGGTATAGCTTTACCGACAGTCGTGGCTGGGGACAATCTGAATTTCCCTGTCGTAGGGAGCTTTTTACAACACGCTGGTTAGTTGACATTCCACGTTTGTGGCGAAAATATAATAATTCCATAGGTGCCATGTGGATAAGAAGAAGTTTCGGAGATGATGCGCTGTATACCACTCTTGTACAATCCTACATAGACACTCTTCTACAAGGCGGCTTTAACTTTGAATGTTTCATTGAAGGCGGAAGATCAAGAACTGGAAAGTTGTTGCCACCTAAATTCGGTATTTTGAGCTTTATCTTGGATAGTATTCTTTCCGGTCGAGTTAAAGATACCATCATCTGTCCTGTCAGCACTCAGTATGACAAAGTTATTGAAACCGAAGGTTATGTTGGTGAGCTACTTGGACTTCCGAAGAAAAAGGAGAATTTAGCGGATTTTCTCTCGGCATCATCAGTCCTTTCCCTCAAGTTGGGTCGTGTGGATGTTCGATTTCATGAACCTTGGAGTCTGCGAGATTTTATTCTACAACAGCAAGCTCGATCACTAGGGATACCAAACACACTTGACTTTGAGAGCATCAATATTCCTAGTGTTCGGCAAAAGTTGTTGAGGACATTGGGTTTTAAAGTCCTCTCCGATATTAACGCCGTTTCGGTTGTCATGCCTACCGCGTTAGTGGGAACAGTTTTATTGACTTTGAGAGGTCGTGGTGTTGGTAAATCCGAACTGATTCGCCGAGTCGAATGGATTAGCGAACGAGTTGGAAATAAGGGAGGGCGAGTAGCTCATTTTGCCGGGGCTACTACATCTGCCGTAGTTGAAAGAGCTCTTGAAGTTCTTGGTAAAGATCTTGTAGGGAGAGTGGATGGCTTGGCGGAAGAAACATACTACGCTGTTGATCGATTCCAGCTATCTTTCTATCGAAACATGACAATACATCTATTCATATCTGAAGCACTAGTTAGTGCCAGTATGTATATGAATGTAAAACGTGGAGGAGGAAAAGTTCATCAAAATATCCCTTATGAAGAACTACGAAATCAAGTTCAGTTTCTTTCTCAATTATTCCGTGGTGAATTCATCTACCCAACAGAAGGATTGGCCGTCAATCTAGACAACACTTTACACGATTTGGAATCCGACAACATAGTTGAACTTATTCGAGATTCAGAAGGAAAGATTGTGACCATTGGTTTATCTGACCATGAACGTTCCGTTGGACGTGAAAATTACGATTTTTACTGTTTCCTAATATGGCCATTCATTGAAGCATTTTGGCTTGGCGCCGTTTCTCTCATGGGCTTCACACCGCCTCTAAATAAACCAAATGATGTTTGGTTAGAGGTCAAGAAAGCACATGATGGTGCTCAACTAGTAAGTCTCATCATCCTATATATGGATCATGACTATCTGCTAACAGAATCAAGCTTGGCAAAACCCTCTATCACCAAGGTGATTTATCCTATTTCGAAGCCGTCAATAAAGAAACACTCAAGAATTCATATCAAAGATTTGAAGACGAAGGCATAGTAATAGTATCCAAGAGTAAAAACACCAAGATACAACCGCGATCTCGACTTGCTCCTGAATGGACACCAACTCGAAATCCAGAAAACGGTATGATCATCGCCGAAGGAAAATTATGGGACTTTATTGAAAAGATCGCCAAGTCAAGGAGGGAAGGAAAGAATAGACGGGATGGAGCCACTGTATCAACACGCGTCTTGAGACTCGCAGATGAATTGGGTCAGACTTTGTTTGCTGAAGGATCGGGAGACATAGGAATGTCTGAGGAGGATAAGAAGGAATTGCAGAGGAGAGAGAAGAGGAGACAGGCATTGAAGGCTAGAGCACATTTGTGATATATAATTTGGATTTATTGTACTTGATACCAGGGATTTAATTAATATGTTTTACAAGGGATAGCTGATCTGTACTGTTGCTTTAGAGACATGATAGTTGATGACGTCAATCAAAGTTTGCTGCCGCTCTCCAATAAAACCACCAATACTGACGTCTCTCTATTCTTATCACCTCTACCTCTAGCTTAATCCCAATCCCAATTTTCCATCATAATCTCACCTCACCCCCTCCTAACTATCGCCACTTAGTCTGCACACGTATGCTACCTTATCATCATGTGTAAATGCCATGGAAGACTGTCTCCATTGTCATATGTCTCAAGTTGCCACATAGAGTGCTCACTTACTGCGGTAATCATTCGGCATAAGTAACAAACTTTGGGATGTGGATATTTTAAAGAATAGAGGATGGAGGATAGAAAATGTAGAATGATAAGGAATATAGAAGTTTGGCACATGGATATCGAAGGGATGGGTTGGCTCCCATGCGGTATGTATGTTGAAGAGATGTGAGAGACATAATATATGTGCAGGCTGCGCAGGTGGTCGCAAGTAGTCGCAGGTGGTCGCAAGTTGTCGCAAGTTTGTCGCATGGAATTATGGATGTATATATGGGATGATGAATCATTGATTTGAGGGTACGGTTGTGTTTTATTGCTTATGGGGGTTGTTTTTATGCCAAGTGTTTGTTCGGTGAGAATACTTGAAGGGAAGTTGAGAGGAATGGAATGGTCGCGATCTGGGGATGGAAGATATACTGTACCAGATGATAGCAGAGGTAGTATGTTGTCTATGTGTCCTGCACATCGCCAACCATCACAAAACCCTCAATTCCCAATCGAAAGTAACCAAATAACAAGTGAAATGAAAGCACAATAGACCTACAAGTATCTCTCATAAATTGCGACAATCCCAACTAAATAAAACCAATCATACCTTCAAGTCCTCCCATACAAGCCCCCTCCCACATATCCCACCTCATGATCCGCTTCATCATCACATCACCGCCTGAAGCGGGCACCCCATCTGCCCTCTCATATATATATCCCAAAAGCACAACAAACATCGCTAAGATTAGAGGTGTTGTAGTGCAGTTGGCGCTTCGGACCCGTGCACATGTTCATCTTCGACGCTTCAGCAGTAGAGTAAACGTTCATGGTTTCTCCGGGTCGGTCAGGCTTAGTCTCGGGTCGCACTTTTCTTTTGTTATTTTTAGTAGGTGTGGTTAAGGAGTGGGATTTCTTTTTTTGTGGGAGGAGGGGTGGAGGTTATGTTTTGGGTTGTTTGTTTTTGTTGGGCGACGTGAGTGGTCGGCGAAGCGAGAGTGAGATTTAAGGGGAGTGAATGGAGTGTGGGGTTGGAGGGATAGCGCCAATGGTTGGTGAGGATGAGGTGTTGATGCTCCACTTATGAGTTTGTGTAGGTTGCAGTGTTGGGTGATGTGCTTGTAGATTTTGTCAGGTGAATTTATAGAGGATTATCAAGTCAAGGTGATACTAAATAATCGCAAATACATACATACGCTCATTGACTCTCATAGTGTGTTATTCGCAAAGAAACCGCGTAATGCATATGTCATGGTATAGCCAACTCCCGCTACACCTTCATCGGCGGGCATAATTTCTCTATTATTCAAGTTGCTTGCGGTAATACAATTCTACCGGCAAGTGTTTCGTCGACCATCAGCATACAATGTTTCATCTTGTCGCATAGTATCGCATTCTCTCCGTCGTTTATATCTGCAATGACATCCATCTATTGCTGTCATTATTATTGCTTCGCATTCTCTCTAGCATGAGATAACTTTATTAGCTGTGATGCAACGTAACCTACCTGGATCGAGAACCACTTGCTGAAAATTTCGAGAACCATCTTCGCTTTGTTCAGACCAACCTGGGCATCCTGTTGAAATGTAGAAGCCCTCTTAATTCCTTTTATACTCATATTACCCTACAATGATATCCACATCATCTCCATTCGGTTGTCTCATATCTACTATAGCAAAATTCACTTTCTTCCTCATCCATCTCTCAACATACTTTGTTGCTTCTTTCCGCGAGCATAAAGATTTACGTACCATCTTCTACTGACATATTCACCTCTATCTCTGTAATAATACTAAACTCTAAACTCGGTAGTATAAAAGCACACAAGAAATCAAAACAGAAGATCTGGAAGATTTCCATAACCTGAACAAAATGAGTTTATTCACGACCAAGGACCCTTTCCGGGACTTCACTAAACAGTCTAAAGATACTTTCCGGGTATTCGGAGGAATTGCTGGGATTTTGAGTTTCTATCTATACTTGTGGTGATTTGGGACCCGATGTGAGGGTAGAAGATAGGGAAAGACAATAAGAGTGCAGATCTTCTTTCGATGACAATAATTGACAAAGATACAATGTACAATGCAACACATCGATTTTTACTGCTCATGTCACGATCATCACTGTACTCAGCCGACGTCTCTCAGCACGAAAGCTAGCACAATCTTCGATATCTGACCAGAGGGTCTAGATACGATTGAGCTTTCAATAAGCCTGGATGGTTGTATCCCTTCATTTCGTAGAAATTCTGAACATCTCTCTCAGTTTGATCCGATTTCTTCCTGGGAGAGATTCGCACCCATATTTATATACAGTACATGACCACAAATCATATCTCGCCATTTCGTTGTTGGTGGAGTCAAGCCCCCGCCCTCCCCCCTCCCCTCCTTCTCCACCTCTGCTTTGCAGACTAACGTTACCCATTTAACTTTTTCAATAAAAGCTTTCGCCATGGACTTTATCTTTTTTGGTCTATGGGATTCCTATTTACATATGCATCCTTGTCGTTGTATGATTTCTTTTATAGATATCGGGACATATTTTTATCTCTCAACTGCCCTATCTTCCTATTTGTTGTAGCTCCCGAGAAACTTCAACACCATGAATCAGTTTTCTAGTCCAAATCATTGTAAATTCTTCTAGGACCTGCCAGTACTTGTGCTATATTCTACTTCCTCCTGACGTGTAGTGAATACTTTATTTTCTTGGAACCTTATATTCGAGTCTGCAGCTATAACAGTATACACTATATATGAGTCTTTCCACTCCTCCAAAATAACTTTAAATAAGAGTAGATTCGATACAACAAAAGGCACGCTAAGTTTCAATGTAGATGCAATGTGCCAATCTCGCAGTCATGATTCAGTAGGAGACAAATCGTCAGATCCTTGCGCGTAGGCAGGACGTACATATGAAATATGATATAAGGGCATTGGTATCAGACTGTCAAGAACAATGGCTGAAGGGTACTGTAGAACTAGGTACTTTTGGAGATTTGACAATATGTTCCTGTCATTCCAAATGCATCCCGCTTGGCTAGAGATCACATATCACATATCTTTTATTCCGAATACATCCCATCTCATCGCCTCCTCGTTGTCACTATTCTCCCTTTTCATTGCCACTCTTCGTAGATTATTCTGATTCTCCTATAGATAGTCCGGACTCCACTGCTTATATCCCTAATCGTCTGATCCAAAACCGCACAAGAGAATTTGTCAAGTTCGCATATACCATTGCCCAAATACTGAGCGCAATTCTTTTCAAGTTTTTGTTGTTTGTACAGGTATCCGATGCAAAAAATCATAAGCTACAGGAACACTTATATAATTGTCTAAACCGCAAAACTGTCATTCTAACCTCTTCACCCTACATGTCGTAACGTGTTCACTCCAAGTTTCACCATTCCTCTTTTTCTATATAAGAACACTGCGAGGAATAAACAGGCTTTACTAGGCATAAACGTATCAGCGATGGAAAGACGACAGGCTCAAAGCTGTCTATTCCCAGCAGTTTGTATTATTTGGATCCCTTAAATCAAGGCTCGAGGTAACGGAATCAGAGTAAATAAAAATTTCAGATTTCTTCGAACCATGCGTTTTGGTACTACTGTCCAATCCTTCTCTATGCACATCAATGACAACAACAACAATAATAAACAAACAGCATCAACGAAAATCCGCATTTATAACAATCGCTACTTTCACTGCCACCCCTTATTTCATGTGCCATTCTCATCTCGATTTCCACTCAAAGAACAACTTTCTTTTTCCTACTCCAGGCTCTGTATCCTACTAGCCAGTGACCATAGTGAGTTTATTCCTGCAATCCGAAGCTTCACAGACGAAGGATGCCGGAATTTCTCCCATGCTGATCTAGGCTCCTTGTTCTCTACGACCCTCTTATAATTGTATTTTATTTTTCCAGGAACACGTACCTAGCCTAGCTAAAGAGGTCTATAGAGTGAATCGGTCCCATCAAACTCATATATAAACATCATCTTAAGCCCCTTTGGACATTGCAATTGCAATAAAATCACCGAATTACGAAACCAAATAAGACCATAACACCTCCGCCCCTTCCCCCAAAAGCTCTCCCTCACCCACATTCATATTTTGGGTTGTGAGTGCAAGCTGTGGATAACTTACCAGTAGCTGCAATGACATGAACTCTCCTTCCCCATTCATTGTCTCTAAAAGTATTCACCCCAATCAATCACACCTACTTGCAACAAATAAATAACCAAAATAATCACCCATCTCCATAGCAACATCAGATATGCAACAAAATATCTTGAACTCCAAGATAGTGAATTGAATCCATCAGCCCTTAATGGAGAACATTACGCTAATAGGTATTAATTCAAGAGACCATACCGCTGCTTGTGAACTCAAAAGCTTATTCGAACAAAGTTGAAGAAAGAGCTAATTTCGTGCACGCAACGTGTGAAATAGAGATCGAAGTGGCAGTGACCTAGATATGATAGATGCCATCGTGCTGATGCGGAGAGGGTTTCCATATCGTCCCAACCAGTTTGTATTTACATCTACAGTATGTGTACGACGTGACGACAGTGATAAAATTAGCCGACAGCAGAACTTCAACTTCATTCCATAAAAATTCAACGAAAATAAAGTCTTCAGTCTGATGTACAAGAATGTAATGAACAATTTTCTATTAGGCAAAAACCGAATTTACAAACACAACATGCGTCCCTTTCAAGCATATATTGAATGAATAGTTGCAGAGGCAAAATTGAGGAATAAGTCAACTACCCCACTTTTCGGCCACCCGATAAAAAAAAAACTCTCTACCTCCCAAACCATATAACTCAATAACTATTCAACTAAAATAAAATCGCCTGCACCATCACTTTCAATTATATCATCGCTATCCTCTGCAATAATTTCATGGTCCCCAACCACGATTTGCGCCTCCCTAATAGCTCTAATCCCTGTAAACCTGGTATTTGGACTAATCACAACTTTACGCCTTTTCTTAGATACAACTGCCTCCAATTGATATTCCAATTGCTTTATTCGTTTCCCCAATACCATAAGTTTATAATCCTTAATATCAAAAGCCTTAATAATCTTTCGAAAAAGCAACCGTCTCGTCAGCAAATCAGGCTCTTTTTCTTGGGTCATAGTCGATATATATAATCGAAGATCAGATACTTTTTGAGGGGTTTTCCAAACAATAACTGATGCCCCTATATTCCATTGAAGCTAGGGATCATCATCAAATACTGGATTAGTCAATAAAACCTCTTAATTACTGTTTTCAAGCAATAATCGACTCATAAGAGATTTAGGGCGGTTTTTGGGCCATAGACCCGATACTTTCCACCCCGCTTTGATATTATAGACTATTAGAGCTTCTGCTCTAACCTTCTGATAGTAATGAAGAAAGCTACGCTTTCCAATTGGTATAGAATCAGAGAGAGAATTCAAATTATTGAGTACATGTCGATAAGCATTTTTCAGAGATGAGAAGACTGATAAATCTAATAGTTATAGAACATAAAATATATACAGTGATAGAAATAAAAGATATATATTATATTAGAAGCATTTGTACATAAAGAGCATAATTTCATAACTTCCATACCCATCCAATATAAATAATCATACATTACCAGACTCAGAAGGGGTAGTTTGAGGTATAAATACCTTTTCCAACCATTCTAACCCTGTAGCATCGATAGTCCATCCATTTTCTGTAGCAGTGAAGTTCCAATCCTTATAAAAACCAAAATCAATAGGAAACCATTATTGTTGAACAGTTTTCCCCTTGAAAATAACGAGTAGTTTGAGGGCCCTTCCTGTCGCCGAAATACACTCGATAAAAGATATCCAAACTCTTGAACCAGATTGTTTTTTTTGAATATAAAAACACTGGAAGTTTCCTACTACTAGACCATTAAGACCCTGACCCTCCATTATACCAGCATCGTCCATATTGTATCGATTTTGTGGTTTTATATCGATAATCTCGGGCAATTCGAGTTTTCGAAACCATAGCACAATAATATCATAGAAAGCACCCGAAACTCGGGCAGAATCGATTCTATATTGTCTCTTAATTCTAATCTCTGGATTCCTCTCCAAAAAATTGTATACCCATCGTTTTCCAAGAATAGAATCGAGTTCTTTTATATCGAGAAAACGTTCAACAATTTCTCGAATTTGCCAATGAATAGAACTAATACCCAAGCTCTCTTGTACTAATATCCATTCCACTAAACGTCTCTCCTGAATCGAAGCAATCTTTTGCATCATTTCGGAACCTTTTTGATAAGATACACAGCCATTGATACAACTCTGAAATATAATATAAGGAATCCCATATTCCAGAGCAGCTTTTCGCATCAAAACACCATTCACGATAGCATTTAAAGCTACAGCAATATCGTCTTCAATATAGAGTTTCGACATTATATAAATAATAATAAATCAAAATTTGAAATCAATTGATTGAATAGTTGTTTAATCAGAAAATATTTAAGAAGGTAGGTTGCTGAGGCGGTGTGGGTTTTGAGGGTGGCCGAAAAGTGGGGTAGTTGACTTAGTTTGAATATTTTATACTCCGTCTGAAGGAATGACTTCGCGCATTCACTACACTACACTACACTAGATGGAAATCTGTAGTGGATGCCAAACTTATGGTTCTATCTGTAAACGTAGTGTGATATAAAAGACACTCGTACGATATCCTCAAACCTGTATCTGCATATTAGCAAGTATGAAGGACATGAAGAAGTAGTCCGTCGATTGGATATTATGATTGATGGAGTATCTGGAGTAGTTCTTTTGGTTCTCTTGATATATAATCTTATCTAGCAAGAGTGGATGCGGAGCAAGTCTTGTTGTCGGCTTCGTGACTCTTTTCGCCGCTCGCTTTGTCGCTACTGATCGGTTTAGGAATGCTAAAAGACCTGTATTTTATCTACGAAATCTGTGTGGATATGTGTGGGAGATCAAGGGAGAGAGATACTGTAGTGGAATGAAGGTAAAAAAGATAATAAATAGGAATGATGGAAATATCAAGCTATCGATAGATAGATATTTATGACAACAATTGGAAAGTTTAAACGAAAGAGCTCAATTGAACAGGTATCTAGGCATTCCAATTTCTTTGGTTGAGATGAGATCCATTAGAAGAAAAACTCATGAAAAGACTCGGTCAATCATCATGTCAAATTGCGTCGATCGAGGCAACTAACTCCTCGTGTTTAGTGATTAATAACTCATCATATATTTGAGGATAGAGATATTCAACGATACAACACTTGTAATTCCACAGATTGAAAACCCCTGATATGGTAGGTCGAATCCAAACTGAGCTTTCAATTGTTGAGACTGCAGTCTAGTCCGATAATATACTATTCGAGTACTCGAGTATAGAGCGAAATCCTCATTGCCATCTAAAACATACAATACATTGAAATTTATTTTACTACTCGAGTACAGTACTCAGAGCATCACTGCGAATCATACAAAGTCCCACAGCTTTCCAAACATTTATATAAATCCTTCGATTTTGGTCTGAGCTAGACTGTGAATTGCAGACAGTCCGTACGTATCATTAAAAACCCACTCGAGCACGAATCTAAATATCAACAAAACGACAACAACCAAAGTGCAGAATCGTTGCTGAAAACATACTCAGTACACACTTAGGCTAGGGCATCGTGCTATGCTACAAACTCCAATGTGAGGAATGATCTTAGGAAGTAAAGGAAATGTCGCTGCGAGGCTGGCTACGAAATAGACGTGTAGAGATGGAAAAGATAGAAGGGGGAAAGTGGTACGTAAAGTATGAGTAGTGAGGAATAGAGAATACAGAGCGAGATGAACGATTTTAACAAGAAGCAAAGTAATGGTTTCTTAGATTGGAAAATTGATAAAATGTTCTGTTGATGTTCATGTTGTTCTTCTCTGACAGAGAGTATGAAAGACACTAGACTCGGAGGATGAGGAAACTGGGAATGTAATTTTTCGTAGAATAAGTAGGCGGGTTTGGATTGTGATTATATCGAAAAATACCTTGGAGGTGAAGATTCCTTTATCTGTTTCCCTTCTTACTTATGATATTAATGTTGTATTGATGTTGATATTATGCTTACATACATACCTCTACTCAATCTTAATGGCCAACTTGCCAAAATGTTTTTGGTCCCACATATATTGATACGCCTCCTTAACCTCATCCAACCCAAACACTTTCTCATCAACCACCGGCTTGATGCCATTGGCATCAATCGCCCTGTTCATATCCTCAAACAGATCTCTGCTCCCTACGAGCAGACCTCTCACCGTACAGACGGTCATCAAACAATCCAAGAATGTTGGCTCCTTTTCTGTTGCTTGTCCGCCCACAAATCCAATTATACTGATTACGCCGTCGAATTTTATGGCTTTGAGTGACTGTGCCATGGTGGTAGGACCGCCCACCTCGAGAATGTGTGTTACGCCGACGGAAGAAGCAGTCAGGGATTTGGCGTGTACACCCCATTCAGGGGTGGTTTTATAGTTTATAACGTGGTCGGCACCAAGTTTCTTGAGTGTGGAAGCTTTGGAGTCGGATGAAGTCGTGGCAATTACGATTGCTCCAGCGGCTTTAGCAAATTGAAGGGCAAATATGCTAACACCACCTGTTCCTTGTGTGAGAACCACATCACCGGGTTTGAGCGGTTTTAAACCGTAGAGAGCATTCCAAGCTGTGAGTGCTGCACAGGGAAGAGTAGCTCCTTCGAGGTAGGAGAGAGAGGAAGGCATGTCTACGAGTCCATTTTCGTTGAAGATACCGTGTTGGCGAAGGGTGCCGTCCAGGGCACCGCCCAAGCCAGTTTGAATTGTTTGGTTATCGAGCGAGCCACCAAAATGACCTTGGTTGAAAAGAGTGACGACTTTGGCGCCGGGGGTGAAACGCGTTACTTTCGAACCAACAGCCAGGACTTCGCCGGCACCATCAGAGCCGGGAATCACGCCATCGTTGAGAGGAAATGGGTATTGACCCTGGAGAGAAACACTGGTTAGGTTTGTTTATAGAAGCAAAGCCGCCAGAGAGGATATCGAAAGGTGTGCCAAACTTACTTTGGGAATGATTAAGTCTCTATAGTTCAACGAAGCTGCGTGGAATTTCACGAGAACATCATTGGCACCCAATTCTGGAAGGGTAGCTTGAGTATCATATTTCAAGCTGTCAAATCCAGTTTGTCCGTGGATTTTCCAGGTTTTGGTTGTTTTGGGGATTGATTGGGACATGTTGTATCGATTTCAATGAAATCTGTATATATGAGTAGGAGGTTCAATTATCTAGAAGATAAGCTGTCAATGTGATAGACATATAGATGGTGGCAAGATTTGAGGATATATAGTGGTTGTTTAGGATGCGGAAGCAGAATTGAAGGCACCATCCACAACAAAGAGATGCCTGGTGGGTTGCTAATCCATAACTTACTATCTCCTAGTTCCATGGTGTAGAAACATCGGAGTTATCATTCTCGACCATTGAGATTGTTCGAGATCCTCTGAGATGGAGAAGTTTACTTAATCAGAAACTTTGATTCCCTCGGCAATTAGGGATCAAACTGGATCAAATCGTGCAATCCTCTGAAATAGAGAAAATTGCTGAACCATAAAGGTTGATTCTTCAACAAAATTGGATGATTGGATTGAGTATACCACTATATAAAGCACAATCAATGCTGGCTAGACTTGAACATCATTTGAGGTTATTCCCAGCTTACTTCATTCAAGCAATAGATATGATATGACGTCTTGTAGAAGAGATATGAATACTATCGGTAGGTAGGTAGGTACCAATGCCGGTATATATGTTGGTGTGCGCTGTCGGAGAGTTCACCACTTTTGTTGTAAGTGAGAGGTAGAGTGGAGTGGAGGGAAGGGGGACAAGGACAAGGAACAAAGGGAAAGATTTTGCAGGTTATGCAGCAGCAGCTTGAAGAAAACATTGATCTTAGGGTATGATCACATGATCTAGTTAAACCCACCAATAGATCTTCACACTTTCTTCAGTCACGTGGCATGTCTTGGCTTACATAACGAATGATGACAAATGATAAATGATCCCAATCAACCAAACAATCCCAAAAAAAACCAGACAAAATTGAGTTGTGAGGCAATTCACAATTTGTTTACTTGTTTGATCATTCGTGCAGTTTGGAGTACATACTACATACCCTTCATCAATAACTACTTGGATAACTAAATCCTCATAATTAATGAAAAGTTGGTGCAACCTGGGGACTAAGTTTCATCTACTAGGATGACTTTTCAATTCAGAATACTGGTAGGTAGGTACTTTATTTCTAACAAGGTCAACTTTCGGCATCGGCCATCTATCCATTACCAGTTCGGCTGCAGGTATGTGTGTGTGTGTGTGTGTTCGGCAGTCCATTAAGAAGTAACATTTTCACATGCCTGTCCAGGGTCTCAATGCCTTCGAGGTACTACCCCAGCAAGTCATTAAGTACCTTCCTAAGTAGGTAGGAACAAACATATACCGGTAATCTAGAACGCGTTATCTGGAGGCATAGCTATAGACTTTCGGGTTAAGATTGAGGAAGGAAAAAGAAAATTGAAGAGATGAGTTGGTTATCAATTTCTAGCCGCGTTTCGAGCACTCCAATTACCTACTCCAATTACCTTAGCCTCGTAACATTGTCTATCCAAGGTTTGGTGATGGCGTTACTGGCGGCTGACTTTTCATTAGATCTAAGAAGTTCTAAAGAATTACTAGACTCACGGGGGTTGAATTCGAAATTGTGGTAGCATAATATCTACCGAGTCTAACCTTACAATACTATGACATTGATCTCATGTCGACTTCAGATGCAGTATTACATCGCCTCGAGTTGTTCAGAGTGACACTGCATCAGAGTTGGCACTCGAGTTGGCATGCCATACCTTGGATTATCAGCGTCTGACCTCCAAAGACATTTCAACTCCAATTATACAGTTTTGACCATCTCCCTATGAGAGTATGTTTGCATCGAAAAAGGCGTTTCTGACGTTCTTGTTCAGCACGTTGGTCAACACGTGTGGTTAAGAGGACATGCATCTTACTGTGTAATCCCTCCACAATTTCATCCTAGTTCCAAGATGGAATGTACTAAGCCATACAACTGTTTCGAATACCTCCGATATCTTTTGTTCGCCATTGAAGGACCGATATGGTTCCTACACTGGTGAACATCTTCCGACCCTCCAAATCCGTGTTCTCTGCGATCGAAGATTCATTTTGTGATTACCAGATGTCAAAGAAAGCAAGAAAAGAAGGATCTTCAAGTCAGCTGGTGTTTGAGAGTGAAGCAATTCAATCAAAGTCCTGAAGATTATGAAGTTGTAAGATTCATGATAAGAGGCTCGTGGATCTGGGGTAGCAGGGTAGAAAAAGTGCGGGAACATCGGCCCATCCACCGCCTAGCGCTTCTCCCAATGTACAAGGTATCACCAGAACGTGGAGAAATCGGAGATTTTCCCGGAAAGTGTCGGTCAATAGGTTTCTGTGAGAAACATGATGTAAAATCGCTATATCAGTACACGGGTCCAGATATCTTTCACTCATGATTCGATAGCCTCACGATGCACGCGGGAATCCAGGGTTTAGAGAATGGGGGTTCCAGGGATAGAATCTTTTGAGTATGAAAATGGTATGTATATTCAGGTATCAATAGCATATCGCCTCACCTTCGTTGCTATATTGCGGCGGACTTCGGCTCCTGGCGAGACACGGGCCATATTGCGCTTCTCGGGTGGCTGGCTAAAGCTTATTGTCTAACCAATACCTTTTACCCCCCTAGATACGGAGCTCGAGACGAAATGCCTACACCATATCTATCTCAGTGAGCTGGCACATGACATTACGAAGGACGAACGGAAGAGAGGGATGATCATACCTATGTGTCTAGCTACCAACCATTCTGCCCCCTGCTTAGATTGAGAGTAATAAATGATGCGCATAATGATACAAATCTAATATCATCTCGACAAAGATGCGTTGAAAGAACGAAGAAGTACCGACCGGTTACTCCTGGATTTCATTTTGTGGGGATGGGAAATTCACGGGGAAAAGCTGACATGGATCTCGTCGGGACTCCGCATTTCAGAAAGTACTAACAGCTGCACCTGCATATGGCAGTTTCATTTTTCTCACGCATATCAAGGTCTCGCAGCCAGTCGTACGGGGAGTCCTCTATCTGGAGAAGAACAAACCTTCAATTTCGTTGGGTGTGCATATTGCATCCTGCATTTCTTTGAAAGCCTGACGTGACCCGACTGCTACCGACCTTGGAGAAGAGATAAAGCGAATTCTTTGAGTTTTCATTGACCATGCCCTGAAATGCGACTTTGCTTACGAGCTTTCATCAAATCAATACAATCGATATGGGATTGCCAAGAATTCGGTGTCGGGCACATAGTCACATTGGGATTGGAGCGACAATATGAACGAGTAGGCGAAGTCATGTGTAGACGAGCAACCTCGAATGAGGACAAGGAACATCGGACCGTTTGGTGCTTGGGTGGTCAACTAACCGGGGGTTGCAACCCAACCAGGAACAGTACTGGTCGTACCACATTTAGTTCCCTTTTGGTATGTATGTATGTAACAACACCAGTAACTAATCTCACCTAACCTATACAACCTATACTGCGATTCTACTGAACGGCATTTGCATGTGTCTGTAACCATCAATACAGAATCAGAATTAGCGATTGAAGTGGGGGATCGTGTGTGGTGCCCGAAGAAAATCACCTCGGGCTGATAATGGCGATCAGAGAGAGGATGTACCTCATGTTGAATATTATGCGCACCATTGCGATGGAACAACCGCTTTGTATCCAATACTCCGAGTACATGGAAAGCATCAAAAACGTCTGACATTGCTTCCAGAAGAATGGGGACTCGATAAAGTCGAAGCTTCATTGGCGCAATAATTGTTCATGGAATACAAAGCATGTGCGGAGTACAGTACGGGACTGACATCAAATTAAGTAAGAAAAGTTCCCTTAAGGTACTTGTACGATTGAATTAACGATTTTCCGGTTATCATTACCTTACGGATCTCATTACCGTATCTTCACTAATTTACGCCACCTCTTGTCGTCTCAACCTGATGTATGCTGAACGGGGTGTGGGAAATGGTAGACCAGAGGGAGAAGAGGACATGGATCATGCCTTCGTCCCAACAACGGTAGATCTTGCCCTCTAAAATTTCGTAAAATTTCCCTGGTTGTATCGACCTCGGAGGAGGGGCTTAATCTGGGGTGATCTGGGGCCCTGATGATCATTCGAGAGTTGTCACGGATCTCAAGGGGGGTCGATTGTCTTAACAACTTCCTGAATAATCTATTCGTTCATGTGCTAAACTATTGGAAACTACTGAAAGGACGTTTGCAGTAGTTTTCAAATCCCTGGTCCCGTATGCTTGGGGGATTATTGCGCAAGTTCGTGAACTAAAGACTACCACTAACAAGATTGAGAGCTGCCAATTGGAGGATAGAGCCGTTTTCTATGGAGTTGGTTAACTTGGCTTTTGTCCAATCCACTGAATAGACTTATACGAATGGCGTGAAAAGATTAGATTTCGCGAGAGTCACTCCATACTCCACTACTCCACCAAATACTACTGTACCCGAGCTACTGCGACTGGATCCACCCCCCATGTCAACCTCACCTACTCATGGATTCAAAATAGCAGAATGAACAACAAGATTATAAAATTATGAATAACGACAAAGCGACAAGATACTGTCATAGTCATACCAATCAATATCTACGCCGTCACTGGTCGCCTCCCCACTTATGTAGAATATTATTGGTTGAGGGTTGGAATTTTCAACAAATTTTAAACCTTGTTCACACCAACCACCAAAACCCCCCTTGAGAATTCACAAAATGTGTCTTCGATTTTCAGGAATTTCGGAAAAAGTATGACCGAAGAGAAGATGCTCGGAGGTGATGCCGCCGTGGGGTAGACTCTCCGAGACCAAAGGACCAGCATCTACACACCCCGGATCTATTCGCTGATTTTCTTCACCCTTGTTCTCTCCACGAGTCGAGATCAATAAGCCTTAGGAAAAGAACATGCCTCTTATCCTTTAATGGTACTTCATGCGAACCCCGCCATATTGTTCAGTAGCTCATAAGTTTGTAACAAAGATATTGCCCTGTTATCTTGTGGCGCTTGAATTTATTTTTCTACCATTTTTTATTTAAACCTTCCCATAAGATCCTGCTGATATACAAAGAGCTAAGGTCTATCGATTTCATGCCGTATTCAGGAGATATAGATGCTTGAACCGCACTCTTTGAAATCATCTCAGGATCCTATATTCCCCCAATCTTCTCCAAGGTCATCTATCAACCATTGACTCTGTCAATCACTACAAGAGCTGCCATCACAGTTAGATCAAAGACTATTTACATTTCATTCTAGCAACTCTGTTCGCACCATAACATCAAGATGCTTTCAAATCCCCTTCATCGTTTCTCAGCATACAACACTATGCCCTCGAACAATATGTTGTCGACGGGGCACTTACCATCCAATCACATGCATACTTCAGGCTTAGATACTCTTGCTCATGGCTCACAATATGCTATTTCACAGCTACACCAACAGCAAGTGGACCTTCGTCAAAACCCACAGGCTCATAGGAACGCTACCTCGAAACATCGACAGCATCCTTATACTTTGGGAATGTCTGGAAGCAACGCCACATCTGCCAGAGGAACCGGAAATTCTGGACCAATTCGAAGGAGAATCAGTAGAGCTTGCGACCAGTGTAATCAACTCAGGACGAAATGTGACGGCCAAAGTCCATGCGCTCACTGTGTCGGTGAGTACTATTCATTGAGATTCAACGGATAGGGCTCATGAAGATATAGAATTTGCACTAGGATGCGAGTATATACGTGAACGAAAGAAGCGAGGAAAGGCTTCACGAAAAGACCTTGCACAACAAGCTGCTGCTGCCGCCGCCGCCAATGGACACAAATCGCCCACTGATCAATCATCCGAAGAGAGATCGCCAGTGGAATCCCGCAGTGAGCCATCTTCTGCTATTTCCTTAACAAACGACCATGTTGAGTTTCAACGACATACACCATCTAGGTCTTTGAGTCTTAACACAGCCGGAATTGAAAAACCTTCAGCTCGAGAATTGATGAAAGGAAGAATCCGTGCCGGTAGTCTCGAAAGCCTCACAGAATTGCCATCCCATGGTCACCAGCCTCACGTTAGCCGCGCAGAAGTCGATCAAATCGGGAGTCCTGGGTCCCTGAATTTACACGGCTATTCAAGCATGCATGGGTACCGCTCTACCTTGAATCCCCACATGATGAACGGCAGTGGCAGTCATGCAAACTTTAATACCTCGCAGACCGGTTATTCAGATTTACCCTATGCTATACAAGGTCAAAGCCCGTCTAATTTTCCAGGTAATACCCCAGGTCAGTTCCGTTTAGCCGAAAGCCCTTTGCCCGGTTTTCCTATGGGCTCTGATGCCCCTTCACCCGGTGGGTGGATGTCATTACCCTCTCCTTCAAACCAATACCAACACGTGACACATCAGAACTTCCATGCACCCATACGATATCCCGTGCTACTGCCCTTGGTACCTCACCTTGGCAGTATCATACCAATACCTTTAGCTTGTGATTTACTCGAATTGTATTTCGCAAGCTCGTCATCAGCTTTGATGCACCCTACCTCTCCTTATATTCTCGGATACGTTTTTCGCAAACACTCGATACTTCACCCTACGAAACCTAGGCATTGTACACCTGCCTTACTTGCTAGCATACTATGGGTTGTGGCACAAACTAGTGACGCAGCTTTCCTAACAGCTAGTCCATCATCTCGTGGACGAATTTGTCAAAAATTACTTGAACTTACTGTTGGTCTTCTTAAACCTTTGATTCATGGAACGACGGGAGGCAATGATAATGCCTCCAATTTCTCTAATACTATCATTAATGGTGTGGCGTTGGGCGGTCTTGGTGTAGCAATGCCCGGATCGATTTCTACAGATGCACTGAATGAGACAGGTGCTTTTGGTGCGGCTGGAACTCTTGACGACGTTATAACTTATATTCATCTCGCTACTGTTGTGTCAGCTAGCGAGTACAAGGGAGCGAGCCTTCGATGGTGGAATGCAGCATGGTCATTAGCTCGCGAACTAAAATTAGGAAGGGAATTGACACAAACCCTGGCATCAATGGCTTCTGAACAACCCAATGAAGGAGCCAACGATGTCGATGCTGATGGAGAAGATGACGACGAATTACCCCGAGCTCCAGGACCAATCGCCGAAGAAGAGAGAGAAGAGAGAAGAAGGATATGGTGGCTCTGTTATACAGTGGATAGGCACCTAGCACTATGTTATAACAGACCACTCTTTCTGTTAGACATAGAATGCGACGGTCTTCTCCAGCCGATGGATGACACTTTATGGCAGGCTGGAGAGTTCTATACTGGTGATTCAAGCATTCATATTACTTCCCCATCGGGCACTCAACGAATAAGAAGGCGCGGACCTAACTTTGAGTGTACTGGACATAGTATATTCGGATACTTCCTACCCCTTATGACGATCCTCGGTGAGATCGTGGATCTCTACCACGCTAAAAATCATCCTCGATTTGGCATTGGTTTTCGCTCTGCTCGTGAGTGGGACGATCATGCTAATGAAATCGCAAGACAACTCGAGGCTTATGGTCAAAGTCTTCGGGACTTTGAATCGGAACAAATTCCTCCCTTGCCAGATGATCAACACGAACAAAACATCGAAGGCAATATTCAATCTTCTACCACAAATCACCCTCTCGAACACAACGATATCGGCACTCCTTCCGTTCACTCAGTTCACACCGCAACCTCAAGTCACGTCTCCGAAGCCAACATTCAAACGCGGATTGTGGTGGCTTATGGTACACATGTTATGCACGTTCTTCACATCTTGCTAACCGGAAAATGGGATCCGATTTCTTTACTCGATGATAACGATCTATGGATCTCGTCGCAAAGCTTTATCAATGCAACGGGTCACGCCGTTAGCGCGGCCGAAGCGATAAATAATATTTTGGAATATGATCCCGGGTTGGAATTTATGCCGTTTTTCTTTGGTGTGTATTTATTGCAGGGCAGCTTTTTGCTCCTGCTTATTGCGGATAAACTTCAGGTGTGTGGAGTTTTATTTTTTCTGCTTTATGTGTCAAGTTCATATAAATCAAGTGTGGGAACTAACAGATGATTCAGGTGGAAGCCTCGCCCAGCGTGGTAAAAGCATGCGAAACTATCGTCCGAGCCCATGAAGCCTGTGTCGCGACGCTGAATACAGAATACCAGGTTAGTGTTTCCCCATTGATCTTTCCCTCTCCCCTCCCCACTCTCCCTATAACTCGCCCCCACACCCACACCCACAATCCACTAACTCTCCCTCCCCCCTCTCGTAGCGCAATTTCCGCAAAGTAATGCGTTCAGCCCTCGCACAGGTGCGCGGTAGAGTCCCCGAAGATTTCAACGAACAACAGTTGAAGAGGCGAGAAGTGCTTTCGCTATATCGATGGACGGGCGATGGGACGGGTTTGGCTTTATGAGCTCGAGGGGTTTTCTTTTTCTTTTAGGCACTTTTGCTTTGTTTGGGATTTTGTTTGGGCTTCTTATTTTTATATCCTTATTTTGTGATCTTTGTCATGGTTGTTTTTCGCTTTATGAAATTTATGGTATACCGATATATCTGGAATGATATGATATGACATGACATGATGGGATAGGGTAGGATAGGATTGGAAATATTTTGGGGGCTGGAAAGGTTAGGAATGGACAGGAAAGGATATGAAAAATGAATGAATAAATCTCGAAAGAAAAAAAGGTTCGATCGATCGATCAATCATTTTCAGGTGTTTGTGTTTGTGTTTGTGTTTCTGTTTTATATTATATTCTTAGTCCGAATATTATTTATATACTCGAGTAAGATGCAGACGGCGTTCAAGTAGCAGTATCAATAGTAGTATCAATATCTTCAAATCTTGTTCAATTCCATGCCTCAAATTACCAGCCATGCATCTATCCCATGCTACAATATGTATAATAAATCTTCATCTCATCGTTGAATACATGCCTGTATGTATCCATTCATCCATCAATCACCATACGCCAAGCAATGCTCGCTCATTTGCTCATCAATCATAACCAGCCCAATCTATAAACAAACGACCAAATCATAATCATCAAGAGAGAAACCTCCAGCCCAGCTCTACACCTCTACACCTCTGCACTCTGCACATAGATAAGTAAATGAAGTATCCGCCAGCTTGCTTTGCGCCACAACACATGCAATATATCATATCCATGGCCCCTCCCCTTAAAAACCCAGATATCATCTACCCACCTCACCCCCCACCAAATTAGTATACCCAGCATCTACATCCCCATCTACATCGCCCTCCATTTCCGTCAACCTCAACGCCTCACCCACATCCCTCACAAAATGACCTCTGCCCCCACAAGTTTCCAAGATGCCACTTCTCTCCAATAATTTCCAAATGGGGGTTCCTTCCTGAGGACCACGGGAGAAGAATACTCTAACACCTCTATTTCGATATCCTCTTACAATTTCCTCTAGAACCTGTGTGCCTGAACCATCGAGTCCTGTGACGCCGTGGATATCGAAGATGATATTTTTATTATGTTCAGGAGAACGGACGCGGGGTAGTGCGGGGTGAGCACCAGTCGTGCCGTATAATTCTAGTCTTCGCAAGCGATTTTTTAATTCACCGGTGTTGGCAAAGGTGAGAGGCTCTGGAATTTTAACAATGAGACAGCCTTCGATGAATTCTAATTTTTCTGGGTTATCCTCCGCGTTTTCGAAGCGATTGGTACCGGGTATCCGACCTAGAATCTGGATACGAGGACGAGTAGAATGTTTAATGACGGAGAGAAGGGAGAGACCAACTCCAATGGCGATACCGAGAGTAAGTGAGTAGAAAATTGTGGAGGCGAAGATGATGAGCATGAGGCCTAATTCCGTATATCCACGAATTCGAATAAAGAACGCTATGTCGTGAGGCGCTTCTTCAATTAGAGAATAGGCTACTACCGTAATCATAGAGGAGAGTACTGCTTTCTAAGAAGTTATTAGCATGATAAAACTCCACAAAAGTCGAATGGGTCCATACCGGAAGATAGTAGAACGCAGGCAAGAGGAATAAAATGCAGATAACGGTCAACAAACTCAAGAAAATGCTACTCATAGGAGTTTTTCCACCAGTGCTAGCATTAACTTTGCTTCGTCCATAACCACCAAAAGCTGGTACTGCTTGAAAACAACCACCAACCAAATTTGCAACTCCGAGAGCAACCAATTCTCGATTCGGACTAAGTTGTATGCCTTGAATCATATCTTTGCCCTCTGCGCCACCAAGACTTTTCGCCGCCACGGATGACTCAAAGAAGCCAAGGAGTGCAATCAAAAACGATGTTCCCATAGATTCTCGAACATGCTTCATATGAGACATTTGAAATGGCCATCTGAAAGTAAATGGAGTACCCCCTGTCGATTTCACCTCGCCGAGGATCTCTAAACCTAGACCTTCCCAATTAAATTGCCAGGCTAGAATAGCTGAAGTAACCACAACTAGAAATCTATCGGGTATATATGCAACACCTGGATATCGAGGCTGAAGGCGCTTCTTCATCTCTCTACAGACGTGATTAGTTATTAGCTAAAGTTAGACAGTTTTTGGACATACCTGAAAATCATGATTATTAGGAAGCTCACACCGGCAACGATACAGGTAAGCTTATGCGCTTCACCAGCATTATGAAACAAAAACCGTAACTTGTCAACACTACTACCATGAGCGACACCTCCTACTTCATCTGCCAATTCCGCCAATCCCATCTCGGGTATCAACTGATCAACCATGATGACGAAACCAACAGCGGAAATAAACCCTCGTAAAAATGGTCTGCTGAGAACACTGTCTAGAAAGCCCAGGCGAGTCAAACCAGCAATAAAAATAACTGCCCCTGCCATACCAGTAACAACACCAGCCACTCTCGCGTGCATTAAATCGTCTTCTTCTCCTCCAAGTCCTACATCCACACTAGATTTAACGACTGTACCAACTAGCAAACTTCCAGCGGCCTCGGGTCCAACAACCATCTGCGGACAACTTCCAAGTATAGCATATATAAGTGGATTGAAAACAAAAGAGTAAAGACCGTTGATCGGAGGAACGTGTGCGAGATTCGCTGCATAAGAGAGGGCCATAGGTAGGTAGAAGGAAGCCATTGTGATAGCAGCTATCAAATCGCCTTGAAGATGAACCCATCTGTATTGTCGGATCCAAGTAAAAAATGGTATATAATAATTTATGTACCTATTAAGCAATTGAATGTCAGCAGACTCCCATAAGCAAACCTAGCAACTTAAAAGTAGAACATACATTACAGTAGTGTTGGTGATTCCATGCTGCTCTGCGAGCCAACTCGTTGTGCTCATCCTCTTCGGCTTCGCCATTGATCCATTCCTCACCCCTAAGCCTTTCAGCAAGCCTCCAATCATTCCATCGCTGGGCTCTCCGCTGCCAGTTGGTGACACTGGCGCAGAACCCCCGAAGCTCCTTATACTGTCCGCACGACTCTCCAGCCTCGGACTGAAAGTTCCATGGTTGCAAGGTCCAGGATGTGCATCATTACCAATCATTTCAAGGGGCTTCCTCAGTAACGCGGTCGTCTCATCAGTATTCCTCCCGAACCCGGTATGTTTATGTGCATGTTCGTTTAGTTCATCATCTGTACCAGTAGAGGTATTGGGGCGGGTAGGATGTGCATGTGGTGAAGGTTGCTCGTCTTCAATTCTCGAGTTTTCGTCATGCCTATCGTCTGTACCATCCCCTCCAAGATGTCTCGTCGTCTCCGGACTGGTAGCAAGGGTATAAGATTCCCTCAATCCGCTGGGATGTGTTGGTGTGAACTGCGATATAGATTGACCTCTTAGACTTGGAGTTCTAGAACTCGCGCGTAATGGTGGAGAACCCGGTGGTCGTGAGGAAGTCATGGTTAGATTAGGGCGTAAGTAAACTGCCCTGAAGATACTTTTGTTTACATCAATTTGTAAGAATGAAGTACTGTAATGTTTTAAATATTCATTTTTGGGAGAGGGAGGAAAGTTGGAGATATTCATGTGGGGACCTTGGAATGAATGAATGAATGAACCAGTTAGAAGAGCAGTATTGATAATTGTGGGGCTTGGCTTTTGTCTGATTTACTATCGAATTGCCGATTTTATACCGATGAGATTTTTATTTGTAATTCATTCGTATTCCCAATCTGTACAAGACTCAAATACCTAAATTATTATATTACCAATACCAGTACGGAGTAACAACAATACCATACCCGTACCTGCGTATGAAGGGTTGTCAGCAAGAGAGAGCCGTTGAAGTTGATGGTTAAGGCACTGCTTATGTGGCTGACCATCAGCGCCACAGGTCTCTTCGGTCTCAGATGTAGTATGTCTACCGGTGAAGTGTTGACAATGCACCTGCCTCTACTGTGGCAGAATAAACCCATCGCGTGGGACATCAGTAGACCCAGAAAGTATGTAGACAGAAGTGTGTTTCTACAGTAACCATAGTATTTCCGCGATAGTTCGCAGGCCGTATTTGTGGAGGTAATTTTTCAAGAGCATCCCAAGGAATCAAGAAGACTCGAATATATATATAACATAGTTCGGCTTGTGACAATGAAAAGACTTTTCCATCAAATCTTAACAAAATGCATCATGCATGGGGAATTGATGATATTCGGTATCTAATCTTCGAGTTTTTCACACCTCGAGGTCTTGCTCATCTCGCTCAAACTTGCAATTATTTCTTTGATTTGGCGACACATGAATTGTGGAAAGTTATAACCTCTTTCTCACCATTCATCTTCTGCCTTCCCCCAGATTTTAGTCGCCGACCACTCCAAACAGCAGATATCAAACGCCTCAATTTTTATTCTTCCAAGGTTCGACATATTTCACTTCTTGGTAGAACTGGGGCAAAGGCCATTCGTCTACCATTCCACGACCAAAAGAGGAGACCAAAGGACCCCGCTAAATTATGGAAAGATCTTTGGGGAGAAATAGCAAAGCTGCGCCCAAGATCGGACTTCTTACCCAACATTCAAAGTATTCGCATGGACGATGTAGGCGAAGCAATTCTCATGCCACTCATGGAAATATCTGGTTCAAACATCACCAAAATATACATGAGAGCTATTCACTACAAGCCAGAACCTTTTATTTCGAATTTCTTGGATCAGCTCCAATGTGCCCCCAGATTAGAATACTTGTTTGTCAAAGATGGTGAAGACTTCGTCCCTCCAAAGCTCATTATTCAATCACCCCTTAAACATCTACGACTCGATCCACGAATCCATGCTGGGAAATTCGAATACCTCACCCTCTAGAAATCTCCCCTTCAACCAGAAATTCTTCGCAAATTTACACTGGAACACTTAACCATTGGCCTTTCGCGAGAATGGTATACGCCCGAAATTGAGAATTTGACGACGACCGAGAACAAGAAATATCTATCAAATCTCAAATCTCTTCGGCTCAATCTAACCATGTGCAAACCTGCCAAGAGTGAAGACTCGTGTATCCACGTTAGTCACCATGGCTGGACTTGTAGTCCACATCTTGATCCGAACAGTCCTGGCACAGTTAAATGTGGTAGACGGGGGCCAGAAGGCTTCATAGAAAGCTTAGACAGCCCATCGCTCCGTCTTTTACAAATAACATTTCCGTGCGATACAACCGGTCCTATGTTACTCTCATTCGTCCGCGCAGTGGAGTCCAACTGCCGGTTTCAAAATTTGACTGAATTGGTACTAGGCGGTGGCAGTTGGTTTACTCATTGGTACCTATATCCAGAAAGGCCACCTCTAAAGATACGATCAGAAGATCTTAGGGAAGCCGTAAAGATACTTCTGCCCATGCCGCAGCTGAAAGTCTTACAACTCAGCGTCGCGTCTGGTTTCCTAGATGATCTGGACCTCGCACTATTTCAGAACATGGCAAATGCAATGCCAAGCTTGGAGAAGTTATATCTCAATTATGCGGATTCTTTTACAATTGCTCAATATTATATAATGACGCACTATGAAAGAATACCGGTACATCATCTCGCAGCGTTCTGTAGCATGTTCAAGAATTTGAAAGAGGTCGGTGTGGGGACTGTGGACGGGATATCTGTGGAGGAAAATCCGAAGGAGGACTGGATCTGTAAGGATATTAAGACTCTGAAAGTGGGCGCTTGGGCGGGCAGAGATGAGCTTCGGGGTGGAAATATTGCAGAAAGCCCTTGGGGTGGAGGAATCTCAAGAGGACATCTGTACGACGCGCTAAGGACATTTTTTCCGGAATCGGATATGGCCAAAGTAGGATTTAGCCGGCATGATCAATGGATCTGGTACGAATCAATACATGGAGATTTGTCAGCTTGGGAAACAGACTGGGCAGCTATGAAAGACGGCGTGTCCAATAGTTCAACTAGTTTGGGACTTTCAGAAACCTTGGTCGGACTAGATGAGACATCCAGACTAGAGGAAGAAAGTTGAGTAACTGTCTGCTTTTGTGCCAGGCAAGATTGTCATTCCCAATGTCAAAATGTGTTTATCAGCAGGTGATATGTAATTTTGGAATTTATCATAGATTTATATAATCTTCCAACGGACTAGCAAGTTTTCCTGGAACTATCAACACCCTGATGAGGATTTGCGATTATGACATCTCACAATCAGCATCTAGTGCACAGCAATATGTATGCAGGTTGCTTTTCTTTCCATATCATGTTCTTTAAAATCTTTGGTCAACAGCACGATTAGGCAATAGTAAAGAAATAAAATTATATCCATCGTCCTGGGGCCAAGAAGTATTTTATCCCTATGCTAGACTAGAGAAATCAAGTGATATTAATGGAATTTCAACATTTATACCTTTCTGCTTAAGCTTCTCATCATATCTCTCCCGCAATGTGCACCGAGAATGGCAGTCACGTTGACATCAACTTGTGCCAAACCTTTCGGTATCGTTTGTCTATTCGTCATTGGTACGGTGATTACTTCTCTCTTCATGCAAGTTGTAATAAGTGATGATTGTCTCAAAATCACAATTCGTCCGGTTCCAGTGAATGCAAAATGAATGAAGGGGTCTGAATGTTATTTGGGGTTGAGGGTTGAGGGGGGATGTTATCTCCTTTCGTTTGACAGATCACTACGCGGAATAAATCATTGAGATATTTCGGTGGCCGGGGTATTGACTGTATGAAGAATTGGTCACATGCTTTATTACATTGAGAATTAATGGGTAGATACATATATCTGAGATCCGACCTTTCTTCTCCTTGTACTACTTACAGACACATCAATCCGCAAAGTGCCACTCAAATTTTACTTGGCACCCAGAGGGGTTTCTTCTTGCCCGCAAACGCTTCTAATCCAATCATCATATTTTCCCCTTCAAACAGTTGCTGATCATATCTCTGCGCAACGATTTGTGTAGCTCTCTCTACACTGGCAGTCTCCCAAGCTTCCCTCAATCCCGCTCTCGACACAATCACCGCATCTGGGCTCAGAGATGCAATCTTCTCTGCCAGCTCCACACTTTCCTTCAATACCGTCTCGGGTGATTGTGCAACTCTATTGATTAGATTGTATGAGAGTGCTTCTTGAGCAGTTAGTTTTCTATTAGTCAATGCGATCTCGGTTGCTATTTGAAGTCCACAATTGCGCACTAAACGCGGAAGACCACCAGCAGCAGCGTAAAGACCTACAGCTGCTTCAGGCAATCCAAATTTTGCCAGAGGAGACGCAACGACTAAGTCACTAGCACATATTAGTTCGTATGCCTCTTTAGATTAAAAAAAAGTAGCGATACCAATTCAAACATATCTCAAACCCCCCACCAAGCGCGAAACCATTCACCGCCGCAATCACCGGCTTTTTGCCCACCCTCCGACTAATACCACAGAATCCGCTGGAGGGATGTCTCCCAGTTGACATGGGTGGGGGCTGAATCTTGAATTTTGCTTGCTCGATGAGATCTTGCCCAGCGCAAAATGCTTTCTCGCCGGCTCCGGTAATGATAGCAACGCGTAAATTGGGAGCGCTGTCGAACCAGGTGAGGATGGCGTCAGCTTCCCAGTGCGCAAAGCTGGGAATGGAATTCATGGCTTGCGGACGATTGATGGTGATGAGGAGGATTTGGGGGGTTGGGTAGGATAGCAGGAAGGAGGTGGTTTTGGGGGGTGGGGAGCTGGTTGTCATGGTTGGTGTGGTGGGTGGGAGTGGTTAATGGGTTGTGGATGTGGATGTGATGGTGGGTTTTGGGGAATTTCTTTTGGTTCGAGGTGGATGTGGGAGATGGTGGGGATGAGATTAGGCTAAAAAGGGGGGCTTTAGTAAGGAGTACTAGTGGAGCTCACCCCGCAAATGAGGTCTCAGCTTTGCCGAACCGAGGCTTAGTTTGTATCTGCACATGTCTTTCACATCATGTGATTCTTTTGAAAAACCGTTGCTAGGAAAAACACTGTTTGTCCTCGTTCTATTTTATTCTCTGTTCGTTGGTGTGATGCCAAATTTGGAAACAAAATAACTGGGCTTGCATCAGTTCACCGGGGATTTCCATAAAACTCACTGGGAGCTCACCGGAACTGATGTAACTGGACACTAGACAATCCAGTAAACCGCCACTTACGCAAATTGAGTCAATTCTGCAACAATTCATTTTATTGCCCATCTCCGACATCCTACATATTTTCGACGCCATATCCACCTTCAACCATACATCTGAAAGTTCTGAGGGGCCGTCAATGATTTCAACATCCACCGTCTCATTGTGCTCTCATGACTACAACTCACCAGTAATCTAATCCTACCTACAAGAGACCGCTTCAAGCATTAGGATAACGTCACGGTAAGCAGCCCACACACATATGTGCGGAGTTGGGTTTTCCTATCGGCCCTGCGCGATTGGTATGGCGTTGATCGGCATATTGGATCTTCATTTCATTGCGAAATCCTTATATTTGTTCAGGATAATAAGTGGTGTATCTCTTTGGAGAAATACTCAAGTACACCGATCTCAATTGGAGATACGGATACATCGAGAAATACCGTACGGTAGAGGAATTTTTGTTATCCGGTGGATCCACACGTATGGACTGGACTGTATTGAGAGATTCTTACTAGGTTATGAGTACCTACATCATCGGCAGCTGAACAGTATAGCGTCGCCAAGACTGCACTACAAATCCATGCCTTCCGTGAGATTGTCGTTACATTGAGGATTGTGTCGTGTATTATCGAGCAAGTTGCTTTGATAATAACTTTGAGGGCAATAATACAAGCTTCGATTATTGTCAGGAGCTGGGCTTTAAGACATGAAAAGTTACTTTGTCTCTTCCATTTTGTTGAATACTGAGGTCCATAATTTGATTTTGCGCAATATCAACATGTTAAGCTAGGCTCCAGAGCTTCGTGCGAGGCTCTAAGGGCTGTATACAGAAGTTCGGGGTTTTCATGTTGTCGACGATTGATGTTCGATTCTCAGATTTGAACTAGAATGGTTTACTCTCTGGCGACGTAATAGAGGATATCGTTCAGTACCACGGATCTGCTACATTCTTCGAACTAAAGTCTAGGATTGTAGCTTGGGTCTTCGACCAATCCGTCAATTTACGCTAGTACATGGCCATTCATTCTACGGTGACTGGTACCCTATAAATTTGAGGAGACTGTGATGATCAGATCAGCAATACCTCGCAAACTTCGATGATGCAGCTTTCGATGAGAAACGCGGTGTCCGAATAGATTCCACATATGGATCTGCTCAATCCCCAAATTGCAGCTGCAACGAATGGCGTGTATGGTTCTCAGTACTAAGTATCCAAGCAATCTGTGGGTAGGTCCGCGACTCGTAATACTGTCACTAACCCCGTTTGAAATTTAGGGGACTAATGAGAGTATCAAAATCTTTTTTCAGGATAGAGCTTGGTTACTCAACGAATTTTCCATCCTACCATTGATGGATTTCAGCAGATGACGTACAGCTGCGGACTTCATGGGATGCTTTCTGATAGCAGCGAATCAGGGGTCTACTCCGGAAAGGTCTACAATCCGTCTAGTATGTCTCTCTTTCCCTTTCTGAAAGTATTATATTCGTTTGTTAATTGGTCGTCAAGCCTCACTTGTTCCATCCCTTCTACCTTCACTTTCTGTTTAACCTTGGTTAGTCTCTCGGTTTGAAACGGAATTATCTATTTGCTTGGCCTAATTCACTGCTGTGCATTACTGCCGAAGAATTCACGTGAAATGGAGTTACAAAACCAAGTCTATTCAGCCCGCGTTTAGTCATGCGCCAAATGTGGAGCCAACTAAGTATATTCCTTCTAACGAATTTAAATACGAGCTGGCAGCACCATAATACGAACGAGCTCTTCTTAACACCTTTACAGCAACATTTAATCAAAACCAATAGCAATTCGACGCGGCACTCTGCTCAAGTGCCTATACTCAGCTACCGTTACACACTAATTATCACCCCGCGTTTCGCGAAAGTTTACCCTTACCCCTGTCACGGGATGGAACATAGACTGACCGGGTATCTGCTGCTCGTAAGTCTTGATTAGGAAAGTGACTCGGGTATTAAAAGATGGAGTACGTACTTGACATTTAAAGTCTTGGGATCTTCACATGGTTTTTCCGAACGTTGGGCGTGAAATTCTGCTGCCATGCTGGATCGTCGGCGAGGTCGAGAATGTGTGTAAGCTTCAAGAACGAATATGTCATGCTTAATACGCCTCGCAGTGATGTGCAGTCAGGGAGTGGCCGTGTGCCGTTGTCATTCTTAGCTGAAGTTCGATTATTTTATGTGTTTTGGGCTGCTCGTGCTGCTGTGACTGCAAGTTGAAGATTCGGCGAATTATTGCAGGAAGGCTGCAACGTCCTTGGGGCAATTGGACTTGGCTTACCTATTCCAGGGTCCTGGATTGACCAAGAAATTTATTAGATGGGTATCATGTATTGCATGAAATGCAGAGTCTCGTACGTGACTAAATATGGGTGGGATATGCTTTGAACATATTGATTTGAGCCGTTTCTTGGGAGTATTGGAGCTGGACCAAGTAAGCAAATAAGCCACGTTCGAGAGTCCGAAACTACGGGCGCAGTCAAAGTTTGGAGACGAGAAATCCACAAAGAGGATTTTCGACACGTGTTAGGAGAATTTTTCCAGCTCTCGAGCTTGAGCTGGAATCCGATAGTTCGTGATGTGTTGTTTTGATTGTGTTGCGCCTTTTCCTGCCGTGATCTTCTAAAAAAACATATACAAGAAAGAGTCTCAGTGGTGAAAGAGAAAGCTCCAATTTATAAGGAGACGCATTGTAATATATGGTTCCAAACTTTGAGGCATATAGAATCGCCAAATTGATTTTCCGGTAGTCTCCATCATCCTAGTCATCCTACCACCCCCATTCTTGTCGCCAATCATCTTCCCCAAGTTTTTCCGTCTATCCGAGAAAGGCGCTGCTGCGCGATGTGCTCAAGACGTGTAACAATTGGCCAAGCGTAGCACATGGATTGTGGGGAAATTGTTGGATCGTGGAGGCGGGAAAAAATATCAGATGAAAATGACAAGTACGGTAGTTTCCCCGTGGCACAACAGGTCTGAAAGAGTCTTTGATCCCAAAAGCTAGGATTACAACCAGAGGATCATCAATCCTCGGCCACAACAGACATGCAGTAATGTCATTCCAGATAACCTACAAAGAAATTCAAATTGTCAATCTGACATATATAATGCAAGCACATGCTTTCTGAAAAGACCCCATTGAGTACCCTACAGGACTATCCCCATTTTCTTCCCTGCCATTGCAGGAAGAAGTCTGGACCTTGGAGAACTTCCAAGCACAAGATCCAGTAAAGAGGGAATCAGTTCGTGTTCCTCGTGAGAATCTGCAGATACATTATATATGCTGTGGCCACAGTCCACAAGCCCCACGGTTGCATTAACTACGACAGGAAGCTTCTCATGTTCCACGGCTACAACGTCGTAGATATAATATTGCGATATACCCAATAAATCAAGGATTTCGGCCAAAAGAAGGGTCCTGCTGCCGTCAGCGAATGTCAGCACTTCTCCGAAGACAACGTCGGCGCTTCAACCGTGACCGTTGGTTTGCCAGTAATTTACGAAGTGAAGTCTACCGGAATCGCTGCAGTCATCCCCCGTACCTCCAGTATCGTTGAACGTCTGACCATCGACTTACGCTTAGACAGTTGCCCGCTCGGAAGCCAAGAAGATACTGGTATCGACGTATATCTGTCATATTTCATATTGAGCTGATTACGCTGCAATTACTATAATCAGTTCGCAAGTAATCCCAGACCCCAATCCCAATCCAATTCTATCGAGGTGGGGCGGATATTGTTCTTCGAACGGTGCCATCTTCATGCCTTCACCAATTGGCTCCGCAAAGATGTTTCATACTTGTAAGTAGACGTTTGAAAAGGAGACATCCAAGTTACCGAGGGAGTAAGAAAGATTGCATGCTGATCATTGTTCCATTGTTGTATTAGTTCAAGGACTGGCACCACCCCACCAAACATTAAGCTCGGAGCAAACACTACAAGACAACCCAAAACCGACAACAAATGGAGTAACGAAGCGAATTACAACTCCACACGCATGTGCAGAATGTAAACGTCGTAAAATTCGATGCGATGGACGACAGCCTTGTGGGCAATGTGTTGGATGTCGATCACCAAAACCGTGTTATTACGATAAACATAGACAGAGGGTGATTCCCTCTCGAAAGTACGATGATTGTGCATTCCAAATGCTGCCTTACGTACTGATTGAAGTAGAACCCTCGATGCTCTGACTCAATCCCTAGACGAATGTCGTACCGTCATAAGAAGACTTTATCCTGATCGAGAGGTGCAACAATTATTGCCATTGTCTCGAAATGAACTCGTTGCCCTCATCGATCGGTCCCCACGAAGTGTGCTTTCGAATACATCTCCCTCGGGATCTAATACTTCTCCCACCTCACAGGAATATAGATCACCTCTGAACTCTGGTTCTGACGAAGATAGAAGCCTAGCAAACCTCGAACAGATACCAAGTCAAGATATAGAATGGGACGAGGAAAGAAGAAACCGAGATCCAATGCCCGCAGAGGCGGATGATGTGAATGCTTTGTCTCTATCAGTTGATCGACAGTCGTCGTACTTAGGTGCGACTTCAATCAAAGCCGCACTTCTTGTTATGCTCAAGGTAGCACCGAGACTAAGATCTCTTTTGGCGCCTTCAAACACTAAGCAAATTCCACCAAGTAGTAACTATCCTACACCGCGACCGGGAAATTCGATCAAGGATTTACAGGCGATCTCATGGTCTTCCGATGGCCAGACCCTTATTGATGCATACTTCAATAGAGTACAAATATTTGTACCGATGCTTGACGAACCTACTTTCAGAGCCGATTTCTTGAGTGGGCGACGGCATGATGCACCATGGCTTGCATTATTGAATATGGTGTTTGCTATGGGAAGTATTGTTGCCAGCAAATCCGATGACCATAATCATATTAATTATTACAACCGAGCGAAGGATCACTTAGGTATTGATTCTTTTGGCAGTGGCCATTTGGAAACGTTACAAGCTCTGTCGTTGATGGGAGGATATTATCTTCACTATATCAATCGTCCAAATATGGCCAATGCAATCTGTGGAGCAGCACTAAGAATGGCTTGTGCAATGGGCTTACATCGGGAAAGTATACATGAGAATAATATCGAAAGCAACTTGATTGCAGAACAAAGGCGAAGAACATGGTGGAGTCTATTCTGTCTTGATACTTGGGCATCTACAACTCTAGGAAGACCTTCTATGGGCCGATGGGGCCCTGCTATTACCATGCAGCCTCCAGAATCAATACATAATACTGTTTGTACCCCCCCTTTTTTTCCTCGGCTGTTCATCGCTAATGGTCATCTAGAATCAAAACATGAATATTATTCCCCTAATGGAGAACATCAAATTCTGCAAAGTTGCCACACAAATCCAAGATGCTCTGGCCCAAACCCCGCTTCTCCGAAGTGACGACCTCGCCAATCTCGACGGACAACTCGTAGATTGGTACGAGAACCTTCCTTGGACCTTACGCTCTACTGAACCTTGTCCCGAATCAATATACACTGCCCGATGCGTCATGAAATGGAGATATCAGAACCTTCGTATCGTGCTTTATAGACCTGTTCTTCTGAATCTTGCCAATCGAGGTAATCAAGGAATTTCAGCCAACAAGGAAGAACTTGCCGCCGTCCAAACATGTCGTACAATTGCCCGAGAAACCATCGAAGACATATCACGTGAATGGACACCTAATCAAATGTTAGGGTGGAACGGTGTGTGGTTCATGTATCAAGCATCCATGATCCCACTCGTCAGTATATTTTGGGAATCATGGAATACGAGCCTGGTTCGCGATTGGCAAGCACAGATTGAAGTTGTGCTTGAAGCTTTTGATGGGATGGCCGATTGGTCGTTGGCTGCTAGGCGAAGTAGGGAAGTGGTGAGCAAGATGTACGAAGCTAGTAAGCGACCTTTAACGAGACATCCGAGTCCGGGGTTGAGCCAGATTTCGGATGATATTCATCGGATGGCGGGGATAGATGGGAGACATTATATGGATAATGATATGTTGCAACAAGTGGAGATTATGGGAGAGGAACAATTGATGATGCTTGATAATGGGGGCATATGGGATTTGGATGGTATGTTGTGGGGAAACTTGCCGGATGGATTGGATATGCCTTATGATGGACTTCCAATGCAGTATGATGATTCGGGGATAGGCCAATTCGATGGGCCGTATATTATTCATCAATGCTGATGGACTTGACAACGGTTAGGAAATTTCATCGTTCACGAAGGAGCTAGTCTCTGATCAAAATGGGAGGGAACCTGGGCATTTTTTCAAGGATAGCGAGGGGTGGAATCGGCGGTCACATGTCACTTCTTTGCTTGCGTATATGAGTCACGAAGTTACGTGTTTATATGATATGATACCACTATAGCAATGTATGATTTCATAATACTACTAGTATCTCAACATATATCTACTATCTAGACAGACATACAATAACTGTTGTGAAATAGGAAGTATTTTGTAATCTAACGGCAGCCCCATTCTTGGGCCATACACTCAGTATATCAACAGCATGTACCTAGCCAGCATATCAAATATACCTCGGCATTATAGGTACATCTACTTATGAGGTCCATATACCCCGCCCCTCGTCTGCACTGCAAATCCGGGGAATGCTACCGGTACTTGTTTTTTCCTATAAGGGTACCTAGGTAAGTTCTCTGAATAGTGTATCTAATAAACAATTCTTTTAATTACTCAATCATTTATCGAAGGCATGGAATTATGGGATATGGGATATCGGGCCGCTATTCCCTTCTCGTACCTTCTTGACATTCTCTCCTCCCCCATTTTATTCCATTCCATACCATTCCATCCCACCCCACACCAACAACAACATGCTTATACTCCGAACTTCGTACTTCGTATACTGCACACCACACCCAGAAAACAAATCATCCCCCACCCATTCTACCCACGTCACCCACATCACCCACATCATCCCATCCACATTCCTCACCCCCAATCCTCGCTACCAAGTTCCACCACCACTATTTCCACTTCCACCACTTCCACTTCATCACATCATCACATCATCACATTCACATGCCTCAATTAACACCCCAACACCATCTCCCCAACCTTTACTCAAGCATATGTAACAGTGACCATGATCTTTCTGATCCTTCTGCCGTGCAACACACAACACACTTTCTATCAACAATAAGCAAGCGAATGCGGAGATGCCGTACTACCCACCCACCATATACCAACTTATTATTATTTCGTACTAAGTTTGGACTGCACGACAGAGGTATGACAATCTAACTGTCCATCCCCCACTTTTTAATCATGATCTGCTGCATGCATGCGTGATGTTGTGCGATATTTTTACTCCACGGGAATTCCCTGGTTTTGTTGAAGCGCGTGATTTGTATGTATGGCTATCCTGTTTTTATTATATGCACCTATCTCTCGCTGAAGATATCGTATTGCTGCTTCGTGAAAATGTATATTCATATGATGGGTATTTACTGATCATGATATCATTATTGCTTAGCCATGACCCGATGACACTCGCAAATCTTCGTTAATCTTTGTCTAATCCATCCACATCTCCATTAGCATGACATTCATTCCCCTAGTTTCCGGATCATATGCCCCCAAAAACTTTCGCCAAACACCCCTATTCGCTAATCGAGGATTCTGTAATTTTGATTGGCTCAGAGATCCTCAGAACTTGTGTCCTACTCGTGATCCCATCGAATATGCATGTGTTGTCGATCGGTACATATTGTTGTGTGATGATTTTGATGATTTCTTGTGCTACCATTCCCCCTGTTATTGAAGAGATGATGTGTAATTCTCCACCTTTGGCTCGTGCTACTTCTTCAGCGACTTTGCTGACACGTGGATTGGAAGAGGCTTTTGGAATTTCTGTTTCGATTTGGGCTAGGATCTCGGATGAAGTAGCTGATTGTACATGTGAAGTTGCACGGAGACTCAAATAGATTGGAAAATTTGACAATGGTATCATTGTCATAGGGGCATTGTCATCATTTTCAAACTCTGACTCTACTAGAGTGTTAGTCTCATTTCTTCAAAAAGAAGAATACACAATAAACATACCTGCTATCTTTTGCAAGTCTGTCGTCGGATCCGAGCCTCGGATAAGCTTGACGAAAGCAGCATTCTTACAGAATACCTCCACTTCCTCCACCTTGATATTATTGCCACGTGGATGTGCCCGAATAGTCTCTAGTACTTCCTGAACATCTTGGCGAGCTTTTGCCTTGTAGATATTTTGGAGTTGTACATATATATTTGATTGGGCCTTCATGTCTGGAACAGATCCTGGAAGTGGGAGCTCATTATGATTTGCATAGAATCTTTTGACAGCATCGGTTATAATCCAGAAATCCGATTCCGATTCTACCTATAGTCATGCTAGTTAGCATTCGAATCGTTCGACTGGAGCACGCTCATCATACCTCGGTCGGTTTGTACTCGAAGACCTCCTTCACGGAACTAGCTAAATCTCGTACAGATATATTCTTCAGCACAGCTGCAACAGCTTCATCAAAGTTCTCCTCTCCACCCTCGGCATTACTTCTTCTTGTACCATTTGAAACCGTCGTCCTAAACTCAGTTTTTTCCTTGTAAGTAATTGGGTATTGGCCATGCTCTTCTTTCCATTTCTTCAGAAAATGTAAGAGCAGAACTAGGTAAGGTATATGTCCATGCTCATGATCACTGAGGGTATCGATATTTTTGGTCAGATCTGCAGCGAAATTCGAAAGTTCTGGCCACGACTTCAAGAGCCGCAAGTCTGTTGTGGCCGTCGAGTCTGGATGAGTGTCGACGATAGGAAAGTTTCCTGGTAGATACGTCTTAAAATATGAGTAAAATCCGGCCGAATGTATGCTGATGAGCGGAACTTTGTGGGCTACGCTGTATTCTTCTGCAAGAGCGAGGATTTTGGGATCGATAGGAAACGAGTATAATATTAATGTATAATTTTCTTTTTGGTCTGCCTCGAAGACTTGGTGCAATTTGTCATCCTGCATACGCATTCAGTTAGCATATATGTCGGTGAACAAAAGGATTGAAGGTATACATACCTTGAGTTTCGGATACCAGTCCCCCTTCACATCTGAATTGAGTTCTTGTAGAAGTTTCACACAATGTTCTGCCCTCGAAAGTCCTAAGCTCTCCTCATCTAGAAAGAAATTAACCCCCAAATCAGCCTCATTTACAAGTGCCTCATCTGCAATTGTGAACTTTCCAATGCCTATTTATTGTTAGTTGGCTCTGCACATATACACCGGGTTGTTACATACCTGGAAGAACTAAATTCTTTAATGTCTCAACACCAACTGTACCACAACCCGAGTTCAAAAGTAATAAATTGGCATTCTCTAAGGCTTCTTGTCCTGAAGCTGCCCACAATCGCAGTTGTCGGTCATATTTCTTCTCCTTGTCGGAAGGGCCTTGAAGGATAGGAGGGGTTTGTTCTATAACTATTTCCGACATTGTTGAAGGGCACAATAGTACAGTGTGCAAGGTGTTGAGTGTGTTGAGGGGGTAAATTTATAAATTCTTCGAGTATCCAGAAAATGTATGAGTATTTATGGTAAAATAGGTGGTAAAATAAGGAAAGTCGACGAAATCTATCTATCATTCATATATCAAGAATACCCAACACCGGAACCCGTCTCGGAAGCCTTGCTTATCTAAGCTTAAATGTTCTTATCAGCACGTGCCGCAGTGAAAATGGTCTTATCTTAGCATTAGCTTCATGGAAACATCACTCCGGAGTCCGGAGGGGGTCCATCCAAGCCCTTGTCGGATTTCGTTTTATGTCGCATGTCAAATTCATCATTGTTCCTTAAATACCCAAGTTTTTTTTAATGGAAATATATCCTCGCAATCTTGCTTACCGATTTCTTCATTTGAATACATTCTCTCGTTCAATTTATAATATACATCCGAGACGTTATCATCCCACCCGGAGTCTGTCCCGCAACATATACCCAAACTTTCCCCAATCTTTAAACAAAACGAAATCGAATATACCAAGCATATCCAAACAGTACTTCACGAATTTAATGGCTTCTACAAACCCAGCTATTCCTGGCCAGTCCGCAGCTTCCTCAAATCCGACGGTTCCTGCTGCTGAAAATGCCACTCTCCATCATGCCTATGACTATGCAAATCTTTCTCCGGTAGAAGCTTCCAAACGTCGAGCAGCATACAAAGCCGTCGAAGATCACTTCGATCCCTCCTACAAATATGTCGGAATTGGATCAGGTAGTACTGTCGTCTACGTGGTGGAAGCTATTGCTGCCAAAGGTCGAGATATCACCTCCAAGATGATTTTCGTTCCTACTGGTGATCAAAGTAAACAATTGATCATTGAAGCTGGTCTACCTTTAGGAAGCATTGATTCCTTACCCCCGGTGATTGTTGAACCCCTTCATCTTAGTGGGGACGCTGCCTTCGATGTTTCCACGGGTCTGCAAGATTTAGGACTGAAAGGGAAACGTGAAAGTCTTGATGTTGCATTCGATGGAGCAGATGAAATTGATGAAGATCTCAACTGCATAAAGGGAGGCGGAGCTTGTCTTTTCCAAGAAAAGCTGGTCGCAACTTCTTCCAAGAAGTTCGTATGTGTAGCAGGTCAGTAAAGGATTCGGACGTTGTATTTGCAACTCTAAATAAAGCTAATAATGCATAGATTTCCGCAAACTACAACCTCGTCTTCTCACTTCTTGGAAAGCTATCCCAATCGAGATTGCGCCATTAGCCGCCCCAACCATAAAAAGAATTCTCATTACACTCGGATCTCCGGATCCGAAAATCAGACAAGGTGGAAGTGCCAAAGCCGGACCAGTCGTAACAGACAACGGAATGTGGATCATTGATGCGCCTTTCCCTAAACTCTTGATTCATTCGGATTTGAAGGGCCATGATAAGGGAGATGGAGAAAATGGTACTTGGGAGGTACACAACCTAGGAAGAAGACTGAAGAGAATAGTTGGAGTCCTAGAAACTGGTCTCTTTCACGGTAGAAATGGTGGTCAGGTTGCCAATGCTGGCGAAGAAGGTGGTGGACAAAAGCCAGTGGCTGCATATTTCGGTATGGAGGATGGCAATGTCGAGATTCGCACGGCTACAGAGCATGGCATCAAGTCAAGGCCTTAGGTGGGTTGTCGAGTTCTGAGAAGAGGGGGAGCTTTAGGATGATAAGTCACACTGACATATGTGATTGATAAGCTCTTATAATGATTAACGGACATGAAACTCTTTTTATCATCAATGCAGCCAGGGTTTTCCTCTTGGTTAAATCTATCAAAATAGTTAAGCATACAATTCTTTCACACAAACTGGAAGATCATCATCATTTCCCAACAGAACCCTTCTAAGAGATCGAAGTTGCCATTCTCAAACAAGAGGAAGAAGATTCAAATTTCACAACACTACCTAGCACAATAGTTGAACAATTTCTTATACTCGAGTAGAGGGCAAAGACAAATCAATCATAGCCCAAGAAACCATATCCTGAAAAATACGAAAATTCTTAATACTCGTAGATAACAATGGGCTAGCTGCTCGTTCCTCTCTCTTGCACTATTGCACTACAACACTCGAGAGACGCACATGTATATGAACATTATTCTGTAGTAAAGAGGAAGTCTAGCATAATGTTGGCTGAGCTCACTGGAGGGTATTGGTATTGGTGTTGGTACTACTCGTAGTATTTTGTGTCAAGATGTTATTTCGATTTGCATTTTCATTTTTGGGAGATTTTCGGTTGGTTGGTGTTTGTTATTTATTTGGGATCGAGTGATTTGTTTATTTGTTTATACTTGTGTGTTTGTGTATATATACCTAGTATGTTTGAGTATAATATATATAAGTGGGAGGTAGATACCTAGTAGGTTGGGATAAGTGACAGGAAAGGGGTATGAATTCTTGTCTTATTTGTGCATACTCTACGAGTAGATGTTTGGCTGATGTATGCTTTGATTCCTGATGGGATGGATGGCTGGAAGGTACAGCACCGATTTATTCGTGTGGTGTGGTTATTAAAGTGTCAATTTAAATGAGGGAGGGATCGGGTCCTATGTTTCATGAATGATGTTCAATTACCAAATATTATTTGATTTTCATACTATCTCTTTCTCACCCTCCTACTCCTACTTCTTTTATATCATCCACCAATCAATCATCTCTTCCCTCTTCTTCCTAACCCTTCTTCCTTACCCCTCCTCCCAATCCCTCCCCCCTTCAAGACCACAACTCCCTATCCACGCCCCCCCAATTAATAAAATCAATACCCTCCTTCCTCCACGTATCATCTTCCACATACGTTTTATTACTATTAAGCACCAAATTCTTCGGGCTCTTATTGCTATACAATGGCCAGTTGGGGAGTGTTGTAATCTTACTATCGGTACTCATGACGTTTGAGACAGAAGTGGAAGTGGAATTTGAACGACCGTTTGGATTCCCATGATTGACAAATGAGATGTAGGCTTTGCCGATGTTTTGGGAGAGATCGAGATACGATTGGTATTGGGGGAGGGGACCAAGGGCGCCGGATATGTTTTGGAAGGAGAAGACTACGTTTACGACTGGGGATTGTTAATTGTGGTGATGGGGAAGAACGGGAGGAGAGGAGAGGGGAGGAGAGGGGAGTGATTTACAATGCTTCACACCGTCTGTGACGGCGGCGTTCCAGAGAAATGTATCGACTGGTAGGTGGGAGTAATATTAGTTTTACGCGGATGTGGGTTAGGTGGAAACGGGAAGGGTAGGGTGAGGAGATGTGAAAATGTGAAAGGACTTACAGCGATAGCTATATACGGATTGAGATGCGGCGGTGTAGACTTCGCACATCTGATCATAGAGAGTGTTCAATTAGGAAAATGATGCTATTGGGGATAGAGTGTCAAAATGTACCTTTCGACGACCGGATATCATAACCAGATCTCCTGCTATGGCAGCATCGCGTCGCCATCTATTCTTTGCGTTAGCATCATCATCATAGGAAATGAGAGATCTAGAAGATCGTCGTACTGAAGTCCCTTGCTTGGAAAGATTGTCGCGTTGGTAATATAATACGGAGGTTCATTTGCTGGATCATTCTGGTATTGTCAGGATTCTCATCAGAGACTTTTTCTATCACTTTTGGACCATACCGGATATAATTCTAGCAGCTTTCTAGCAGTTGGCGGAGATATCGCATAAGCGTTTGAAGCTCGATATATGAGGAGATTGTTGAAAACGGCTGTCTCGTTATTCAATCCGGACACACCGAAACTACTTCCTTCGTCACTATTGGCGCCGATTAGGAGGGGAACTTTGATGAATTTTCCTTGTGGGGTAAGATTGCTGGGGTAGTCGGTGAGGAAGTCGCCGTCAACCTGATGGTACATTAGTTTTGATTGGGGGTGAGGAGGTGAGAAGTTAAGCGATTATTGAGGTTGATTTAGAATTTCAAAGGACTATGAAGGGAGTGAGGGGCATGAAAGGTGTACTAAGACATCAACGGACCATTGGATTCCACTGTTGACTAACTCGTGCCTTCCATAGTTGATCCGAAGTCAGACTTCGTAGACAAGCGAGTTTGTTGGTGGATGTCCAACAACCAGTGGCTCGAGTTAGGTTTTCAGTTGGTACAGTATAACAGCCGAGTGGATTCCTACACCAGGGGTTTAGATCTTAAGGCAAAGCCGAGAAGTTAAGAAAATCAGGGCTCATACAGACTAGCTCCAGTGGGACTTCCAGATTCCATTATTGCTGCTTGGAATAAATTGTCATCTCGTCCATCATAGGAGTATAAATGATAACTGATGCTTTGAGCTCCAGCAGATTCCCCCCAAACAGTAATCTTATCAGGGTTTCCACCAAAAGATGCAATATTTTCTTTTATCCATCTCAAGGCTAATCGTTGATCAAGTAGTCCAGCATTAGAGCTACCTTCAGCGAGTATTTCAGGCGTCTGTAGGAAGCCCCATACCCCAAGGCGATAATCCATGGAGACTACAGAGTTTAGTAAATGGAAAGATTAGAGATTGAGACTCGAAATCACCTGTAATGATGGGCTGTCCTGACTGTTGTCCGACATGTGTGATGCCAGAGAGATTATATCTGAAAATTGTCAGATACAAGAAACCATTACGATGCATAAGAAACTCACTGGGGATCTGCAGTCGCTCCAGTGTAAAAACCACCACCAAATATCCAAATTAAAACGGGTAAATCACTGTCTGAAGTAGTTCCCGCTGGCCTTATAACTAGTTTGGTCAGTATTTAGCAGCATGGTTCAGACGTCCATTCGGATATTTGACCATACCATTGAGAGTGAGGCAGTCCTCAGAAAGGTTAAAAGTCGTGCCATATTGGTAACAGCTATGCCCATAATGTGTTGCATCACGATAACCAGTAAAGGAAGTGTTCAGAGACTTTGGCGCAGCAAATCTGAGGTCACCTAACGGTGGCATGGCATAAGGTACTCCCAGAAATTGATCTTGCTGCCATTCAGAAACATATTTCCCAACATATGACCCGTTGGTAACGGTGACAGTTGGGGCGGTTGAATTTATCCCAAAGACCGATGATGGAAGAAGAAGGCTTGCGAACAGAACGGCCACAGAGGAACAAAAGTTTGGTAATTTCATCATGTAGTACTACTCAAAGGATTGACCACTAGATTCCAATTTTTCGATGAAATATATCAATCGTGATGTAGGAACGACAGATCAATCAGGGACCAGTGGCACACTTGAAAGACTTATTCAATCCGAAGATTCTTGGCAACTAAGTTGTCACCTCGAACAAGAGACATGGTTTGCCAATGATTATTCTACAAAGATGGGAGGTAATATTTTCAACGTGGATGCCATTATGTTGTGTGGGAAAGTTATCCACTACTCAAATCTAGTCACCCCCTCCCTGTAGCGAATTGGAACTATTGATTGATTCTTTTCCCCTTGAGCTTACGGTAAAGTAACCCACTTCCGAATAAATAGCCAGACGGAGAGCCTTTAGGGCCACTTTACCCCACTTCGTTGGTACTCTCCCATACAAGATCTCAGACTTGTGTAATCTAGTAAGATAGGCAATCATTCTACCCTCGTCCTTCGGCATTATCACGTCGTCAGCAGCAAGGGTTCAATGGAAGAACTCTTCCCATGTATATCGGACATACACCGGATGCGGGTATGCTAAGGTAGTGAGCGAGTGAGATTGTCACCCTGCATGAGGGGCGTCGGTGAAGGACTTGGCATGTAAACGAGGTTTAGTACTGTACTTCTTCCTAGACTCGGGTAGAATGCGTGGCGTTTTGAAGTTGGTAGAATATTCAATTGTACAGCTTGGTCAAATTTGACTACATTGACCGGCTTGATGATACAAGTACATGAAAAGACCTTCCGGGTGGTATGTAATGTGGGATGAATAGATGTGCAGATATGAAGTTGGAGGAAATGCGGGGTAAAAGGCTGTGGAGTTTTCTGCCACCTTTGACCGCCTTTCCATATCATCATCCTCCTTAAGTTAGAGACAGCAACTCTCATCAACCTTCACTTCTTTTTCAATCACTCGAGTACTCTCATCATTTCATCATCTCATCATATCTGTCCCTCAAATCTACATTGCTCATTGTATCGAGCAAATTTATACGCTCATTGCTGTTATAACGGAACAAGAAGTAAGTACCGGTACTACAATAAAGTAGGACAAAAAGGTGCCTCTTTGTCTTGTGAATTTACCGACAAAAGAAAATGGACTTTATCCTTCGATGCAATGCTCTGAAATGTCGGAAAGAATTGAACGATCATGCAGTAGCTACTACTTGCAGGTTCGTGTTTAGTCGAATTCCAGATCCATTACTTATTTATCTTCAATAGCCATGTATTTTGCATTGAGTGTTCAAATCAGTCCCAGCTATCTACTAACATACGGGATAATCGAAGAGCAACATGTCCTGCATGCGATATGCATCTACCGAATCCCGACGATGTAGTTGTCACTAATTTGAACCCGAGCGAGGACTACAAGACGAGTGTGTTAAGTGGACTTAATCCGAGTGTCATCATGGAGTGTGCAGGGCGAGCGTTGAGTTTCTGGGCATACCAAACTACTCAAGAGATGTTTGTGTCCGCAGTCTGCCATCACTAGCTTTGCTGACGAGCTTGGATTCAAGTGTTTATCAAGAATACCTAGCCAAGAGTTTGACAGACAAGTACTCTACGCTGAATTCTCATATGGATAAGATTATCCATGATGCAAACAGCGAGATATCCAATCTTCGCAATAAAATGATGGGTAAGTCTTTACATGACACCTTGGATGTCCGAAAGAGCACTAATCAATAGTATAGCCATGAATACGGACCAGGATGCTTTGAGAAGAAAGAACGAGGAGCTCAACCACATTCTCAGAGAGAAGAACAAAAAATTCCTTCAGACCCAGGAGCTTTACGATAAAATGAAGCGTAGGGGATTATTGGATCAAGTTCAGACTGCTGCTTCAAATGCAGTTGACGATACCATACAGGCGACAGTGACTGGTCATTGTTTTACTCACAGCATAGGCACTGATAATCACAGACCACAAGAGCCACCACTTTATGCAAATCAACAGACCGGTGGAATGCAACATACTGGGGGTTTGCAAAATTCAAGTATGCTACCTCCGCCCCAGAGGAGAAGACACAGTAGCGAGTGGACTGCCATGGGCAGCCAAGGAAACAATCATGGATCCCAGCATCGTAAGAGGAACTCTCATTACCACTGAAATCTGATACGATTTGCTTACGAAGATGAAAGAAGGTCAAGTTCAGGCGACACCTTCGTCTCATCGACAGCCTTTGATATCTGGCAACTTTCCTCCTACAGGCACTGGCATGAACAGTTTACAGAACCATATGACTGGTACACCTTTATCCCATAGTCGAGTTACGTCTCGTCGGGCTCCATTATTAGGTCTCAATGTCAATACTGGACAAACTTCTGGTTTCACGGGTTACGGGATGAGAGCAGGCCTGAAGGTCGGAAATCCCGGAGCATCCGTAGCATCCGACTTTTCCAGACCAAGTATTCGATCAGGTATTGTTATCTTGCCTACTTTTTATCGATCCTGCTAACCTCAAGATAGTAGCGCAAAGACCTGGCTCGAAGGTTCCGTTCAGTCGCGATTCAGGACTCGGCACGCCATCGATTTCTCGTGGTGGGGGTGAATACTATTGATGCGGTCATCGAATCTTGCTATCCATATTTGCTATCGGAACTAACATTGTCGTTGCTAATTAGAATCAGTTTCAAGAGTTGTACGATACAACCACGATGGCAAATTAAGATTTGGCTGGGATGTGAGTTTCTTTGCGCTATAAATTTGACTCATGATTCCATTTTTTAGTTCCTACTGTACAACAATTATTTTGATCTGTTCTTTATTAAGACTTAGGTTGACTTGACAATCACCTTTGTTCGCCTTGTTTATTGTTCGTTTGAACCTTTGTTTTTCGTGCGGTAAGGATATTGGTGATATCGATCTACAGAACAGCAACGGAACAGCACTAATATTCAGGATAAAAACAATTCGCCCACCTCGTTTTTTCACATGATCCTCCAGAATATATCTTAATCAACAACCACAAAAATCCCAATCCAATAACATGGATTCCCCACCACATCACCCAAAAGTGATTAGACGTGTGGATGGCATGCAGAGGTTGAGAGTTGGGACTTCGATATCACGAGCTTCGTTGTTGGCGACTTTGCAAAACTCACCACACACAGGACGAATGGTTGTGATGAAGAGAAACATCATGCGGAAAATCCCCAGTCCGATCAGAACTGCCTTGATGACTCTCCGAGGGGGAACGACAATCAAGATCAGGCGGATGATCTCCGAGCCTTTCAACGTCGTGAAATTCGTTGACGGTGAGCCGGTGCTGATGCACCGGTATCATGAGTTGGTGATGGATCCCAGAGACCCATGCATTCCACTCAGTGAGCTCCAAGCCATAAACGAACGCTTTCCGATGACGATGTCGCCAAGCCGAGGACGAGGATCTGCAGGCACACCAACACACACGGTGGCAGCCCAGGCACCAGCAGCACTCGAATCCGCAACAGCAGCCCCCGTACTGTGCCTTCAAAGAAGCTCGCCTCGGCATCTCACAATCAACGCTCCTGATTTGTCGTCCACCACTGTGGATGGCAAGACAGTCGACCCTTCCACCCAACCGCACCGTCCAATCAGACCACCGCCCGCCTCGAGCTCAGAGACGAGTCGCGCTTGGAGGACCCACGCCGAAAATGCACGCAAAAGCTACATGAAGCTCAGTCGAGCGGTCGACACAATCTTCCAGGAGAAGCAACAACTCGAGGACAGGAATCGACAACTCGAAGAAGAGTTGCAAACACAACGTGCCGCCGCAAGTCAGCAACGAGCGTTTTTAAGCCACTTCAAGATGATGTTGGAGAGGGAATCGATGAAAGTGGAGTTGCTTGAGAAAAAACTCGAAAACGCAGCCGAAGTTGCAGCTGCAACTGAAGCCTCAAAAGCCAACAATGTAAAGCGATCATCATCACAACGAACAGCTGAGTCGACGGAGAGCTGGAGTTATTCTGATGAAGCAAAGTTCCATGCAGTGAAATTTCCCATTCCATTCCCTCCACCATCGCCGACCGTGTCAATGATTCCTTCAGGCAATTCATCAATCTCCACAGCCGAGACTGATGATCGCAAAGGCTGGGTCACCGCAACGAAGATTCTCACTGGCTCCGGATCAGAAGATCAATCTGATCACGAAGGCAGCAAGGACAGCGAGAACCACCAACCGGAGCCCGCATCTCCCATCGAACTTCCAACCGAACTTCCAACCGAACCAACAACACCGGCCACCCACCCAGCCTTCACCATCCGCACCACCCTCAACCACATCAATTTCAACAGCAGCATCGACAGCCGCATCACGCGTCACCCCGCCTTCTTCCGCATCCCCATCTCTCCGATCCAGGAAACACTCGCTTCGGCGTGTGTGGACTGGTGCCTGGAGCTGTTTGGGTGGGAGTGGTGCAGTGTGCCGGATTTGAAGTTGGTGGATCCGTTCGCGGGGGAGAAGAGGAGGAGGAGAGGTTTTGGGAGAGTTTTCCAGGGTAGGGAATTGGTGGATTTGAGGCTGAGCGGTTTGAGGGGGGAGAGGGAAGAGGAGGAGTAAAGAGAAGGATAGAGAATTGTGAAGCGTAAGGCGTTATTCACTTGGCTACTGGATAGACCGATTTATACGATATGATAGGACATGACAAGATATGATTGGAAGGGTAGGATAAGGACCGATATGATATCAAGGAAAGGACAAAAAGGCAAATACTCAAGGTAACGAAACATGCTTGATGACTTTTCATGATGACGCTATCATTGATTTATGCTATTGAATAACGAACATATGACTTTATTGCTTATTTCCTTGAAAGAAATCCACACTGGTCGGCTACTAAATAAATATATAACATCTAAATCAATACAACGAATACTGAGATTTATAATGCTTCATAATGTGAGAGTAGTGAATGATGAGGAGAGATGAGCATGAGCTGGATGTGAATGGATTGGACTATAATTTATTACCTAAATATGCTATATATCTATCTAATCGCACTATCTATACTTGTATAAAAAATAATGATTATATCAATTAGTAAATGATTTTTGAAAGTAAATAATAGTCTAATTCCTTTGAGTCCCTCTGCAATTTTGAGGGTATATATAGAACTTCAACTCTACACGTATATACGACTTCATCTGGACTTGCTTCTCAACTCCTGCCTGGATATCTATATGAATTGGATATATATATGTAGTTCTTGTGTACTCAAGTAGATGGATAGATACAAATATTAAAGAAAAAGAGAAAAAGAGAAAAAAAGCATTTATTTATTAGGCTATTAAATATATTGATTCCTCTCGTCATGCGGGATAATTGATCGCTATGTTGAGTGTGGTGTTAACCCTATGTGCAAAATATTTAGTGAATTAGCGAGGGGGTTTGAAAAAGGAACAGGGGGTAGGAGTTTTATCGAGGTTCATGCATGGGGCAAGGAGATATTGTATATGGTTTTAGGGTTCCATGGCTGTTTTGTTTTTCATGGGGGATCTGTGTAGATGTATACAGTATGCGGGAACCAACAAAGAAAGGGAACTGATTGAGTTGATTTGAGCTGAGCTTTGTTCATGTAGCTTTGTTGTTCGATTTTTCTTAAAGGAAATGATAGCATTGTTCATACAGGTTCTTTCATGCGAAGTGGCAGAGAATAAGGATATGAGACTTTTGGTTGACACATGCCAATAACAGTTTCAGAATTTTGTTTGAATTCGGGTGGTATAAACGAACAGGTTCATGATTTGGGAGCACAGTTCTTCTGATTGCTGCCACGATGGTGATAAGAATTGTACACCAATGCCAAGGAAGTTAGGAAATATGTTGTGCAATTTGTTCTTGTTGTTGGATGCGTTTGTTCATTAATTGCCAACTTGCTTAATATGTTCCCCACTTCTGGAGTCAAAGTTGGCGGGGAATTTTCCGGGCTTGGATGTTGTGGAAGCATGACGACGATATGGTTCCTCGAGCATTATCTTGTATGCCGGCAAACAACACCATAATATGTGAATGCTGCAGATGATTGGACCCGCACGCGAGAGATGTACATATTCAGTTCACACGCCTAAGTACGCATATATCCGTGGTCTGTGGTAGTTCTGGGTTAGAAATCTTACGAGAAAATCCTTTGAATGCGGCTCATACCCGCATGCATCAAGCTGTGCTACCTCGGAGGAGACCGAGACGTAAATAATCTTCCCCTTTCATCTCGCGTGCTTTCCCCATGGTGTACTAGGATTATGGAGCGGCTGGTTGCATGATACTAGCGCCGAACACAGCTGTATGGAATGGGAACCAGTTCATGTCGTGGTGAAATTATTTTCTCCAAAACCCGGCGAGATACTTATTTCAAAGCAATTTTGAGCATTGATCGCCATTTTACAGCTTATACAAACCAAGAACATTGAATAAAAACGGGAAACTTAACCTCCTTGAGGTAAATCACTACTTTTCAGGATTGGTTTCCAACCAAACTCGAGGCACAAATTCGCTTGAGCCAATCAATGGGGGGATGTAAAATTCCCCGAAACCTCCTGACCTGCAGGAAAACGTGCTCGGGTACACTCTAAGCATGCTTCCGGTACGCCCTCAGCATGCTTTGTGCATAGACATTGCATATTCGTCACTTATCAGGTAGCTTGAAACAAGAATTCAGTTGATGGCACAGTAAGACTTGGGGGCACTGCATGAGGATCAAGAAAGAGATGTTCGCGCTACGAACTTTAAAATAAAATTCCTTCCGAGTGGTAGCTGTCTTCGGTGGGGTTGGTAGTATGGCCGTAATTGGAAGTTGGAGATGAAAGGATACGGTAATGGGAGGCAGTTAGCCGTCAAGCGTTCAAATTCTGCATTGTGCAGCACGATGATCAACGCAGAAGACAAAACTGCAATCCCGTTCATTACTTCTGCGATTACCTGTGTTTATGATGATTTGATAGGATTTGAATAGTATTGAGAACTGAAAACACTGCAAATATACTAAACTTTTGATGATAGTCGGACAGTGAATATGGTAGGTATTAACGTGG